GGAGATGGACGAAAAGGGGTGTGTAGTAACATGGAGAAACAGCGCTTGAATATATCATACAGGTAATAATTTTTATTCACACAGCAGTTTATTCTCTCAAATGATGCATGATTTCAGTTAACTTCACGATATTTTTGACATAGTGTTGTGATCAAAGCAAACAAATATGATTACGCTACTCATTTCTCTTCACTTGAAACGCTTAAGAAACGTTTTCTTAAATTAAGGAAATGTAAGCCTATTGACTATCGTAATGACGGGAAGTGGCTAGCAGTGGAATCCAGGATGCGCATTTGGTACTATTTGGAACTCGTCAGCCGGATGTACCGGCCTCCCAGTGAGTGATGTTGTTCGCATCTAGACTAGGGCTCAGGAGCGATCGCTTCAAACATCATCCACTACACCACAGAGCCACGATAGCCACTTCTTGTGCTATGGGTATATTTTTAGCATAACTGTTTTTATATTATACTATATATTACACGGGGAAGCAGGTACATCCAGCTAATGAGTCCCAAATAGGACGAAATGCGCATCCTGGGTTCCACTGCTAGCCACTACCCATCATTACTATACATAATATTGAAGCTTCCGTACAGGAGTCCATATGCCAATAGAGACTGATTAATTCGCTCCAATCAACGATGGTGTAATACAAGCAATAACACTATTGGCTATCGTTACAAATCACCAGGCTGAAAGTAAGTCACATTCAGTGTTATACATAACCGTCTGAATATCATTTCTGAATTCCATTTGTTTGTACTTTGATTTAATGTCCTTAAGTTGCCTTGTAAAGTGATAAGTCATGAAGTAGAGAAAGAAGTGAGTATAACACTATATCTGTGTATAACTGTCTGACTTTTTCTTCACTTTACGTTAAACGCATCGGTAAAAAGCATAACTGTGACAATAAAATTATGTTGCACTTACATTAACCGTGTATGATACGAGCTGTAAGTTATATCGGCAATCAGTTATTAAGCAACGTTATTAGTCCTATATTTCATTAACAGAAGATGTCATTGACAGATGGATGCAAAGACTAATGTAGAAAACTGTTTAAAATCGCATTGGCTCAAACTGCCACAATTGACAACAATATAACAAGATTACGTGAATAGAAAAACGAAGATAATAAGGTGAACAGAAGTGCACAGCAGGAGATCGAAGGAATAACTGAAGGCTACCAGGACATTTGAAACATCAAGGGTGGTAAATAGTTATCATATCCACTCACTTATAATCCATTTTGAGTAATATCATTGACAGTCTTCAATTCTTTATTCCTAAAATCTAAAGAATCCCAGATAATCAGCCTACCCCTCCTTCACACGAACTTTAGGTGTCGCATAGTGGTTTGCCTACCATTCATTATATTCCAACCTAACATCCCCTTGGCTAACGTTGCGTGTTGAGGTAAATGACTCAGTGTGTAAAACACATCCAAGTCATTACAGTTAGCGAAGGTTGACATTTTTAACATCATTTAACCTGTTTTTCTTGCCAAGTACTCTACGTTTAACATCAAGATTACTAATCGTGTGGTTTAGTAGTACTCTAAAAATGTTCAGACCTCACCTGTGAAAAAAAGACAAGCAACTTACACAGGTTTACCACTGTTAACCAATGCATCTCACAGCTGAAGTATTCGATAGGTCGCACTGTTATTGCTGCAGCTCCAATTTGATATATGGCTATATATCTTGCTAGCTCCAATGATGAAGTCTAGATACCTAGCAAAAAACACAAAATTGAATTCTTGAGCTATTATACCTAAGTATTTTTGAATGAAGCTTGCAACAGAGTGCAATTGAGGCGTCCTACCAAAGCCTCATGTTCCACTAGGAACCCAAATAAAAACATAATACTTCGATAAAGTATATTTGGTTGTATTAGTGATGACATGCTTAGTCTGAGACCATGTCACTTCAACTCGGTTCTCTCTAATCACTCCGACGTTTACAAACTGCGTTCATCTCATACTAAAAGCACTCTTGTCAATGTATTAAATGACGTCATATTCATAAAATTCATCTTTTGGGAATGCCCACATTCATGAGATAATAATATGCCTGAATATAATCTGATTAAATGTTCCTGCACACAAGACAGGGATTAACCTTGCACACGTACAAAATGTGTATCTGTTTGCTTGTAGTTGAAATGTCTAAATATAGTTTTGAATGTCTTGCTATTACTGAGTTCTGATTACAGGTCTTCTTTTCCTGCATGATTCTGAATTGCAAGTTTTAATTGGTGTGAGATGGTGAAGCTGTTTCAGTATTCTTTTTCAAAGCTGTACAGTGTGTGTATGCTGACCGACGCAGAGACAATAGAGAACATGCTTACACCCACACTGGAGAAGGTTTGGAAGGAAGTGAAGATACCTGCCCATTGATTGGAAGAAGGGCCACATTGTCAAACTTCCAAGGAAGGGGGACCTAAGTCTTTGCAATAACAATAACTGGCGAGGAGGAATCATGCTCCACCTGTGTCCACCCAATTCAAGCAAAATATTGTGCCGCATCATCCTCGGTCATGGCGGTGATGAGATACTTTGCTCAAGCCTTCTGACTAACCAGTTGCTTGAAAAATTGTGCATGACTATGAATTAACAAATATTGAAAAAACACTTTAATCAAACGCTTATATATTAGGAGATATTTCGTTAAAATATGAAAGATTTCAGTGTCTTCTTCCTCCAGCGTATTGACTAATGGTTGCGTTAGTTCATTCAGCAATGTCAAAATCTGCTACAGATATAATGCACGTGAACTCATTCCTGTCTGTCTCGTGCATAACGAGAGAGAGAGAGAGAGGGAGAGATAGAAGTAACTGAAATGGCGAGTTGTAAAAAGCTACGCAACTACCATGAGCAATGCGAGACAGCGTAAGTTGAAAAGAAATGGAAAAGGTAGCGGCAATAGACAACAGCAAAGTGCTATTCAAACTTATCGAGGAAACTGGGTGGAACAACTCGGAGAGCAGTTCAACTGGTCTCCAGCCACCCCACCATTCCGTTTCTCAATATCCAGTCGAACACTGAGACGTATCTTCTCACCGTTGGAGAATATGGTAAGATTGTGAGTAGGAAGCAGCAAGGAGAGACAGCAGGGTCAAATGGTCTAGTACTGGAGATATGAAAGGATGATGGTTGCTGGTTATTCATCAGGTTAATTCAAGTTTTAACTGGCGCATAGAAGACAGATGTGATCCCCTCTGACTGGCTTCCGGTACTGACTGTCTTAGTCTTCTAGAGAGGTCTTCCGATGATAGATAACAACGGAAGAATTAATATGACAAAAATAGTGTCTAGGTTTCTCGATTCTGTAATCATCACACGTCCAAGTGGAGCTAGACAAGACAGAAATCAAGAAAACCAGACAGGTTTAAGATCTAGTCGAATGTGTACTGACCAGATATTCACCCTCCCATTAGGTCCTTAAACACAGACACACTTGCTGACACTCAACACAAGCTGTACCTCCTAACCTGGAAGTGACTTCCTAATCTGTCGATCCAGAGGTCATATCGTAGCGTCTCTGACTGAAACGGGTGCTAGGTGAGCATGTCACTCTGCAAAATGCTCTGTACTCGTAGACACATTGGCATGTCAGAGGCTGCAGTGAGTTGCGCACTTTGAACAGTATCTGTCAAGGTTGTCCACTCTCTATTCTTTTTCATTCGGTTATGGAACTGCTCACATAGGTCTCCTTCGAAAGTCATTTGACTTTACAGAGATCACCAATGTCACAAGACTCAGAAAACCTAGAGTACGCAGATGATACTTTCCTACTAGGTAAAGATATTGGTGAGATGAAGTTTCCTGGACACCTTGAATGACTACTCCAGAATGTTTCGACTGTTTTTTTTGGCAAAGAAATGCATATTGTTTCTCCTTGACTGGTCTTCGTTGATGTCTGTTCTAACAATAAAGAGTGAAGTGGTTGACCACTTCAATATTCTAGTATTTTAACTGGAAAATTTTTTCACAAGACTACGGGATCTAGACACTTTGATAAAGAATACCGATGAGCAATATTATTATGCAGATTCAGCCTAGACAGAACAGTGCCACATAATACTGGTCAAAAGAAAACTTCAACTGAATTGAGTTCCACGTTATCATGTCTTCACTAATCAAAGCAATAAGTTTGATCAGTAGTCACAGACTTGAATGCGTTACAGATACACCTTGCTGATGAGTGCGAACAAGCACGAAACCTGTCGACTGTCTCCAATCAACTAATTGACATCTATCGAAGTGCACCACAATGATGAATCTCCCAGCTTAGTGACCACATTACAAAATGAGTGATAGAATTCGGTCAGCACTCAGGACTAGGCAACGTGAAATTGGTTACACCCCAGTGACTTATCTCTGCATACTTCATGTTGTCTCTTCTATTGTATGCTAAGTCAGTTAAGTACGGAGATGTATAATGACTAAAAATATATGACGCATATTTCATAAGCCAGAGCATCACATCCGATAGCCGATCAGTTTCCTTTTCAGACCACAGATACTACCACTAGGAAGAGTAAAATCTAGATATTGCTTCTACTAATCACCAAAAAATCTAATCTAGGTCATTATCAAGATAAAAGTGTCTATAATATACAATTTTAACATAAAACACAGTAATAAGGGTAACAATATAGTAATAACTATTCCCGTAGGTAGTGTTTACAATGGAGTTCATACACAGATAGGGGGGAAACAAATCAACAGCAAAACGGAAAAGGACGGATTCTTTTTTGTTGGAAGCGAGGAAGAGAGACAATAGGAAAAAGCTAAGAAAAGCAAATAATAAAAGTAAAAAAAGGGCAAAAAACGAAATGCACCATATGAGATTATTTCTTCTTCAGGGATATAGGAAGATGAGAACAGGCAGGGGGGTACGAAGTTATAACTGTGAGACAATAAACCAACAAAAAAAACAACAGTAAAAACAGATCTCAGTGTATAAACTAGGAAAACAAGATGCACAAATCGCTTAGTTCATCTTCAATCGAGAAATAAACGTATCTAAATTGTATTCAGTTTCATAGCATGTCTCAATTTCATCTAGTAAAGCAAATCCACTCTGTCCACTGTCATCAATACGTCCTTCCCTTGACTGTTCTTCATTACTGCTATTGGTCAGTCGATCAAACAAGTGTTCTGTATCCATTCCACTCAGAGCTTTATTGTCTGTGGTTAAGATTGTATTGGCTAAATGCAATTTAAAGGCTTGCAAATTCATAATTTGTTCCTCTATACTATCTTCAGTAATTAGACGATAAACATTGACAGTACGCAATTGTCCGATACGATGAGCTCGATCCATAGCCTAAAATAAACAAGTAGATAAGCGACAATGATTTCGAATAAAACAAAATAATTATCATTTGACTGACTCCGTGGGCAGACAAACATACACAGTCTGATTTCGAGATTGGACTCAAACAACTATTGAGTCCTTTCTTAACCAGACTGACTCTATAACTGATGTCTGTCCACAGATATAGGTTTGTCAGGGCGGTCAGACTTGACTATTATAATGCCCTACTATGGATAAATTAGCTGTCATAATGTTTTATGAAAAGTAGGTAGAGCTTAGAGTCATTTTGAGAATGAAGTTTAATTGCTGGTCTAAAATCAATTCTAGTCTTATTCGAATGTCTGGAAAAAAAAGGTTTTCATTCCATTTCATTGGTAATATTTCTAATGATGATCAATCACTCGGATTATATTAGCGATTTTTCCATCTCCGGTGACGACGGTGAGATATCTGAATACGTATTAAAGGATAAGTATACTGCACTACAAGCTCTCTATTATACGGTTGACTCATGACCGTTGAAAGTAGAAGGTATGGAAAGATGTTTCGTAGCATAGCTCACATATGTATGAGTGACTTTGTGATCAGTATAGAGGGGACTAGACAAGGAAGGTAAGTCACCCAATGAGGGGATGTGAACTTTCACCGACTGACGTAGCTCACACATGTGTTAAGCATGCCGATGGACCCCCTACCAAGATGTACAATATTAACCGAAGTAGGATTGGGTTGCAGGGAGGTTCAGAGTGGACGTAGCATTAGTGGATGAAGGCATTAACTGTAGATTTGAGTCGAGCATATAGGTATAAGATATCTAGCTAGTTTCATCCAGACAAGAGGAATCAGTGCTTGAAGACTTGGTAAAATGGCATAAAAATGATCACTTTTTGACATCACAAACTTGAATATCTGTTTTACTAACATTCATTTGTTTCTCCCATATCCACTCTATCTACCTTAGTATTAACAACTTGAACCAATGTACTTCCATATCATGCATATTCCACGTCGATCTGTTTATCGTCTTTCTGTTGAAAATGAGTATGGTTGATAAGAGTTCTGTTTTTACTTCTCCAAGATGGATTTCAGGGTATGCATAGTTTAAGGAAACCACTGATAACAATATAGAATAAATGTCAACGTTTAGTTTGGTTTAACATTATATCGTATCCAGAAAACAGAGATAACGAAAGGTTTTTGAACATTGGAGAAGAAATTTACCACAAAGATTTTAAATCATAACTTGTATTACTTCGAGATTACATTCCACATACCTGAAGATCTTTACTGGGATTCCAATCATGTTCGACAAAGATCACTGTATCTGCTCCAGTTAAATTTAAGCCTAATCCACCCACAGCTGTAGTTAACAACATAACATCAATCGATGGGTCTTGATTAAATCTGTTTACAAGGAATAAAATCATTTGTTTAAAAAGATGGAAAAACCTTTTACTATCGGTATGAACTGAAATTGACTTTAAAAGGTACTTCTAGTAACTGCTGAAACAACCAATCACGTTTTAGTATTTCATCTGGGAAGGTAGTTTAATTCATAAAATGGAGTAATATAATTGGTTATCTCAGCAGTTGTCAAGATGACCGTCAAAATCACTCTGAACTAGACATACATACTGTTTAACTGCTTGTTCAGGTTAACAAAGTGATAGTGGAAATGAGTAGGGTCAGTCAGTGTATAACTAAGGTAAAGTGTAAATAAACAATGACAGGAAAATAGCAAGAAGAATGTTAATCTGGATTGAATAAAGATGTGGGTCGTTGACTTAAGAACTGGAATAATTTGAGCGAACAACTGTTTTCAACAACTACTTCTTCAGATTCTACAGTTATAAATATCGATGAGAATAAGTGAAATACTACAATAGTATTCCTTTCCTAGATGTCCTCCTCACCAGGAAAATGGATGGGTACATTAAAAGGAATATTTTTCGAAAGAACAAATGGACTGGTTAATATATTCACTTTCATAGCTTCACACCGATTCAGTATTAAAGAAATCTGGTCAAATGCTTGAGTTACACAATAGGAAACTGTATTGAGGAAGAAATGAATAAGCTGAAGATAACATTGCAGCAAAATAGTTATCCGTTAAACTTCATAAATAAACATGTGTCAAAACCTAGAGAGGAGATAAAGAAAGACAATGTTGCTAAGACGTTTATACATCTTAGACAAAGTTTTAAAAATAATATATTGCCTCGGATATCTTAACATATCGATTAAGTAGATCAGTGGAAAGGACATTGAATGCAGCGAAACTTTTTGTCACCTCAACCAAACTATTACTGACATAGTAAACCAAGGATAGGTTACCTATGATAACCACTTCAATGTGCATTTATGAGATTAACTGCCCCAGTGAAGCTAGTTACATAAACCGTACTCAAAAGGCTCTATCGAGGCGCACTCGTGAACACGTGCAATCTTGGATAGGGAAAGGAATGACAAAGAGCATCATCAGTGTACCCCTCTCATATCTAGTAGACACCGGATATTAGATTAAGGTAAATCACGCTTTTCTTGCAATATATCGTGTCCCTTGCAATCTCCCCAAAAAGTGCACGACTTCGCATCTTATCCATCGCCTAAGATATAGGGATCAAAGCAAGAAAACCGGACTTATGTGTTCAAAAGAAATATGTACATCCACTTTGTTTACCTTGGCCCATAACAGGGTTGACAAGTTCTTTATGAGCTTTCCTACCACAAACTACACATTTTAACCTTCAATCCCTTTCTACTATATTGTCACTACTTTGTTGAATATTCATTTTCTTATGTCATTAGTTTTACGCCCTTCTTTATTCATACCTGTAGTCACTTTCAATCGTGACGTAATACTTCACATTCGTTATAGTATTCACATGATTTTCATCACTAAGTGATTATTATTTGACCCTTAGTAAACAAAAACACATATACATACACACACATTCATGCCCCAAATAAATGCATATAAATGAATCATTATCTGTAGATTTTGTCTCCTCATTTCGTAATTGCTCTGTCAAAACTGATTTCATTGCACAACTAACACACTAGACTGATAACCATCGCACTATTTCATTCGATTTGATTACCATTCACCTATAACACTGACTGTATTTCACTTATTCTCATGGATTTATAACTGTTAAGCCTGAAGAAGAAGTTATTGAAAAAATAACTGTTCGCTCCAATTATTCTTATTCTGAATAATCTATGGGGATCTTTAAATTATTAAAAACTTGACTTTCAAGCAATGGGTTCTGAGTTCATACGAAGTACTAAACATACTTCACAGCCTAGGCAACCTAGCATTAACATAAGCTTCCATAACACAGTAATTATAGCCTATAACCTACCTGATATATAGCAAATCTCTATTGAGTAGATGACTCAACTAACATAGAGACAAATCATTAACTGGCGTTAGAAACATTAATATCTTATTTATTAGTGCTTTATTTAGTAACAAACAGATTTGTGAAGTTCGCCGAAAAGAATTCATTTTTTTTATATGACTGTAATCCATAAAGTTTCACATTATTATTATTATTATTATTATTATTATTGTCATTATAATCAAAGCAACTCAATTGCTTTCTCTTACACTTGCAAATTTTACATCTAGTGTAAATTACATCACTTTAAACACCCTTGGTTTATGAAACAAAAAAATACATAAGTATGTGTGAAGTTTAAAGAAATGAGAAAGCTCTCTAACTTACAAGGCTAAGATAATCAATTTGAACCCAGTAAAAAACAAAGGTTTAAAACTCACTTTGTTCACCAATATTTCTACATGTTGCCGATATATATGGATTGTAAAACGTTTACATAAGGAAGAACAGTTCATTGTCTGGTATATATAAACATGCACGTGGTTGTTGGATGTTGTAAACTATCAAGAAACAATTCTAGTCTTTGTATAACTCCCACTAATGAATAGGAGGTTTTGGTTACTTCAAGTCTCTAACAAATCATGTAATATTCAGTAATCAAGTACCCAATAGTATATTTATACATACTAGGCTATGAACTACATTTTCTGTGTAAGAGTTGATGATACCAATTCGAATGTATATGTTGGATTAGATAGGGTAAGCTTGAACTCGTCGGGACCAACCACCTGGTAATCAAATATGAGAAGTTGATGAGACTTAACCTCTTTCTCTCTCTCTCTCTCATACACACACATACTATACCATCGATACATTGACAAGAAAGTGATAAATCCAATATATAAAAAAACGTGTTTGTTATATTTTCTATCGTTTTATGACTATTGTCTATCATTGAGATCTATGTGAAATGTAATTTATGCACAGCATACATCAAAACAATATATGCCATCCAATGTAAGAAATCAGTGAAGAAAAGTGTAAAAATAAGGAAGGAGTAACTTACCTAACTACACGACTATGTCGTTCGCTCACGGGTACAGTACCATCTAACCGTGTAGCAGTTATCCATGGAAATAATTCTCTACAGTAACAAACAAAAAATCCATTATTACAAAGTACTAGAAATAAATAGCTGTAACAACTACTAAAATAAATATACAGGTGTTAAAAGAGAATTGTACTGTTCGTTGAATTTCTGTATAGGGTGTGATGTAACACTATTAAAAGTGAATGCCTTCTACATTAATGATCAGCTTGACATTGTCAATTTTAGTCATTGTTATCCGAGTAGAATCGAAAGGCGCAGGGTTTGTACAACCAAACAGAACCACTCTAGTACAGAAGTGTATCGGATCAAATTACCGCACTTCACAATCGTATACACGAAACAAGTGGACAGAAAAGAACTGATATCCAAGTGGCATTGTAGGAGAAACAATTTGAAGATGAAAGTTCGTGAAACTCTCTATGCTCAATAAACGTCGAAGAGAACATCTGCACCATTGTCACCAATGTTCAGCTAATTTCATCAAGGGTTTCAAACCATATAGTCCCGAGGGGTCCAGTCAGTCAGAGAATTCATGGCCTGGTGCCATGGCTTTTTCTAGCCACCCTGAGCCTTCTTCCAACCTAAACCGACTTCTGCTAACACTGTACGTCGAGAACATATGGATCAAACCTTATCTCACAAGGTAAAAACAAAAGTTTGACCTCAAATAAACAAGACAATGCTATGCAACTATATAATCCTACAATTTGATGCTACGTACAAGTGTGAATCTTCAAATTTTATCAAAATCAAATCAAGAGTTTTGTGTAATTAAAAAAATATGTACACTGAACTATCAAGTTGGAACTCTAATCATCAAGGTTCTCCAAATAGGGGGATTTATCTTCACACAACCTTCATCAACTTGTATATGAAGTTGCTGAACATTAAGACGCAAAACCTTGTACAAAAATGAAATGACTAACAACAATTGACAAAAGGAAGATGAAGAAGGAAAAAGAAATCAATAAAAAAGGATGCTATTCGATACACATGCATAGAATAACATGATAACTGGACAACTGTATCTCCTTTTATCAAGACGTTAAAAGAAGAGAATAAGAATGTACGCATTCATTTTTTCCAAGTATGAGACTTGTTAACAGTGTACTCTCAGCCTCCTTTTCATGATGTATAACTACTACTATAGTACTGTAGTAAGTACAGGAACTACAAAACTAATGAGGTCGAAAACCAATTACAACCAGTGGAAAAACAAGATAATGGAGTAATTTCTAGAGTACCTGAATTAAAAAGTCTACATATCAGTGAATCTGATTCAACTTAGCAAATAAATCAACCACAACACATTCACCGATAAAAAATCATCACATTTATTCACTGCATTAAGTAAACATGTACATATTCATGCAATAGGCAATACATCATGCTTTCTGTGTGAAGACTATTGATACTACCCACCTGCCGAAACCTCATTACGTGGAGCGGGGTTCGAACCAATGACCAACTAGCTGAAAGCCAGTCGAATGCCCAAACCACGAAGCTACAACTACACGCTTGCATATTATCGAATTCAAAAATAAAAGTCTCAGTGGGAACAATATCCCTCATGAGTGTGCAGGTACATCCAACTGTTAAGTCCTAAATAAGACGAAACGCGTATCCTGGATTCCTCTGCTAGTCACCAAGATGAATATAACATCATGAATATCCAGCAGTATCGAGGAATTCGCATAGGAGCCCATTTCCCAAAAGACATCGAGCAATTCGACACAGTACGGCGACAGGAAATTACAAGTATCAATAAATAATAGCTGATACCCCGTGGTTGTTTTCGTACCCCAGTGGTCTAGTGAATAACACTTCAACGTTTAGGGCGATGGCCACTAGGTTCGAGTTTCAGTGGGAACAAAGTCACTTAATGGTGTGCAAGTACATCCAGCTGACGAGTCACAAAGAGGATGAAGTGTGCATCCTGGACTCCTCTGCTAGTTATGAGATAAACTACAAGGAATATGCAAGTTTTACATCATTAGAAATTTCCTAGTCAAGTAAAAAAAAACGACCACACAGTTATTTTGTCAAAAATCGTTATCTTTATTACGATATTTTATAACCTAATTATGGTTCAAAATGCCAAACAGATTAAAGCTACCAATGTGAAATGTCATACACTTGAACACGTAATTAATTATCATCTATTCATCAGTATGAATCCATAAGAAGTGACTTTACATACAAAATGCTACAATGGAATATTATTAATATATTCCTGAAAATAATTTTTAGGTATATGCAGACCGTCAATTATATGAATAATTCAGCGATAAGAAAACCAAACTATGGTTCCATTGTCAAGGAACCCAAATATATTATTCACTAAGTTAGACACATACACAGGCATCTTCCCTATCATCTTCTATATAGCTAAACACGTCAAATACTATTAGATATGAGAAATATAATTATATCTGGTAACTATGAATTCGTAGGAGGTTGTTGACTTTCCGAGAACATAGTATTCTCACCATTTTTCATTTAGCAGCTTAAAAAGCGAGCAGTAGTAGAACCACTGGGAGAAACAAGGACAAAAACAACTAACTATGAAGGTGCTTATTGTGAAATTACACTGGTCAAAAACTAGAACCTTCCATCAAACACTGTTCATGAATATATTTTCTCCAACCAAAATGAATTGTTCTTTAATTTCTCTTGCTTTCTAGTTTGCCTTTTGCATTTCCCTCGCTTCGCCTCTCAGAATCTCTACTAGTGACTGAAGATCAACTCTGATCTCGTTATCCAGCAATATCACGCGATATACTACTTATTTTTTCATATAAGTAGTAAACAACAGCAGGTATAAACAAGAATTTCACAACGAAAAATCATTCACTCACCTAAGCATATCTCCAGTTAGTTGTAACATTTCACGTGTTTGAAAAAATATTAAAGCTCTGTGCTGATTGAGTAGACTTCGACTGGAATGTAGATCATGAAATGAAGTTGATGATGATGATGTAACAGATGATGAATGGAGACAACCGTTACCATCGCCACCAGTCACTGAATTTGGACTGCCAAAACCACAATCAGTTAAAAGACGGCTAAATGAAGAGATGATATGAAATAAGGATCATAGAGATGAGAAATGATAATGTGATAGGTTTTGAGCATGTGCATAGAATAAACAAGCAAATTAGTGCATCACAAGCCCTATATCAACTACTGTTAAATGACACAGGTCTAGTGTATAGCATAGGACAGTAGACGATAGCTTCCAGTACGATTTGAAGGAACAATACTCAGCTCTTTAGGCCCACAACTGAAATGAACTCATCGAGGTAAAGGATTAAGTTCGAGTTACGCCTCTCAGTGACGATCAGATGACATCGATTAAATCAAATAATGTAATGAGTGAATTTACTGAGCGATATCTGATCGTGATACACTACAACACAAGGTAGCGACGATTATCTATTGAGGTTAGGTGAAGGGTAAGACAGGAAAGTCAATTGATGAGGTTTTGAATCTTACCTGACTGATATGACTTCGACGTGTACTGAGCATGCAGAATCACCGCCTACCTCGATGTACCATGCTGGTGTACGATGGATTAGGTTGAAAGAGGGTTCAGAGTGGCTAAACAAAGACGTGGCACAAGTCCATGAAGTCCCTGATTGTTGGTCTGACCAATGTTGAGAGACTGACTGGTTGGGGTACCCGAGACAAAAAGAATCCATGGGTGAGGATACTTGGTGTTGTAACTGAAAATAGGTCACAACAGCACAGATGTATTCACTCGTTGACGTCTTATAAAGCTTGAATATTTGTACTAACCTTCATCTTCAAATTGTTTATTCTCTCACACAACTTTATCTACTTTGTGTCAATCTTTTTTCTATTCACCTGTTCTTTGTGTAGTGAAGTGTAGCAACTTGAACCGATGAACTTGTTTACTAGGTTCTACGTTGATTGTCTATCAAAAAAAGCTACTGCAACTCTGAATACCCCGCTTTGCTTAGCTACACAAGAAATCTTAGACTGAAGATTCGAAAATAATTTCAACGAATCGATCTTTGTTATACATTTAGTTCCTTTGACAAATTTGAACAATCCAAAAACAAAGACATTTGCAGAATAAAATGAGCTCATCTTATTTCATGACCTTTCATCAGCTGCAAACAGCCTACAATTCAAATGAATTGTTAGTAGTAATAATAATTCAACACTTTAAACACGCAGAAATAAATGAAGATTTGAAATCCAGAATTAACAACAAGGTAATAAGTCAGGGAAACACAGGATTAATAGTTACATATCTTAGTCAAAATCTATGGCTATTTATACCTGATGAGGTTGAAAATTCTGGAGTTGTGAAGTCAAGGGAAAACAAACGAAAATCATTGTAAAAGAAGGGTTAATGTGTTACACAATTACACGTGGAACTTGAAAATCGTCAAGTGATTCATCAAGAGATGATGCAGTCCAAAGTCAGACTATATACATCCGTATGCAAACAATTATATACATTTACCAAGGCAAAGAAAGGTTAATTACAGTCTCCTTCTGAGTACATAGGTCAGGTTGAAAATGTTTGATTGCGAGAGCTTCCCCAAACCGTAATAAACATAGTGTTTTTTGTTTGTTGATTATCCTGAAAGATTGATAAACATCTATTTGATGTCGTGTTTTCTATCAGGTGCCTAGCGATTGCGCTCTTAAAAACCTTGTTACCATTCAGACACTGATTTTTCGGAATATGCTCATAAAAGCGAGTAGACACCCTTCTTTCAGTCCCTCCTATATATTCACTTCCACAAGCATAGGTGAACTGATAAATGCAGTTGGAGGTGACGTGAGATGGGTATTTGTCTACTTTCGACTGTGTTAGTCAGCATAATGTATTGTGAACTGATATCAGTCTCACACCAGGGAAGCTCCTTCTCCTTCTTTTGATTGCATCATCTCTTGATGAATCACTTGACGATTTTCAAGTTTCGCGTGTAATTGTGTAACACATTAACCCTTCTTTTACAATGATTTTCGTTTGTTTTCCCCTGACTTCACAACTCCAGAATTTTCAATCTCATCAGGTGTAAATAGCCATAGATTTTGACTAGATATATAACTATTAATCCTGTGTTTCCCTGACTTATTACCTTGCTGTTAATTCTGGATTTCAAATCTTCATTTATTTCTGCGCGTTTAAGGTGTTATGTTATTATTACTATTAATAATTCATTACAATTGTAGGCTGTTTGCAGCTGATGAAAGGTCATGAAATAAGATGAGCTCATTTCATTCTGCAAATGTCTTCGTTCTTGCACTAATCGATCTTTGATGTATAATAGCCATGCTAACAGATACACAATAAGTATATTCAGAAAAAATGATAACTGGAGAACGACAGAATGATTTAGGAGTTCAACCGCGTTTACTTTAAAGAAACTCGTATGAAAGAACTAACAAACGAGAAACACATCAGGATAATATAACTCAACCCAGTACAGGATTATATATTAGGTTATACCCGATAAATAATGCTTGAGGAAGGCGAGAGTAAGGCATTTGATGTTAGATGACTGAAGCAGGATACCTGATAAGGCTGAGAACTTTAATCAAGGCCCTATCCAAAGTTAGCTGGAGTAGGATTGGGTGAGTAGGCCAAGATATAACATCAATCCATGAAATTTCAGGCTGTGACTCTGAGAAGTTCAAGAAATGTTAGGTTGTTGGTCAGGTTCAGAAAGTAAGCTGAAATAGACGATCGGCATTTTGCAAAATTGGGTTGCATCTAACTAACTTTATTTTATGTTACCTTCGAGCAGTGTGTCGAGGAAATTACCTGCGGTGAATGGATAATAATAATAATAATGAGCGACAATCACAAGAATCTTCCTGAGACAAAAATTGTTTTCATAATAATTCTATGTACTACATCTTTTAGACACAATCTGCTTACATATTCTATAGCTCTTATAACTTTGTCAGTTAAAATTCAGATTTTCAGGAACGACAGTGAACTATAAAAATGATGCTTCGTGAAAGTCATGTGAATGTAATGACTAACTTTTGAGCAGGAAGACAATGAGTTCCATCAATATAATAATGTAACTAAAGTCCCTAAGGGTATCACTTTGAATTTGGGATAAAGATTTGAAAAACAGTAAAATCACACTTACCACAAAGCCAATAGCTTTCCACTTAAATGCACTGATCTCAATTGCTCTATTGACTGGATACCTAGTTCACCTTTAATTTCATCAAGTAAAGGATGATTAGACTTCAGAACTAGACACGGATGGTTACAAACAGCCTGAAAATATCGTACAGCTTGAAATCCATGTGATACAACACTTGAAATATAGGTTGACTGTTGTTTAATACCGGTATTACTGCTAATATCTTGGCTATTGGTACCACTAGTGCAGACTATATTCATTAACTGTCTTCCTTCATCCGTCTTTTGAAAGGTTTCGTAAAGTTTACGCTATAAAGTTTAAAAAATAACTAGGTGATTGAATTTACATTTTTTTTTAAGAAATAAGTTAAACGAAGAAGAATTCACTACTGAAAAGCAACACTAAAGATATCTTAGAAAGAACAGAGTGATTAACAGGAAATTAGTTATATGCCAAGTTTTCTTCATATAAATTCAAGGCAATATATTTAATAATAAATGCAGCTGAAAGGCTGTAATACAAAGAGGTATTCAGTAGAAAATGATACTCTTCGAAGAATTAGTCAATTTATATAACACTTCAATCATTGAAGACAAACAAACTCCTTCAAGTATAATATTCATCACAAGTTGTTAATATTAAACCCGGAAACTTGGCAAATTGTAAGACGAATTGTTTTTTTTTTTAACGCTAAAATAATCACATAATAAATCATTGCAATCTATTTTCTAACATCCCATTAGAGTAAATCAACCAATAGCTGGCAATCTCCGCTTCAATCAACATTTGTATACAGTGCAAATTGTTACCAAAGACATAAACAACTGTTTAATCTAAATAAGAAGGAGAATATGAGAGTTGTCTAGAGAGCACTGTTTGATTGTAGTAGTGTAGTGGGCGTTGCTGATAACAATGGGTATAAGTAGTATATGTTGAGAGGGTGACAGAATTCATAGGGAATTACCATCAATGGGTAAGATTTGCGCCAAGACCAACGCAAGAGATAACGCAGGCCTATTACAGTGAGTGCTGTTGATAAGAATGTATGAAAAGCATATGTAACGACTACCGTTACTATTTGGTACACTTGCACTAACCCAGTCATTTGCAAATGTCTTCGTTTCCTCTTCCGTTCGTCTCTTGATCTGCTCTCCATACATTCTTATCAGTAGCACCCACTGTAATAGACCTGCGTTATCTCTTGGCACAAATCTTACCCATTGCTGGTAATTCCATATGATTTCTGTCACCCTCTCAACATATACTACTTATATCCATTGTTATCAGCAACGCCCACTGCAATAGAATTAATGAGTATGTGTTAACAAGGAAGGTGAGATATGCATGAAATTCAATTCATCCTATAAAGTGATACTTAGAATACAACCTATCTATCTCATAATGACATGCTAGTTAGAGAAGAAGTCAGTGGGAACAAAGTTAAAACTCATTAGGATTTGAAGTTACTGGTCGGGATATTCAACATATTAAAAATGAACGTTAGAATGCTTCAAGTATTATTATAAAAATAAAATGCAATTAGTCCCTTTTGAATCTTTTACATCGTACATACTCATTTACCCCTTTTCTATTCTCATATTCTCATTGCATTAGCGTTTTACCATTTTAATATCTGGTAGCTTGTGTACGGTTCTACGTTGTAGTCAACTTATCCAAAAAATTGCCACTGAAAATGCAAAGTCTGTAACAATGATATGCATAAGTTTTTGAGAAGGGAGATGAATATCAATGAAATTTAAGATACATACACTTCTTCCTATTTGGGACTCGTAAGTATATCCCATGTTGGTAATCCCCAATGAGATCTAAGCTCAGTACCCATTGCTTTAAACATCAAAACTTCACCCATTAGATTAGTAATTTACTATAGTTACTAGTCGTTAGACTAGCATAAGTTGTGACTTGATAACAGTGGAGTTTGAATCAAACTCAATGGGAAACTAATGTGGATTGAGAATTTAGATTTGACATGTAATGTGTAAGTGCATCTAAAAAAAGAGTTTAGTTGACAAGGGAAAAGTCCAATAGAAGCTGATATAAATTTATTTTACCATTATATAGTGGGAAATTTTTTTTTTTTTCCCTTGGGTTCTTGTAGAACATAGGGCTTCAGTACCACACCCCCATTGCACTCTCTTCTTTGCAGTCTTTTCAACCTGGCCCACCACAGCCCACAAGTTCTCATTTCCTCCTCGCATGATTTCCTCCATGTCACCCTCACCTCCGACGCCCAACTTGTCGCTTCCCATCTGGGTTCCACTCGAGTGCCTGGCATGGCGCGTGATGTCCCCAGTCGGCCTTCTCAGTGTATGCCTAATCCAATCCATCTCCACTTTCTTCTACTGCATATTTGCGGGGCGATAAGTTCTTGGTTGGTTCGTTCCCAGAGATTCTTGTTGCTTATTCTGTCTGTCCATCTGATCACCATCTTCAGTATCGAGCCAGCGTAGGCAGCTGTTGATGAAGTTCTGTAGTTTGTAGGAAGTGCTTTTCGTGACACGCCAAGTCTCTGAACCATACAGAAGCACTGAATTGACATTGATATTGAAAATCCGGATCTTGTTCACGCTTTGTGCTGAGTGCAATAGATCTCCACTCTGATTTCAGATTAATGAAAGCCTGTCTTACTTTTCGGATCCTGGTTTGACATCAACATCTGTGCCTGTGCCACCTGTAGTTGAAACGATGCTGCCTAGGTAGGTAGGTGAAAGAGACAACTTTCTTTAGATTTCTCCCGTTCATGGTGATTGGTGCCTCTTGTTGTTGATGCTGTTGTTAGTTGGGTATCTTCATCACCTCCATCTCTGTCTTCTTTACGTTAACTTGAAGTCCTGTTTTCGCCCCCTGCTTCTTCTGTCAACTTGTTGCTTTTCATCTGCAGATCTTCGAGTTTGTGCGCTATTAAGCATAAGTCGTCGGTGAAATCTAAACCTTCGAGGCTCCTTTCATCGGTCCGGCGTATGCCCCTCTTCTCGCTCCTCACGGTTTGCTGCATGATCCAGTCGACCACAATCAGGAAGATCATCGGAGATAGTAGGAAGTCTTGTCTTACTCCTGTCCCCTGTCTTCACCTCAAAGGCGTCACTCAGCTGAGCTTTCCATTGTGGATCACTTGGCATCTGACCTTTCCATATAGCTACTGAATGAGGTTGATAAAGATTTGTGGCACTCCGTAGTGTTGAAGCAGCTGCCTGACAGATTACTTCTCGGTCTATGCTGTAGAAGGCCTTTTCAGAGTCGATAAAGTTGAGGTAGAGAGTTGACTGTCATTCTGTACTCTGTTCTATGATGGTGCGTAGCGTAGTGTTGCAATTTGATCCGCGCATGATTTGTTTTTCCTGAACCCAGCCAGCCTGTTCCGGTCATGATTTTGAATCCAGCGCATCTTTTAGTCTCTCCAAGATGATGCGGTATAACATTTTTCTTGGGGTGGACAGCAGCATGATTCCGCTCCAGTTCTTGGCGGAAAAATAATACGGAAAAATCATTTCTTATTCCAATACATATTTGGTGTTTTGGTTAGTTAAATGGAATTAATGAAATTGGTAGATCAGAATCAATCTTCTTAAGTTAACCGTATTAATAGATATCATGCTTAATTAGTTCATAACATCTGTATATCAGTGCCCATAGCGTATAATCTATATACTAGAAGGATTTAACAACAGAAACTCTATCAACTACACGGTTGTGAAAAATGTTGATGTGCAGTAAGTAACAGTGTATTGGCAGATTTGTATCAATAATGGATGATGACCAAATGTGAAATGAAAATTTGGGCTGCGACAGGATTCGACCAGCGCCACCGAGTTTCCGGTCGAGTGTTCTTTAACAACTGAGCCACAAGACCTGGACTGCTGACAATTCGGGTAATAACTCTTCGCGGTTGAAGTGGAATAAAAATCTGCTCAGCAGTCAGTTCTCGTAGTTCCATTGGTAGAGCAGCAAGCCAGAAATCCGGTGGTCGCTGGTTCGATTCCCGCTGCGACCTAAGTTTTTATTCCGTTTTCAATCATCACCCAGTATCAATAATTTATAAATTGTTCATTCTTTTAAAAAAATTACAGTAATTAGGTATCATCTATCGTGCACGATACGAACACAAGTCTTTGAGATCAAGAAAAATAATTCCACACACAATTATTACCATTATGATTTCGGATGACGTAATCAAACAAGATATATTGCACTAATAGAGAGGAGAATAACACTCACTTGAACTGAAGTCATTTTACAAGCAAAATCTTGAATTATTTTTGGTGGTAAATCTTGCATAACATCTTCCTTTAATCGTCTCAGCATGAATGGTAAAACGAGTCGATGAAGTTTTTCCAGGGCCAAGTGACCTATATAAATAATAATAATAATATAATAAATAATAATAATTGTTACACAAAATCAAACTAGCTAGAAACTTTCCTTGTCGAATATCAGGTGTAAGACATTACAGCAATCAGCATTAAGTTAACACGCTAAAATTCTACAGTTACTCATCCTACTCAGAACAATAAATTAGTGATTTCGCAATCTAGCACTACGTGTTTTTCTGAATCCTTTGAGGATTTCCCTCATCTTATCGCTGATTTATCAATCGAAAATCGAATATCAATCGTAAAAGTCACAAATTATGCAAATATACCTTAATAAACACGCTTGTCTATATCATGGTTTAATTTAAACACGAATATGATGTGATATTCAATGGAACGTGTAGGTATAGTTAAATCTCGTGATTAGTGTATCACCGTATGGCTCAATTCACAGAGATATATATCTACATTAACCACTAAAGAGGTTTGTCTTTCGTTGATAAGATGATTTAAATTTATTGACTGCTTCACTTTAAAAAGAAATATTTGGCTGAATGAATTCATGATGAATTTTTTGTATTCAGGGATTATAGTCAATCACGCAATATTTATCTGATTACTTAACCTTCCCCACCCGCCCTTCCTTCCCCCCCCCAATCAGATAAAATAAATTTAGGTTACAGGTTGGTGGGGCGTTTGCTGGGGCACAGTAAATTTGATGAAATTTAGGTTATTATTATTATTTGTCACTTGGGTTCCTAATGGAACATGAGGCTTCACTAGCACGTCTCCATTCCACTCTCCTCTCTGAAACCTTTTGGACCTGGCTCCACGACAACCCACAAGCTCTCATTTCCTCCTCGCACGATTTCCTCCATGTCACCCTCACTCCGATGCCCAACTTGTCGCTTCCCATCGGGGTTCCACTCGAGTGCCTGGCCTGAGGCGTGATGTCCCTAGTCGGCCTTCTCATGTATGCCCGATCCACCTCCACCTCCTTCTGCATATTTGTGGGGCGATAGCTTCTTGGTTGGTTCGTTGCCAGAGAGAGTTCCTTGTTGCTGATTATTTGTGGCCATCTGATCTTCAGTAACGAACCAGCGTAGGCAGTTGTTGATCGACTTTATCCTAATCTCAAGAAAGTGGAGACGCAGCCTACTTGATACAAGATCAAGAAGAGGAGCTAATATCCATTTCATGAGAAGTAACCACGGTTGTTAGGTAGCCTGACAACTAACCCCAATAAAGAGAGAATTTCGTCTAAAGTAACCTACTCGTTTAAAACACAGATAATTAACAATAGCATCAAAGTGACCATTTTTCTGACAGTGAAATCACCTTTGCAACAGATTACTAAATGAAAAAAAAAGAATCAATACGCCTAAAACACACCTGCTCGTTGGTCAGCTTTAGATGCTTTCACATCTCGACTAGCAGCTACAGGACGTGCAAACTTTGATAAAAAGTATTGTTCAGAACCTAAGAATTCTGGCATAAGAAAATCGAACAGAGACCATAATTCTGAAACTCTGTTCTGAATCGGTGTACCAGTCAAGATGAGACGATGTTGACCGACCAACTGTTTCACAGCGCGCGTAATCTGTAGTAAAATAAATACGTAAACACAATAATCAACAATAAATATTAGTATACATTACAAACTAGAATTCTTAATAACTGCTGAAAAATCACGTTTCTCAGTGTTATGAAACAAAATATATGAGATTCGTAAAACTGACGAAACAATGTTTTAATGGCAGTTGATATAGCCATGCATCAAATGATTAAACTAATCATGAAGATACGATTCTACGAGAGATTAGTCAAAAGATTAGTTTCACAAACGAAATCTACTGATCCCCTTATTGGCCATCACATAGAAGTCATGGTAATAATGATGTGACCTCAGAATTCAAGGGTCATCTGCTCGATGTCGGTTATGTATACCCTTTTTGGAAGTTTCAGGTGTAGATTTGATTGGCTTGCACCCAGCTAGAAAACTCATGTCGCTGGCATCGGAGGACCGTAGGACAGAAAGGAGTGTGTTATCTTCGGAGTTGACCTTCGTATAGGGAAGGCAGCATCAAATAGGACTGTGGGCCATCTGTGCGAAGCACCTTACTACGGACACTGATGTCGCTAAGCATATTTCTAATTGCATTATAGTCAGGACTTCCACTAGAACACTGACAACCGACAGAGAGGTGTATCATAGAAAACATTATAACCTCGAAACATGAAAAGAGATACTATCGTGTAAATTAATGTCACATATGACGTGTATGAATGACTATGGGTCTGCGTGAGAGTGTGCATACTGCATTCAAAACTTCAGTGATAATCTATAACAACTTTGATATTATTGATGCATAGTAGCTAGCAGTGGAATCCAGGACTCATCTCCCTCCCAATAAGCCATGTTGTCCCCACTAAGACTGGAACCCGGGACCGACCGCTTCAAACGCCAGAAAGTTATCCACTAGATTACCGAGTCACGATAGCCAACTTTGTTCAACGGGTATGGTTTATATGATTTCGCCTGTTCGAATCTTAGTGGGAGAAACATCACTCACTAGGAGACAAGTTCATTCAGCTGACGAGTCCCAAATAGAGTGAGACGTGCGTCCTGGACTCTAATGCTAGCCACTAACCATCAGTAATACCAAGACTGAAAATACAGGCAATATCGATGCATCCGCACAGGAACCCATAAGCCAATAAAGACCGATCAATTCGATCCAATCAGCGATGGCATGATGCAAACAACATGAAATATAATTTACAACAAACCTACATACAATTGACATGTGACAGCACAGATAACAATTAGGAATGAGAAAATAAACAAAAACTCAAGAAAACCAAGATGATAATCAAGAAAAGTAACAACCCATCATAATCTATTCAATCAGGAATGAAAACATCCACACACGTAGCAGATTATGAGATGACGCTATCACAATAATCAATAGGATAGGAATAAGATTTGCATAAATATTGAAAAATAAACGTAGAAAGCACACGTTCGAGAGTCTTTTATTATCTATGTTGTGTGTGTGTGTGTGTGTGTGTGTGTGTGTGTGTGTGTGTGTGTGTGTGTGATAGAGAGAGACGTAAAAATGTGTAAAAAATGAAACGCGAAGATTGGGCAAGAGTCAGAACGTACCTTAGATTTACTGCTTTTAATGATATGACCTTCGTCGAGAATGATATAATTCCAGTCAATCGACCTATTTACGCCGTAAAGAAGAAAAGAGAAATCAGTGATTTGATTAGTGTTTGCAAGCTGATGGATATGAATAGTGCGATGAGCTATACACACATATATACACAGATTTTACGATTATCTATATTGGCGAAATAACACATTCATGGAAGTAGCTGTTAATACTGGATACAGAATTGTCGAAAAGCAACAACAGAATGGCATTATTCGGAACATAATTTGGAACATCTGAAAGCAATCATTCTTCTCTTGCATCACAATCCAAGACAAGCTTACTATCACCAAACTTGATTATTTGTTAACCAACTCTTCGGTTTTTTAAACCATGTGAAATGGAGAATATGAAAACTGTTACTCACACTCCAAATAAGTAATCACTAACAGCTTCATATAAGACTACATTTCACAGTTATAGTCAAAATGCGTATCATCACCTAACTGCAAAGTTCGAAGTTGTGAGCAAATCACAAAAAAGTATAGTCCCTGAGTCATTAGGCTACCCATACAAAAAAAACTTATCTGAACTGTCAAAACTGAAAAGTTGGTTACAGTTCAACTTTGGGAATTCAATTTAAGCATTGTGTGTGTGTGTATGTGTGTGTTTAGTGTCCGCATTTTAAGCATCACTGAACGAAACTTCAATCATCCTGTACGTTTTGTTTCAATTCATCAAGCAGTTTGCAAACGTCTAATCTGATCCTACATTAAACCAGTCCACTAACATAGTTGATCGAAACATATTGATCTCGTAGGTGAATCAACTAGTGTACACAGCTGATCAGTTTGACCTCAAACGAACGAGATATTAATCAAGTGTTCAGGTTACTACAACCAGGATAAGGAGCAAAACGGATTGGCAACAGTAGACTATAGTTAATTGTGTCAGTTAGCAGAATACATACTACAGCTTTTATACTTATAATTTCAACACAATTCATATTATTCATAGATCAGACAATGCAGTCTGAATAACTAGATTTCATAAAAACTATAGTAGGATTTAACGAATAAGTTCCATCTCTTTATATCATTCTCATTTTGGTCCTATGTGATTAAATTTAACTAAAAAACCTCTCAATAGTCTAAATGAGTGCAAGTACTGTGGTAGAATATTATTCCACGTCTAGTTGACCTGCGATATCCAGACGATATTTTCCAGCTAGGTGAAAACGCTGACAAAATGCTGGGTCATCTGAAAGCCTTGAGCAGAAATCGCTGTATATTTGACATGCATTTCACACTTGTCAAACGTAAGGTAGTGTTCCAGGATTGGAGCATGATGGGAGTGAACTGGTGAAATGTGTCAACCACTTCACTTACTTGGAAAGTTGCATCACCCGGAACGGGCTGATTGCTCACGAAATCTCAGCACCGATAAGTGAGGTCCGTTTGGCATTTGCCAACTTGCATCACCTGTGGAGTCGGAGAAATATCCAACTATCTATCAAAATACGAGTATATCGCACTGCTGTAGTCTGTTTTGTATTGCTATACGGCTGTCAGACATGGTCGTTACAAGTAGAAGATATGAAACAGTTACGGGGTTTCGATCACAAGTTATCTATGTAGTATTGCACACATTTGACGGAATCACCATGTCAACAATGTTGAGGTCAGGCGAAGGGTATTAGGAAAGAAAAGCCAGTCAATTGATGAGGTTGTGAACATTACTTAACATGTACTGCGCATGCCTAGACACTGCTTACATCAACGTGCCATGCTAGAAGAAAAACGATTACGTTGGAAGAGGGTTCAGGATGACCAGACAAAAACGTGGTACCAGTTCATGAAGTCCTGATTGTTGATCTCACTAATGTTAGGAAATGTAGACTACGTAGCTGAGGTACCCAAGATAAAAAGAATCGGTGAATGAGAACTCTTGGTGATATGGGTGAAAAACGGCCACAGTGACGCAGATGTATTCACACTTTCACATTTTATAAAGTTTGAATATTTCCACCACCTGTTATCTTCAAAATACATATTCTTTCACACAACTCTGTTTACTTTGAAATTACTCTGATTCTATCCAGCTGTTGTTTGTGTAATACCTATGAATTGTTGCAACTTGACCCGACACATCTGTTTGTGAGGTTCTACGTTGATTTTGTCAGTCATTCAGTCAGTTAATTCACATTAGATTTTCTTATTTGACACATCACACTGTGGCACAGTACTACTACTAACTTGATGAAATTTTGAGCATAAGCTATTGTTCACACTAAAATAGTTACACAATCTTTTGTAGCTCCATAAGTGGTAGTAAAGCTTTTCATATTTCTGGAATAGGTGTTGCATCACTACTCCTACTTCATGTGTTGGGTTTCTATTCGACGAGCGACCATCTGGCAATCAAACTCACTCTTCATAAGAACACATTTTAATATAATCCCAGCATGTTTAGAAAATCAAAACAAGATATTTCTGAACGTTTCGCTGTATAAGCCACAGCTTCTTCAGCAGAATACACACATTTTTTTATTAACCTCAATAACAAATACTAATAAAATCCGTATATTCTGATGTAGAAGCTATGGCTTACACAGCGAAACGTTAAGATATATCTTGTTTTGATTTTTTTTTAAACACGCTAGGATTATATTAAAATATATTCTATAATGATTCAATCAGAGTCGGTGCCCAACTTCTTCCAGGACATTCGTAACAACTATGGTCTGGATGTTTATAATCTTACTCTTCACCTAAATTTAATGAATTTTATTAAAGTTGGTTTATGCTGCTGTACATAGCTCATACTAACAAATACAGAATTCATGAACTGATGGACTGGTCACCTGTAACCTTTTTTCAACTTAAACCTACCTACCGTAGTTAACTTTGTGCCACGAGAAAAACGGTGACTAGGAATGCGCAACACAGTCACTTGAATCAATGAAAGTCCACCACCTCATCAACTGATGTTTCTCAATAAAACGTTACGCCTAACTTCTATGTTACTGATATGGTGAAACCACAACACATGGGTCTTTGCTAGGAAGGTAACAGTGATCTAACACCAGGAATCTACCCATTTTCTCTATGTTTAATGCCAATGTTTTGCAACCATAAATTAGAACAAAATGAACTCGAGCACAACATTCTCTTTGATAGGTAGGGGCGTATCACGATGACGTCATGATTAGCGTGAGTTGGCACAAACCATGCTCACCTTTTGTATCCATGCTATGATTTCATCGGTTGTTGACCTACCAAGGTTGATCTGACTTCTCAGGTGAAGTGGTTAACGTACTAAACCACTTGACTCCTTTCTGTTGGAAAAGGAACTATTCCTGGAGCAACAGTTTTCATTTGTTCAGTCAGAAAGGTAACTAAAACACGGTACATGTTCATAGTCAGAAATGTTAGTGTTTTGGCTAATGAAGCTTATTATCACATTTGATGGAGTGTGCGGACATTGAAAGCTGCAATATGTAATTTGGAGCGCGATTTCACGAAACCAGGAATGCTGTTATGTGAATTCAAATCGTTGTCAAGAGTTGAAAACCTTGAAAAAATTCAAGATGAAGTAGGAATATTTATCAAGATATGAAAGGAAAGATAAGGCAAATATGTCGAAGTTTGATCATTATTTGAGAGAGCTTAAGTACTGACAGAGTTGTGAGGATAGTTGACACTTCCTTCCTGCCTATACTGTGACAGGTTACTTCTTCTTGAGACACCTGGAAAAGGAAGTGTGTGGAAAAAAAGTGTTGTGTGACTGCACAACCTAAGGAACATTTGCTTGAGGCTGATCAAATGCGGTTTTTTCTTTGAGAGAGATTTAGAGCTTGTAAGAAGGCTAATTACAATATCATGAATAGGCTGTCTACAAGTGAAAGACATCTGAGAGAAATAATGAGCACAAAACTCAACAAAGAGTATGATCAGAAATATGTGAGACAACCCTCCAGCCAGACGAAAATCAATAAAATTCGTCAGTAGGATGCTGATAGGTCGAATCAATGGGAATGATACTTTAAAACATAACTAATATAGTTATTGAAGAGCTGTTACTGTAACAGAAATAAACGATGAGTGATAATTTAAAACACTCACTTGAAAAACTCCACATCACTGCGAACTGAATCATAGGACGTAATGATTATATCATGTTGATAAAACTTTGACTGAAGGCTGAAAAAGAATACACAGACATATACATCAGCATTTTCTCCCACAAGAATGAGATGAGGGAAAATACCAATAAACTGATTACCCTTCCAGTCCTGCATGCTGAATGGGTTCTCTCAATTAAATTTTCAACATGACCATCGAACTAAGAGACTTACAATGACCATATACTTTGTTCGATGTAGACTAGCTATATTTAATCAGTGTATGTTTCTTAGCGATCAGCAATGCCTTCAAAGGAACTGATGCTACCTTACAGACTTGAATCAACTGATACCGTAGTTAAAGACTAATGTCCAAGTAACATGAACTTGATCGATTCACATATCATCTGCTTTGTTCATTGAACAAATTAAACAACAGTGTACACATCATTCAACTCTTTGCATAACTTTCTCGATGTTTAAAAACAGAGCGAATTTCTATCATTTTATACCACGAAATCGGCTTATGATCAAAGGTTTGTGCAGATAGCCAATGCCATAAACGTAAGCGATAGAATGAAGAATAAATAATACCCTTCAGATTATTTCAGCAATAACAGGATGTTGAAAAAAATTAGCGAAACAATGGCTCACTGGTTTAGCCAGTTAACTTTTAACCAGTGTGTCACAGGTTCAAACACTGCTCCACCTACTAAGGTTTAGGCAGTCAGGTAGTATCATCAGTCCCCATACAAAAAGTGTGGTTTATTGCCTACTGTATGGATGTGCACACAGTTGCTGAGTGTTTTGTTTTCATAACTAAATCAAATAACTCATAACTACACGAGTTGATAAAGTGTGAAGTGCGAAAATCCCATGCATTCTCAACAAATTATTTGTCTTGAATTAAAATTCAATGACAATTCTAGAAAACTAAAAGGATGTATTTTCATAAATGTCCGATTCATACTTAAAACAAATGTCATAGGTTATTTCAGGTCAGCTAGATCAGTACATCTACATCACTAAATACCTCCTGACAACACTTTTCACAGTTATACCTTGTTAATCATAACATACGAGGAAGGTCACAAAAATTTTTGCGGACTATCGCTGGATCGTATTCTGCTGGAAAGATGCTGGATTCCAGGCACACTCTTCGCCTACACAGATAGAGATATGCAAAGTACAATATAGTAATCTAGGTCACTGAAAATCTACGATATATTCAGTTGTCTATATCTTTTACTACTTCATTATGTGCAAACAAAGATAGTGAAGAACGGCTTGTACAAGTGCTGCTTAACATCAGCTTAAGCAAATGAAAAGAAGTGAATGAGGGCAAAATGTAGACCAGTTAGTTGAATAATATATCATTTATTATGAAATTATTTTAACTGTGTAGCAACGGACAGGCTTATTAAACAGAAAAAGATAGCATCAAAATAATGAAAAGCATTAATTGGACAACCATATAAATCAATAATAATTGCATACAGATAAAACTACAAAGATCATTATCCAGGTATATTCTTCTGCGTACAGCTTTTTTAGTGTTTTCTTACTACGGTAAATTTTCTATCCTGTACTGTTGTCTAGAGTATGTCTATGAGGTGAATTGAATTGACGAGCTGTAGCATAACGTTCCACACTGTTATGAAACTTTCTGTTTGGTAACTGAACAACTTCGTAGCTCACTCGTAGAGCATCAGGCCAAAAACCCAGTGGCCGTTGGTTCGAATCCCGTCGCGGTTCAAATTTTCACTTCCCCTTCAATCATCAACCAGTGTCAATACTGGTCTGCCAAACCACTGTTATCTCAGATAGTCAGTATGATAATCAATATGATGCTCCCTCTCTCTAATTCATTTAGATTGGGATCGGGATGAGAAGTCCTGACGAGATAGCCAATGTGAGCACGATCAGGCGATAGTGACGCGTCACAAATTCACATAGCAGTCGGACAAAACTCATGGTGATTGAACTGAAATAAAAATTTGGTTAGCAGTTGACCCTAGTAGCTCAGTTATTCGAGTATCGGGCCAAAAACCCAATGATCGCTGGTTCAAATCCTGTCGTGGGCCAAATTTTCATTCTACCTTCAACGATTTCTAACAACTCAGAGGAGAAGCTTTAACACCTGACCACTTTTATGTGTATATATCAATTCACCTAGTCTTGTGGAGCCAGGTATACAGGTCGTTTGACTCTATCGTTGTCCAAAAGGTTTCAAGAACAATAACACGTGTGGCTACATACAGGTAACAATGGAGCGATAAGGAGTGTTATAATTGAACACATCGTGAACACAAATCACCCTGCCTCAAGAACCTCCTCGTTCAAAGTCATCTATAAAGTGAAAAGAAACCTCCCAAACGCTGTAAGTCTTCGTATTCTCTGCATCGTCGAAGCTGTTGCCATCCAAAATGGAAAACCTGAACTGTGTACACAAAAGACGATTGTTCAACCCCTTCTCCTTTCATGGCCTTAGTTTTCAGTCTTTGAAATCTAGTATACCCACCCCCTTTCTTTTCATTTCTCTGTTTCGACAGTATTCACTTTGAAAGTAATTTCATACTCATTCTCGTTGTTATGCTCTGCCTGATAACAATTCAGTTTCCAGTTATGTCGTCGTGTTAGGAAACTTCTTGTCAAAACTTATTTTGATTAATATTCACTATTCATCAGTTTTCGGGTTTTTTTTAATTTATTTTAATGACAGCTCATTTATTGACACTATTTGTATTGCCATGCTCGACAAATAGTTTTTAACTATCAAATGCTTACACTAGAAAAAAAACCAGCGATTGTGCAGCTTTGAAAATGAAATCACCGAAAAGAGACTCTTCGCTGAAATACTTTTTCTTCGTTCATAAATTACATTAGTTAGTGTTAAAGTTAGCCAAACATAAGCAGCATAATATCGAATTTAATGAGAGTAATTAGCTCACCTTTGTCGAATTGTCGGGCTACCAGCATAAATAAGTGGATTCAAATCTTCAATCTGTGCATATTGTTGTATTTCGTGAAACCAATGACCACATAATGTAGATGGGCATACAACCAATGAAAGTGGTAGTTGTTTGTGAGACATAGCTGTCCGTCGCATTGACTCATTGGATTTTACATCTTCTTCAGTAGTTTTCATCTTTTTTAACTTCTTCGGCATTGATTTAGAACTTTTCCCTGTTGTTAACTCATTATCTGTTTTATGCCTAGTGTCTAGTAGTAGAGACTGTTTTAACTCATGATGACTACCTGCTAGTATACAGATAGTTTGAAGTGTTTTACCCAAGCCTAAGTCATCACATAGTATTCCATTTAAACCATAACGATTAAGGAAGCATAACCAATTAACACCATCCTATTGAAAAAAGAAAGAAAGAAAAAGCAGTTTAAGGGAAAAAAAGTGAATATAAGAAAGGGGTTAACAGATTAAGTGAAGTATATGATCGAAATTGATAAACTAAGTAAAGACTTAGGTATACTTGAAGGACTAAAACTGTGGGCTGACGTGGAAGCGATTGCACACCTTCCTGAATCCATCCTACAATGCGTACTACATCCATACTTCAGAGAGGTATTAAGCATACATACTATATCAGTGATGAATGATATATTCTTGTCTAGTGTATTAAGGTGGAAATAGATCATGACGAATAAGTTATATTGGGTTAGGTAAAGAAATCATTGAATTTATTGGTCTCTATAGGTTGAACAGTTACATGACGACGTCTGTCTCTGGTTGAAACCCACAAACCAGCATTTAGATATTCTCTAGACATAAACAATTGGCTTCCTAAGTGTTTTCTAACATTTACTTGTTCAATTATAACCGTCCAAATCATAAACTTTAGACGGTATCGAAAACACTGAATGAAATATGGAGACTAAACTCATATTTTATTTAAATTAGGCTTAGTCTAGACTATTGGTTTGGATAAAATCGTGTACAGGATGCCACTAGGTATTAGCAAACTTTGGTTCGAATTTGCTGCCTAGTGCATCCCGGTTGCAACCGAACAGATATGAACTTAGTAAAACACACACACTCACACACAGAGAGAGAGAGAAAGGAGAACATGCAAATTGCTTATTATTATCATCATTAATCCAAAGGGTTCTTAGTGGAACATAGGGCCTCAGTAGCACATCTCCACTTCACTCTCTTCTCTTCAATCTTTTCAATCTGACTCCACAACTCCCAACCACCTTTCTTTTCTCCTCACACATCTCCTCAATATCACACCCTCACCTCAATCGCCCAACTACTCAGTTCCCATTTCCATCCTACTCCACGGCCTAGCCTGACGCGTGAAATTCATAAACCATCTTCTCACTGTATGTCCAATTCAATCCATCTCCACTTTCTTCTGCATCTTCCTTGGGTGATAGCTTCTTGCTTGGATGGTTCGTTCGTTCGTCCGTTCGTTCGTTGCCAACCAGCCAGCTGCCAAGTCAAACTTCCTTGTTACTTATTCTTATTATTCTGACCATCTGATCTTTAGTGTCAGTATCGAATGAGTGTAGGCGGCAGCTGTTCATATATGTCTACAGTTTGTTCGAAATACTTTTCGTAACACGTCAAGTCTCTCAACCATCACATAGAAGCACTGACTTACTTGACTGAATTAGTAGTGTTGAAAATCCGGATCTCTCTCACGCTTTATACTGAGTGCAGTGTAGTAGGTCTACACACTGATTTCAATCAATCAACGCCTGTCTTGCTTTCCCGATCCTGGTTTGACATCATCATCTATCTGTGCCTGTGCCACTTGTAGTTGAAACGATGCTGCTAAGGCAGGTAGGTGAAAGAGACTACTTCCCTCAGATTTCTCCCGTTAATGGTGATTGGTGCCTCTTGTTGTCGTTGTTGGTTGGGTATCTTCATCACCTCCATCTCTGTCTTCTCTACCTTCCCCTGAAGGAAGTCCCGTCTTCACTGCCCTTTTGTCAACTTGTTGGTTTCCCCCTGTACATTTTCCAGTTTGTGTGACATTCGACATAAATCATCGTTAGCGAAATCCATCTCGTCTAGGATTTTTTCATTCGCGAAACAGCATATGCCCATCTTCTCACAGCTCATCACAGTTTGTTGCATGATCTAGTCAGTTCAGTCTAGTTGACCACAATCAGGAAGATCATCGGTGATGGTAGACGACAACCTTGTCTTACTCTTATCCCCTGTCTTCACTTCAAACGCATCACTGAGCTGAGTTTTCCATTGTGAATCACTTGGCATGTGGCGTCGTCATATAGCTGTTGAATGGGGTTGATAAAGGTTTGTGGTACTCTGTAGTGTTGAAGCAGTTGATTGTCAATTACTTCTCGTCGACGCTGTCGAAGGCTTTTTCAAAGTCGATGAAGTTGCAAATTGCTAATAGTAAGAAACAAATGAAGCATATGATAACCGAGGCCAACAGAAGCACTTTGAAAATTAATAAACTCCACAGCTGACTAATTAAGAGCTCTGAATAAACACCATCCCACTGAGTAATCTTCACAACTGATGTATAGAATAAATTAGATACCTCCATATAAAAGTTATATGATTATTTAGTTAGTGTTAATCACGTCCAAAATGTCTATTATAGTATTCGATAAGGTCATATCACTGTAATAAAGGGAGAAGGGGTGAGCAGGACAGTTATCAAACCCTCTAGTGTATATGCGGGTCAACAAAACAGTAAACTGTTCAAAGCATAATCATTACTATGAAACTAACCAGACAACAAATTATGTATGTATATTTATGAAGAGATTATTTATTCAATTAGCCTTGTGTACAAAACAATATACGTAAACCGCATACCCACTGCACGCATAATGCAGCTAATGATCATAGTAACAAATCATACAGTTGATCACAACGACAAGCTACAGTTAACAGTTTTTGTTCAACAGCCTACTGGTCGATAGTTAGTACTTTACTATGACAACTGATAAATGTTGATCCAACAAATCACATCACTGTAGAAAAAAAAGTAAGCATACTAAACCAACACAAAAAAGGCGAATACCTGCTGATAGGAACGTAGTGTTGCATTAATTTTGATTGGTAGATTATACAGTTGGATACGATCAGGGTGTAGTAAACTGTCAATAAATTCACGATGTTCAACACGGATCTGTTTAAATTCTTCCTTCATTTTCTCAGGGTTTGGAAGAGAAGTCTACACGAGAATGAGAGAGAGACAGAGTGGACAATAATGAATTATAACTAGTCGGATTCTTCGTCAGAAAATATACAAATGTTTTGTGGATTAATAAACTAAGCAAAATATAACGCTGAACAAAAGTGCGCTAGATCAAATTGCCACACTTTAAAAACATCATACAGAGATGAGGGAGTAAACCACAGTGAAGTGATGTTAAAATGGAGCTGTAGCCCATTGGTTTAAAGAGATGACTACCAACCATTGGGGCACGGGTTCGAACCCTGCTCCACCTATCAAGGTTCGGGTACCCGGGTAGTATCGCTAGCCCTCACATACTAGGTGTGCTTCACTATCTGGTGCATGGATGTATACAACGTGGCTGAGTGCATCAGATGTTAAAGTAAATAAAAAGGTTATGTAGCAGAGGGTAAATAAAACCATTGGAATTCCGAAAATGAGAGAGTAAATACATCTGGATCGTTATGATCAAATCTGAATCTGGTGTCGTTAAGTTCCCAACTCCGTAACAACATTGTAACAGCGCAGAAATAGTGAAGGAATAATCACCAATAGATGCATAAAAACCCCAATGTTCAAACAGGAGATTAATTTATATCCTCATGACCTGTAGTCAGATCCCAGTGAATTACATACGGGGCAATCAATCCTATTATTTGTGGTCACTTTTATCAGTGATGTACACGGACAAATTCGGTCAACTGAGTGAAACTGCTCATATTAACGACTTCGATGGACCAACATCTCAATTAGAATTCAAATACACTCAACTCATGATAGTCTACTACCAAGAAGAAACTCAGCAGTAAATCCATCAAGTACCATTAAAGTGTGAAGGAAAAAAATATATGAAAGAATGGAAACACTATCAAATAAACTGAAAATGCTCACCTCTAAGGGTAATAAATTCAATAAAGCTGTAAACAGTTTACCCGCAACTGAACGTGTCTCCTCATTAGCACTGGATATTAATCTGAGGGTTGGAGTCAGTAAAAGAACAAGGTACGGAAGAAACAATTTCAGATTACTGGATAATGATAACTCCGTTGCAACTGCACTATGGTTATTATCGATAGTACTGCTTGCGACTGTAATTTCAGTAAGATTTTCTGACAGTTTTACTTCAGTATTATTCTTCATCATCAATTGTTCATCGGAACACCTTGATGCACCGATAGACTTCTTATACACAGATAATAAACAGGATGACTTTGAATTTGGTTCAACAAGTGGATCATTCAGGATAGCTGGTGGAATATTTCGAAGCATATAAGTAGATTTATTGTTCGTATTGGTGAATTTATCCACAATAGCTATAAATGAAACAGAAACATAACAATTTTCAGCGAATAAAAATGTAACAGAATTAGATAACTGTTCTGTGAATCAGTGTCAGTGTGGTTCAATAACTCCAGGGAATAGAATTCAACACCTTCTCAGTTAAACAGTGATCTTCGAAGTCGTCGCAAGTGTGTACTCTGTTCAGGACCATCGGCTAAGTCATCTAACTTTCAGCGAGGATGTAATGGGCTGAAACCATACATTACTGAATGAGTCCAAAATAACCCTAACACAACAGGCATAGACTTATAGCTTATTGACGACCGTATAACTCAGAGGTGACTTCACTATTACTACAATTTATCACGCTACTAAAGAGTAGTAGCATAAGACAATGGATTTCCAGCATACAATGAACCTAAGTGACTGTTCTGCTAGCATAGATCTACTATGAAAGATAATATTAATGTACAAAAGCAGAGTATTAACGTAGTGCTGAATATGGTAGACATAACAGAAAGGCAATTTCATTATTTATTTACTAAACACAAACTTGGTATATGATAAGCAACAAGAACTATGTCACACAATTCAGATATGAAGTATAGGCCTACTTTTGTTCAATAAAATGAAAGTTTATTGATGCTAACCCGTTACATAAGGTACATTATCTGAAGTGCAGTCTCGACAGGAGATCAACTGTTCTGGAGTTAAATGCCTAACCCAATTTAAGCAAATGATAATAACAAAAAGAATCCATCCTTTATAGCTCTAGTCAACTCTTGAAGTGTATCACCATTGAACTTAACGAAAAAAATCCATTGATAAGATTGAACAAATCCTTTCAAAAGCAACAAACATTATCTAGAAGAGCTTAGTGTAAACCAAGCAAAGAAACACTAAAAAAACAGGTAATATCATTGACTTCACTCGGATAAATGAACTAAATATGTCTTGAAACTTGAAAGGAATACATGTCTGCGATAGCAAGTTATAAGTGCTTATTTACTTGTAAACTTGAATTCCACATTAAGAGAAAATGTGCAAAAGCATGTCATGACACTGAATGTATCACAAAAAATACTTCCTGAGAAAAATTAAACTTGCATAAACTAGTCATAGTAAATACTTAACTTCAGATAACTAGAAGAAGGCATGCATAAAACATCACCAGAACTCTATTAATCGGCTGTACATTTTAACCTCGAGACTCACTTAGTGATATCGAATACTTTTTCGTGGAACTAAGGATTTATTAAATTATTATTTTTCCCTTGAGTTCCAAGTGAAACATAGGGTTTCAGCAGCACATCTCCACTTCACTCTCTTCTCTTCAGTCTTTTCAATCTGACTCCACAACTCCCAACCACCTTTCTTTTCTCCTCACACATTCTCCTCAATATCACACCCTCACCTCAATCGCCCAACTACTCAGTTCCCATTTCCATCCTACTCCACGGCCTAGCCTGAAGCGTGAAATTCATAAACCATCTTCCCACTGTATGTCCAATTCAATCCATCTCCACTTTCTTCTGCATCTTCCTTGGGTGATAGCTTCTTGCTTGGTTGATTCGTTCGTTCGTTCGTTCGCTGCCAACCAGCCAGCCTGCCAGCCAGTCAAACTTCCTTGTTACCTATTCTTATTATTCTGACCATCTGGTCTTTAGTGTCAGTATCGAATGAGTGTAGGCAGCAGCTGTTCATATATGTCTGCAGTTTGTTCGAAATACTTTTCGTAACACGTCAAGTCTCTCAACCATCACATAGAAGCACTGACTTACTTGACTGAATTAGTAGTGTTGAAAATCCGGATCTCTCTCACGCTTTATGCTGAGTGCGGTAGATCTCTGCATTCATTTCAGATTAATGAAAGCCTGTCTTGCTTTGATAGGTTGTACGTTGATTATGCCAGTCAGTCATATAGCATACAATGTTGGGGTTAGGGTGTAGGGAAAAGACAAGTCAGTCGATACCTTAAGTTACTGAGGTGACATGTGTAAAGGTGGTATGTTAGACAAAATAAGATTCAGACAGAATAAAGCCGAGGGTGACCAAACTAACATGTTCCAACATTCCATGAGGCCGCCAACTTCTCATATGAGCTGTGTAACTGTCTGGCTACGGTTCTCTAGAATCGATTCAAACTAATTGCCATCGCGCCGATACGGAGTCTTTTCATATTCAAAGTTTTTAAAATATTCATAATCTCCATCTTTTTATTCTTCTAAATCACATAGACTTTTTTTTAAAATCTAATTTAACATCACTTTTTTCTCATTCACTCGTTTTTTATATGCAGCTATGAAGTATGCCAACTTTAACTTAGGATTTCTCCGTGCCAATTTCAACGTCGATTTGTATTTGCCGTACAAGCCTTAACTGACATAAGACCAGTTAGAAATTGTGATTTGAACATGCTGATGTAGAGTTTACTAACACATCCAGACAAATATCTTAGTTCGAAAATAGTTTCTACTATCTGTGACCGATTCACCAACAAATCAGGGAAATGAACTGCATCGATGAAAACATGAATAATTTAGATTGCAACTTTTATCAAGAGAGGGTTTCAATTCTCAATTGATTCTTTAAAAGCATAAAAACAGCGATTAAAAAGTAATCCAAATCTTACAAAATATTGTAATTTTGGTTCCCCAAAACAATTGTTAGTATTACATAATATTGTAGTTCATCTTGTCTAATTTACAGGTCAAGTTTAAATACAATGTAAAAAAAAAACCTATTCAATTGAAGTGAGTAAATTTTTTTCGAATCTGAACTCACTTAAAAATGTCTCCAATGCCCCGATACAGATTGCAGATGAATCAGAGATTAAAAAACTGCTATCATTAGATAACAGTAATAACGGTAACAGAATATTCAATGTATGAACAGGTTGAAGTAAGGTCAATTCAGCTAGTAGACGTGCTCCAATTCGACGACATGCAGGATACGGCAAACGAACAACTAATGAACCTAACCATATAATTTGTTCGAATGATATTTCGTAGAAGACATGAACATCATCTTTCTTTTCTACCCTTCGATCAGGATCAAGACAGGGTAGAATGACGTTCAAACATACTGACAATAAAGTTAACCCAGTGACTAGTTCATCTTGCTTTGATTTTGGTACGTTGATTGCATTCAGTGAGGAGTTGTTTAGTTTAGTTTCTGTAAAAAACACATCCGAAAAAGAAAATAAAGTGTTATTTAAACAAAACAAGCTGTTGATCAAAGCAAGTAAAAGGTGAAAGTGTAGATCAAAAAAAGCATTATCAGAGGATGCTATGATATCAGAAAACTCAAGGACAAAATAAACGTCCATGCGATACATGTCTTTGTGTGAAGATTAATGATGGTACCTGGCTACCAAAATTCTAGTCCAACCAGGAGATGCAAATTTGTGACCCATGAAAATTCAAATCCAAGACCTATCAGTAAACCAACTGAAATTGAAAAAGTCAGAAGGAAGGCCTCTATAAGAGAACAGCTATATTTCTTCCCTCAGTGTCAGCATATTTTGCCGACCAATATCAGACATAGATCATCTATTAACTGTTCAATAGGGTAGAAGTAGCAGAGAGAGAAATAGAAAACGAATGGTACATACATCCAATGAACAAAGCTGACAACTACGATCGAAAAATCAAGCAGATAACACGAAGAACAAAGAAGAAGCATTATTTGAAAAAGCTAATCAAAATCCCAAAACTGCAAGCATCAGATAAAGAAGCAAATAACTGTCTAGTCGACTTGTCTAAATTACCTAAACAACTCGTTTTTCAGACAAGACTCAATTGCAGCATAAGAGATGCTTCAGAATCAAAATTCTTCAACTCATCGGAACCATCGCTAAGGGACTAAACAATTAAAGCCAAAGGGAAACACGACAAATAAATATGTTTTTGACCAGGCGAAAAGAAAACTATGCTCAACCAATCCATAAGTAGAAAGTTTTGAAGACTGAAGAATAAAGACAACGTAGTTATAGTTCCAGCTGATAAAAGTCACGGATACATTTGACATCAAAAAATGGAAGTGCATATCACTCAACCAATTGAGATAAGCCTTATTCAAAAGCTGTACATTTGTAATCATACTTACAACAAAAGAACTTATGGAAACACTTGAACACCGAATAAGTGTGATTCATCTTACAAAGTGTATTTTAATTGTGTTACCCCGTCGAGGTACGTTAGAATAAATAACAAAATATTTAAACTGGGTGATGATTCAAGGGAAAATCAAAATTTGAACATCAGTCAGCAGTTGGACCTCGTAGCTCAGTTGGTAGAGCATCGGGTTGGAAACCCGGTGGTCACTGGTTTGAATCCAACCGCGGTCCAATTTTTCATTTCACCTTCAAATTATCACCCAGCATAAATACTAGTCTGCCAAACTACGACTATTTCAGATAGTCAAATGATAAACAAAATATTTTTGTTATTTATTCTAATATAATTCCCTGGGATAACATAAGTGAAATGGGACTTAAACGATGCAAACAGATATTATGCTGTGTGATTTTTCAAAGGATAACTACCAATTACTCAAAATATATATGTCCATCAATGGCTAATGGGTCAACAGGTCACCAAAAACGGTCAATAACGCCCAGAAGGTCAAAGTGAGGTCATCAGAAATTGCTTATAGGGCTATAATAAATAAACAAACAAATGAATAAACTGCCTAAGGGAGATAGCTGGCAAGGCAAAACTATAGATTGGATTTATCTCTTTTGAATACAAAGATCAAATTTATAACGTTGGATTGTCAAAGCCTTTGTTGTGTTCACGTGGCGAATAAGCACTCCCTTCGAGATTTTTGACTTCATTTTATAAATAACTTTGAGAGAAGACTCTAGTAGAGCACAGCGACCAGAGATAACTAAATGCTCAAGAATTGAGCTGTTGAGGGCTTTACATTATCCTTTAGACAGTCACGCAGGATAGTATTCAGAGATATATTTCGATAGGACAGGGTTATAGCAACCGTGTTTACTGCTGAATAATGTAAGTGGTAACAAACCACTCACGTTGATCAGTAGATTTCGCTGGTCGGTTCAGACTAACATAAACAATGAACATTTGTTTTGCTCGTTTGGAACCAGGATTTACCCATACTTCTCAGCAGGTCCTGACACCGAGCGTCTAATTCAGTCAATTCATTTTTATGACAAACAACTGCATCGCATGCAGTTAGCGAATAGGACAACATACAAGATCATCAGGACACGCAATTCAGCTAACTCTGGCGAAATTCTTATAATTTATTACTATCTAAAGTTTGTGCTCATGATATTCTATGAAAATGACAATGAAAGCACCGCGATTAAACTATCCAGCTCAAAGACCATAACACCACTTAAATACAGGGTAACTGTCCTTAAATACCTTAGATGCTCTTTCGCATTTCAGGCTAAGTACACAAATACTGACTCCAGAAAGAGTTGGAGGCTCAACATCAATGTTCCATTTATGCTTTAATTGGATAGTTGGCAACAGAAGAGCAGTTGAAGTCAAATGTTCATTTCAGTGACTTCCCCTCAATGTGGTCATTAATTCATTTTCCCCTTATTTGTAATGAAGCCGAAACCAAAACAAATGGTCATGTATTTACAATATTCCATCGACTGTCAGTCAACCTACGTCTAAGCTGCTTCCAATCCCCAACTTACTCGTAGTAAACTACATTGTCCTCGGTAAAATTGATAGGTGAATGTATCTACATTATTGTGACCCATTTTAAATTAGGTCACTTAAAGCCACTGGTTGTTGACAACTATCAACAGTTTTCACATACTTCAGTCCAACGATCGATCAGTGGTCTCATGAATCGATATTACATCTCAATTTTATCATCTCAGTAACTTCCTAGACAACGTACCTCGCTCGACCTCCGCAGTGACTGCAAAGAGACCAGAATAGAGACGAAAACGCATGAACATATAGAAGGGTGAATAAACAAACGAAAGCTTACCATGACTCAATTTCTTTAAAAGTGAGTAGTTATTTTCATCTAGTTCTGTTTGATCGTTTCTGTTAGATTTACCATTTTCTATGAAACTATCAAGTTGACGATATGCACTGATAATAATTTCAACTGGATTCACCCAGAATACACTCCACAATGATGGTAAACCAAAACGAACACTATTCAATGAAGCATGTGTTAATGGATAATTAGCGAATGAATCACTTTTGCTTATTTCGGTTTGTGATGATAACGATGAGGAGAATTGGCAGGCTTTGCTGACTTCTTCACAATGATAAAATGTAATAAATGCATGACAAATACAGGATAGAGTGTTATAAGCACCACGATATTGAGATGATTGACACTGTGATTCATAAGAGGACGGGGATGATGATGTACTCTCCGTATCCAGTCGAACAGACTATATATTGTAGAGAGAACCACAGGAAGAAACATAAAAGTAAAAGAAATGGGTGAGATTAACAAATAAATAAAGTGGACACTCTTACTACGTGACAATTCCGTGCTGATCTTATCAATAACTGTTATACAATAGCGATCCTGATAAGCTTAGCTAGATCACAAGGACGTAAAAAACAACTACTGCTACTACTGAGTTAGGTGAAAACACCAAGCAAGAAAAAAATTCTAAGTTTCAATTTAGTTAAGAACGCTCAAACTTTGCATACGATTGAGTAGTAAGACGAAAATGCAAATACCGCGTAACTGAGGGATTCCTTGGGGAACTTGACCCGACATACATGGTTAAATATAATTAAAAAAAATAGCAACAGACATAAAGTTTACTGTTCAATGCTCTCATCACATTCATTTACGTCTAATTCCCCTGACTATTAAACGTCTTGGTATGAATACTGCATTAAAAGCGGGATTTCCCCCAACTCTTGACACACGCTAAGTTGAAACCATGTTATAGAAGAGTCGTGCTATACAACAGCTGTCTTTATTTCAAAGAAGCCCTGTTCCATTTAGAATATCTTAAAACATATCCACTATTTTTCGACAAGTAACTCCCACCTATTCATATTTGTGCGTTGATTTTTGGTTGCCTTTTTACGGTTACACTTGTAATTTCCAGTATGTAACTGAGCATTCACAATGTTAATATCAAATGGCTTGCTGTGAACCAAAATCAATAAATTTGACTAGCTGATCGATTGAATAAGATCATCAGTGAGCAAAATATAATAGGTGCATAAAAGTATTGAAGTATGACCCGATGTCGGATAGAAGATTTAAAGTTGATCTTGACAACGTGGATGCATTCCGTCTCTACTCATCATCTACACCGATAATGATATTACGTAATATTCTCACTAATAAAACTGTGAACGGAAAGCAAAACTCTACTATCGGCACACGATAACCGATTATCAACAGTAGCTTATAACCACTTTGACTGCAAATCATAGATTGTTCCTTCACTGGTCATTATTAGAAATAATACTGGATGATGATAGGTGAAATGAGAACCGCAGTAACAACAGGATTCGAACATCAATAAAAGCTAGTTTGCACATCAAACAGAATTACCACTTTCCTTCCCAAGTAACCTGTTAAAATTCATACAGACATCACTGCAAAAAAACCGCACATAAAAGCTAAAGAGTTACACATATCACACTTGAGAGAAGCACAGGATAAACTAAGTTCTACAACTCCGCCTCAGTGAAACATTACTTAATCAGTGAAAACACAGAATATCAAGAAGGCATCTGCAACAGAAAATCATAACAATTTGGATGTCGTTCACCGTCTAGATAGGGCAGCCACACAGCATAACCAATCTAAAAGAGACGGTCACATGCCTTACCAATATCATAAACAAAGAATGATAAACCAGCTCATCACATCTGATATCCGCTTCTAAATAGACAAATTAGGTTACAGTGACTACAAGGCGGACAACAGACAGCAACAAACATGCATCAAAATTTGTAAGATTCTCCTCAAGACGTTTGTAAAGCACAGTGTTTTACCTGTGCCTCCATGCAACATGTATGGATAGAAGAAAAAAAAAAAGAAATTTCAGATGTCATTACTAGTAAACGATATACGGAAAGAATATTGGGAAAATTACTTCCCATACCTGCTAGTTGTTAAAGAGGAGCGACAAATTCTGGTACACCGATTACAAAAACAAACTTACAATAGTCTGATCACCACAAGACATTTTAGCATCATCTAACAATTGATCCTCATGTAAATAACGATTTATTTCTGATGTCGAAGAATCAGAAGTTTGCGTTGACGACAGTAATAAATCTAATATTAAAAAGGAATGTAAACGGGAGGAAATACATTATAATCAGACTACAGTAAGTATTCAAATAAGAAAACCATGCAAGAGAACCAATGAATATAGTTGGGGTAACAAAAGCGGAATGAGACAAAAGACAATTAATGACAAATTTCTAGAGACAACAGTTACATTAGACATGGTTGTGAAAAATTATCAGTAAGGATATGAGACCCAAGAAAGCTAAAGTTTATTGACAGTAGCCGTACCTTGGAAGCATGGTTTGTGTTTACTAAAATTGCTAGCGGAGAAAATAGTTCATATGGTTATCAGTTCCCGTTGATTTCCTGTATTCGATGGAGTAAAAGTGGAATCCATGAAGTCTTAGATTGCTTACAGAAAGATATGAATATAAAGAGAGACAGAGAGAGGACTAATACATAGTCACTGACGTTTGGTAGTATTCCTATGAATAACTGTAGGTTTTCTGCATGGAAATAGTGAGATAATTGGGATTCATACTTTGATGACTTGAAGGAAAGCGACGCAGAAACGACCACAATAGCACACATCTTATTTTCACAAAATCTCAGACATTTTATTACTCTCTCTTATTCCTTAAACTACCTTATTTTATCTAACTTCGGGTCCGATCCATCTAGAAGAAAGACAACGTTATTGGTGAATATCTGTACCCTCAGGTGACTTGGTCTTTCCCATAAAGGTACTGACTCCTACGTACAACTTCTAGGAAGTTACCTTGAAGCAAGTCACTCGAAGGCAATGGTTTGCTATTCAACTGGGAAGTTTTTGAATAACTGATTGATTTCAGAACATTTCTCATCAAGAAGTGACATCAACAAAAAATCTAAACAATACTCTCATCAAGTACCTGAGTTTATCACAATAATTCAAGTGTGAAAATGTTCGTCCAGTTTTGGACAGAAAGGGTGGAAAATATTGACTTGAGGTAAATCATGCAGTATACTTGGGTATTTTGCAATTACAGTATTTGAACTACACATGAAAAATATCACCTAAGTCTTTGCAAGAACTGGTGAGGAATCATGTTCCTGTCCACCCAAAGCAAAATATTAAGTAGCTCTGCATTCAAATTTAAGACCGGAACAGGCTGGTTGGCTCAAGGAAAAACAAATCATGTGCGGATCAAATTACAACGCTAGGCTACGCATCGTCATACAAAAGAGCATGGAATGGCAGTCAACTCAACTCTATCTCAACTTCAACGATTTTGGAAAGATCTTCGACAGCCTAGACCGAGAAGTAATTTGGTAACCAGCTACTTTAACACTACAGTGTACCACAAACCTTTATCAACCCCATTCAACAGCTATATGACGACGCCACATGCCAAGTGATTCACAATGGAAAACTCAGCTCAGTGATGCGTTTGAAGTGAAGACAGGGGATAAGAGTAAGACAAGGTTGTCGTCTACCATCACCGATGATCTTCCTGATTGTGGTCAACTAGACTGAACTGACTAGATCATGCAACAAACTGTGATGAGCTGTGAGAAGATGGGCATATGCTGTTTCACCAATGAAAAAATCTAGACGACATGGATTTCGCTAACGATGATTTATGTCGAATGTCACACAAACTGGAAAATCTACAAGGGGAAACCAACAAGTTGACAAAAGGGGCAGTGAAGACGGGACTTCCTTCAGGGGAAGGTAGGGAAGACAGAGATGGAGGTGATGAAGATACCCAATCAACAACAACAAGCACCAATCACCATCGACGGGAGAAACCTTGAGCGTTTCAAATGTCTATCCGACTCCTCCACCACGCTACAGTGATATGTAGTAAAAACATATCTGCACTTGTTATTCAGGACATGATTTGAAATCTGTGAACCCCAAATGAGAAGTCGTGACTTTCAGGGATAACTAAGTCGGATGTCAAGAAGATGCACACCAATGACATAAGATGGTAGTCTTCTTAGTTTACGAACGGAGTGAAGAAGGAAAGCGTGGACGACCTCAATCCCTTAGTTAGATGGCAATGCGGTAGCTTTCAGACCTGAAGGTACTTGACGCAATCTTCCGCAGAGTCGTAGGTGCGCACTACTGAAGAATCTTAAATTAAAACGAAACGGCTGTCCAGTGCTCTCAGATCTTCAATGGTCCTCTAGGTAATGTCGATTTATGATAAAAACGAGTCAAAAAATCAATCATGACCTAAAGACTATCAACTGAAAAGAGGATGTAATGCAATGAAAACTATCACTGATAATAAAAACCAAAACAAACCTGGATCTGAGTCAATTAAATAAGCAGTTAGATTTTTAATGACTTTGGCAGCAGCCTTAGAGGTATTCACATGTAAATCTTTACTAGCTGTCGATAATGACGATGGTGAGGTTAGCTTAGCATCTAGTAGCATTTTCCATTCTAGCCATAATAGACGCGCTAAACAACAGGCGGCCAAACGCTGAAGATATATACATGTGCCAATAGGTAGAATATCCACAGACGCATTTCCACTATTACTCCCACCACCACTGTTTGTAATACTGGATAACATTGTGTTAGGAGATCCAGCTGTGACACTAGCAGAAGTTGGAACACTACTGTTAGAACAAGCATAACTGGAACTTGAATTAGATGATTGAACAGTACTAAAGGAGAGATTCACACACGGTTTCATACATCGTATAGTATCCATCAACGGACGAATAAGCAAACTTAAACGACCAGGCAAAATCCAGTTCAGGTTGGCAAATGCACAAGCTATGCCTAACTCGACACTAAAAAGTAGAGATGAGTAATAAAAAAAGGGAGAAAAGTATTTTATTTAGCAAGTGCTGCAAACAACACAATCATTCCATCACAAAGAACACAAAACTTGTTTCCTTAAAATACAAAGCGATGAAATCAGAAGAAACTTATTATCTTATGTAATATTTGCAGCCTTGGTAAAATTGTAAGACAGCGAAGTCTCATTTACTGCAGTCTCAGTCAAAAGGAAATAGTATAACCAGACAACCGGTAGAGAAAACGAACCGAATAACATAAAAATTCAGCCACTGAAGGTGAAAACTTCAAGTTCATAGCTAGATAGTACTGCATACAAACTCAAGAATGTTGAAGAACAATACTTCCATCGTCTGTGCCACGGAAAATAAATGTTATCTAATCAGATATAACTGAATAGATTCATTTAGATAATCACCCATGCTAACTCAAACAAGCAACCTGCTAGTATCACATAGTTTGCACATGAATTAACAGGTGGAAGAAGAACAACAATGGTTCACACAGATGGACAGACATATCAATGCAGAACCTAGAGCGGGAATGAACCAGTTGAAGAGACACAGAAAGAGGAAGTGAACGCAAATAGAATGATATCACAATCAATGAAAAGGTGTATACAAATGGCAGAAAACTGTAATAAAACTTAGGAGAAGACCACAAATTCTCACAAATCGAACAGAATTATATTCCCAATCAACATAAAAATAATGTTATACAAAAACCACTTCTAAAATTGATCTTCGGCCCTAGAAACTCTACCTACTCTGTGCTGATTAGTGATACCATCTGGTTGCAAAATGGCATATCCAACTGGTTATGCAAACTTATGGATCAATATCTTACCTGATTAAAATAGAAGATGGGAACGAATGTGATGAAAAGCCTCCTACAATGACAGGTGAGGTCATTGAATAAACATGAAGTGATGCACTAGACGAAAAATGACCAATTTATTAGGTCTAGATGTTTCAGAGAACAGACTGTCAAGGAACAATCAAGTGACTTTGGTTGTCACACACTCGTTACTGTACAAAATTTCATTGAATGCGAAAATATATGTTCGAACAACTCAAAAAAAAAAACAATAATTAACTCCTAATAGTAAAATACGGCAATGGTAGTTTGGAGATCGCCAGTTAAAGTCTGCATTAATCATAGATTTGTCATCGCTAAGCATAGAGAAGACGACTGGAATGGTCAGTGAAAACAGTCAGGCCTAGATCATCCATTTCTTTCTCGATTGCCAAGCTTTATTAGGTAAAAGAATAATGCATGACATAACTTTTATCGCTTGTATGTTGAGTGTTTTCATTTTCACGCATATAAGAACACACACGTGTGAGCATAGTTATCAAAATGTCAATATATATATATATATATATATATATATATATATATATATATATATATATATATGCATATCTGGTCCATAGAGTTGATTTACTGATGGAAAAGTCGAAATTTGACTCCAAAAGTGGTTCGATCTAATTAATTCACACAGACACACACACACACACACACACACAGATCACACTTTTCCTTTGTTACGAGTGACAGTTATCGGCAATTGATTTTTATAAAGTAAAAGAAACTATGAAAAAAACATTTGTGTAAATGCTATTAATAACCTCATATCGTTAAAGGTAGACAACAATGAAAAGAATTGATTGTTTGCGCAGTTGTCAATAAAATCTATATGTCTTAGTTACTGAAGATACAAACCTTGAAGACTGATTCGATTATGAACAATAAATTCTGCTCAAATCATCATCTAGTAAGTAAAACTGTTTTGCTGTGTACTATATCAAATAAACAATCTAGTACGGAAACATACTCTACCACAGTGTCCAAATTTCACTCTGCCATTAAAACTCCGATATCCCTCTGGTAAGAGATACTGATAATTTGAAATATCACTACAACATTACGTTAGATTTTGGGCCCTTCACCTCTAATTGCACTATTAAGTAAAGACGCTGGCGAAGCGCAAACTCTTATAAACGCCTTGAGCAGAAATATGAGTAGGTTTAGCACCTGTGAAATATATGACGATGATGCTTCAGAACTGGTCAGCTACATCCAGTTCACGAACAGGCAACAAAGTGGAAGTATGCGTTGCTCGCTTCACTCACTAGGGAGGTTGTGTCAGTACAGGAATATGCTCGTTGTTGACCGAATCTCACCTCGGATACATAAGGCGCAGCTTTGGTGCCAGTCAGATATCCAACTACTTATCAAAAGAGGGCTATACTGCACTCCAGTTCCCAAGGGGTTGTTATGATACTGTAAGATGTGGTCATGAAAGGTAGAAGATATAAAGAGACAAGAGGTTTCGACATAGATGTTTTCGTCGTACTGCTGCAGTAAGATGTGACTCTTATCCTATGAACAGTATAAACATAAGCCGGAGAGTGCTAGACAAAAAAACCTCCAAGTCAGTCGATCAGATTGTACATCTTCACCCAGTGAGATGGCACAAACATGTAATGAGCACACCGACCCAACACCTACCTCGAAGAGCAACGTTCACCATAATAGGAATGGGTCGGGGAAAGGTCCGAGATGGTCAGACTAAGACGTGGAAACAGTCGAAGTATCCAACAGTTGGTGAGAATCAGATGCATACTGTCTGGTTGGGATCCACGAAAGGTTGGAAGTGAGTGACTGGAGATCCTCAATGACACGGCTGAAAATCAATCACTGTTTGACGTTTTCTACAGTTTGAACACTCACCAACTTTCATTTTCAAATTACTACTTCTCCTATATACCTCTTTGTCTACTTTGATTACACTTTTTCCCTACTCACACTATACTTTGTAGTCTACTGCGAAGTGTGGCAAGTTGGACCTATGCACTTCTTTGTGTCATTCGCCGAGTAAATTTTTAATATACAGTGACGCTAAGATTATTTAGACATTACTATAAATATTATTATTTGTCCTTTGGGTTCTTAGTGGAACATAGGGCCTCAGTAGCACATCTCCACTTCACTCTCTTCTCTTCAATCTTTTCAATCTGACTCCACAACTCCCAACCACCTTTCTTTTCTCCCTCACACATTCTCCTCAATATCACACCCTCACCTCAATCGCCCAACTCCTCAGTTCCCATTTCCATCCTACTCCACGGCCTAGCCTGACGCGTGAAATTCATAAACCATCTTCTCACTGTATGTCCAATTCAATCCATCTCCACTTTCTTCTGCATCTTCCTTGGGTGATAGCTTCTTGATTGGTTGATTCGTTCGTTGCCAACCAGCCAGCCTGCCAGCCAGTCAAACTTCCTTGTTACTTATTCTTATTATTCTGACCATCTGATCTTTAGTGTCAGTATCGAATGAGTGTAGGCGGCAGCTGTTCATATATGTCTACAGTTTGTTCGAAATACTTTTCGTAACACGTCAAGTCTCTCAACCATCACATAGAAGCACTGACTTACTTGACTGAATTAGTAGTGTTGAAAATCCGGATCTCTCTCACGCTTTATACTGAGTGCAGTGCAGTAGGTCTACACACTGATTTCAGATCAATCAACGCCTGTCTTGCTTTCCCGATCCTGGTTTGACATCATCATCTATCTGTGCCTGTGCCACTTGTAGTTGAAACGATGCTGCTAAGGCAGGTAGGTGAAAGAGACTACTTCCCTCAGATTTCTCCCGTTAATGGTGACTGGTGCCTCTTGTTGTCGTTGTTGTTGTTGTTGTTGATTGGGTATCTTCATCACCTCCATCTCTGTCTTCTCTACCTTCCCCTGAAGGAAGTCCCGTCTTCACTGCCCTTTTGTCAACTTGTTGGTTTCCCCCTGTACATTTTCCAGTTTGTGTGACATTCGACATAAATCATCGTTAGCGAAATCCATGTCGTCTAGGATTTTTTCATTGGTGAAACAGCATATGCCCATCTTCTCACAGCTCATCACAGTTTGTTGCATGATCTAGTCAGTTCAGTCTAGTTGACCACAATCAGGAAGATCATCGGTGATGGTAGACGACAACCTTGTCTTACTCTTATCCCCTGTCTTCACTTCAAACGCATCACTGAGCTGAGTTTTCCATTGTGAATCACTTGGCATGTGGCGTCGTCATATAGCTGTTGAATGGGGTTGATAAAGGTTTGTGGTACACTGTAGTGTTAAAGTAGCTGGTTGCCAAATTACGTATCGATCTACAATATGGGAAGCGTTTTCAAAATCAAACTTCAAAGAAACTGTATTTAAACTGCCTCTGCCACCATCGATTAGTATAAAAGCTGTCGAGCAAATGTTTGATGCCTCAGAACTAAACATCGGTTATCACAGTGCTCACTTAGAATGATGAAATTATAACTCTGTTATAAAAAATGAATATCCTTCTTATGAATCATTGTTATGATTATTACGAGAAGAAGCTTACCGATTTCCCAAATATAACTGCAAAGTTAGACAGTGATCGACTGTAGTTCGCGTTCTTTCGAACTGATAGCACAACCGATCCAATTTGAATGAATCAATATCAAGATCATGACCACAATTTGCTATCGTCTGAAATTGATGTTTCTGTTTTTGAATAGTACTGGCTACCGTTTGTAGCAATGTTTTACAATGAGCAATTGTCAAGACACCACTAAATGAGAAAGAAGACAAGAATATCACGGTCAGTAATGTATTCAGAAGAAACTTCAGTTTGATGAAACACACTAACCGATCAGGGGGGTAGATCTACGTAACTATTTTTAAGTAAATATTTATTCAGGGACAATGAGAGGAAAATATAGATGAAATCCTTGAAATCTACCATTCACATGTAACTCACAATATTTATTTGACTCTATGTAGTCTAGTTTTTCCATCACTAAACAAATTTATCATCGTAAGTTGGAATTCATCACTAACTGACATCGGTTGAAGGAACATTGAGAAGTTTGGAGCACTGGACAGCCATTTCGTCCTAGTATTGAACTCCTCAGCAGTGCACACCCATGACCCTGATGGGGGTAGAACGCAGGACGAGCTTCAAGAGGTGATCCCCAAACTTCCAATGAGAAGTCATGACCAGTGGAATCAACCGAGTCGAGCATGAGGACAGTTACTCAACGACCTCATTGGATTTAGTTCGCGCTATATCGTGAACTGACAGAAGTGTGAAACACAGACCATTGGATTCCCGACCAGTGGCTCAATAGTAACATGTTCGCCACGGAACCCGAAGGTTCTGGGTTCGGGTCCTGGAGGTGCAGGGCCGTGGTGAGCACTGCTGAAGAGTTGCATAATAGGACGAAACAGTTGTTCAGTGCACCCAGGTTCCTAATGTTCCTCCAACTGATGTCAGTCCATGATGAATTCCAATTTAAAATCCATTAATAAATCTCCACAAACTTCCAGATAAAATCTGCTAGAGCTTCAGCACAACTGTCAACAGGAAAATGTCATCTCTTTTGTTCATGATCGCCTTATGATGCAGTAAACAAACAATCACGAATAAGAACATATTTCAAGCGAAAGCTATAAAATTTATGTACAATAACCATCATATTAAAAGTCTCTTGAAACTACAGCTCAAATGGGTAATAAAAAAAACTGTGAAATTACACATGCTTACATGTAATGGAATACAGAGCTTTCAACAATCAGATGAACTATAGTCTAACTCAATGTATGATTATTATATTATTATCAGTCCCTTGGGTTCCTAATGGAACACACAGCTTCAATAGCACGTTTCCAGTGAACTCTGTTCTCTGAAATCTTTTGAACCTGGCTCTACGACAGCCCAGAAGCTCTCATTTCCTCCTCACACGAACTCCTCCATGTCACCCTCACCTCCGACGCCCAGCTCCTCGCTTCCCAACTAGGTTCCACTCGGGGGCCTGGCGCGTGATGTCCCAAGTCGACCTTCTCAGTGTATGTCCAATCCAATCCATCTCCACTTTCTACTGCATATTTGTTGGGTGAAAGGTTCTTGGTTGGTTCGTTCCCAGAGCTCCTTGTTGCATATTCTTTCTGGACATCTGATCTTCAGTAACGAGCCAGCGTAGGCAGTTGTTGATGAATGTCTGTAGTTTATTGGAAATCAGTTTCGTAACGCGCCAAGTCTCTCAACCATACAGAAGCACTGACTTCATGTTGGTGTTGAAAATCCGGATCTTGTTCCATATGCTGAGCGCAGAAGTTCTCCACACTGGTTTCAGACTAATGAACTCCTCTCTTGCTTTTCCGATTCTAAATTTGACATCCTCGTCTGTCCCGCCACCTGTAGTTGAAACAGTGCTGTCTACATAGGTGAAGGAGGTTACTTCCTTTAAGTTTCTCCCGTTCATGGTGATTGGAGTTTGTTGTTGTTGTTGTTGTTGTTGGTGCGGTATCTTCATTACTTCTGTGTTCTCTATATTCACTTGAAGTCCAGTCTTCGCTGCCTCTTCTGCCAACTTGTTAGTTTTCACCTGTAGATCTTCAAGTTTGTGTGACATCAGACACAATTCATCGGCGAAATCCAGATCTTCTAGGTTCTTTTCCCCTGTCCAGCCAGCGTATCCCCTCTTCTCACAGCTCCCCACTGTTTGTTGCATGATCCAGTCGACCACAATCAGGAATATCATAGGTGATAGTAGGCAATCTTGTTTCACTCCTGTCTTCAATTCAAAAGCATCACTGACCTTCCCATCGTGAATTACTTGGCATGTGGAGTCTTCATATAGCTGCTGTTGAATGAGATTGATAAAGGTTTGTGGTATTCCGTAGTATTGAAGCAGTTTCCAAATTACCTCTCGGTCGACACTGTCAAAGGCCTCTCAAAGTCGATAAAGCTGCGGTAGAAAGTTGACTGCCATTCTATACTCTGTTCTATGATGATGCAAAGCGTTGCAATTCGGTCTGCACGTGATTTGTACTTCCTGAATCCAACCAGCCTGACTGTTCCGGTGGTAATTTTGAATCCAGCACACCCCTTAGTCTCTCCAGGATGATGCGGCTTAATATTTCGCTTGCTCTGGGTGACAGGAGCGTGATTCTGCACCAGTTCTTGCAAACACTTAGGTCTCCCTCCTTCGGCAGTTTGACAAGGTAACCCTTCTTCCAATCGCCAGGTACCTTCTCTTCCTTCCAGACCTTCTGCAATAGTGGTGTGGGCATGTCCGCTGTTGTCTCTGCGTCTGTTTTCAGTGCTTCTGGCGGTATCCCATCTGGTCCTGTTGCTTTCCCGCATTTCAGTAGTTCTATGGTTCTCACGACTTCCATTTTTGTTAGAGGACTTATGTTCACTTGTAGTTCAGCGGCTGTAGGTGGTATTTCTGGATGAAGTGAAGGTGGTGGTGGTGGTCGATTCAAGAGCTTCTTGAAGTGGTCAACCCATCGTTTCCTTTGTTTCTCTTCTTTCGTAATTAAATTTCCGTCATCATCTTTTATTGGTTTCATCTGAGTTGATCCCTTCCTTTCCAGATAGTAACCTGGTTATTTGATACAATGTTGTCAGGTATTTCTTACCTGCAGCCTGTTCTGCTCCACCTGTCAGCGTTTCGTAGAAGTGTCTTTTGTGTTCCCGTGCACTCTTCTTCACCTCTTTGTCCAGTGTTTTATACATTGTACTCAGTTCCTCTTCTCGTCGTTCATCCTTGCACTGCACTGGTTTATCTTCTGCTTCACCGTCCTCCTCTACTCTATCAGCTTCCATGTATCCATCGAGATCCATTCCTTATCTTCTTTCTTCCTCCTCCCTAACACGGTTGTGCAGGTTTCTTTCCATATAGCTTTCAGAGAGTTCTAGTGCTCATCCATACAGGTTTCTTCAGGGATGTCCCTCGATATCTCCCACTTTGTCATGATGGCTGCCGTGAAGATGTCCCCTGTAGTTTCTTCTCTCGGTTTCCGGGTGTTGAACTTGAACTGTGGTCTGTCACCAGCTTCCTTGAAGGCTTTCAACTTGATTTGGAAGGTTCCTTGCACTAGATAGTGGTCTGAGCCTACATTTGCTCCTCTTCTTGACCTTGTGTCAAGCAGGCTGGCTGCGTCTCCATTTTCTTGAGATTGAGATAAAGTCGATTTGATTTTTAGTGTGTCCATCTGGTGAAATCAGCTCCATGTCGCTTTGTGAATATCCTTGTGCCTGAAAACACTGCCTCCAACCACCGAATCGTTGAATGCGCGGAATTTTGCAAAAAATTCTTCATTCTCGTTCATTCCACCTAGCGCTTCTCGACCCATGGTTAGTTCTCTTCCTGTGTTGTCCCCTCCCAATTTGGCATTCATGTCGCCCATTACAATTTTGATATCGCCAACTGACGTCTTGTCCAGTGTTGATAGCAGTTGTCTGTAGAATTCCTCCTTTTTCTCTTCATCTGCATTATTTGTAGGTGCGTAACATTGTATGATTGTGACCTTCCTTCCTTTTGAGTTGAATCTTGCTGTTATGATCCTGATCCTGCAGGAGGAGATTGGTTCCCACTGCTTGAGGGCCTTCGATGCTGTTGCGGACATCATGCTCGTGGTTGTCGTCTGGGTGACAATATCGGAGTAGATTACTGATTCTCCAGTTGACGGTCTGTAGAGTCCACTCCCATTCCATCTGCTTTCGCAAATTCCAAGCACTTCAATGTGATACCTCTTCATCTCGTTTGCAATCTGGGCTGCCTTGCTGGGTTCAAACATGGTGCGGACATTCCATGTCCCCACGTTTACTTTCGCTTTCATCGAGAGAAGACACATCGGCCAATTGGCTTCCCGAAGACTTTCACCAACTGGCGTCATTTCACCTCTCAGATTCCAGCGTGGAATAATTTTGTTATTATTTTTTATATTTCGTTTGTGCTTTGAAGTTTCTTCAGAGTTGCTAGCCCTATACCCAACCTTCCCCTCTTTGCCCAGGCTTGGGACCGGCTAGTAACTGGTGAACTAGTTAACCAAGCGCATCAACATGATATAGCTAAGTGAAAGCACTAAACATCAAAATAACTATAGAATAGTCGATTAAACAATAAACAAAATACATATTCACAAAAAAAATTACTACAGTCCCATTATTTCAGTGTGTCTAACATATGAGTTTGAATCAACAGGACATTAACATACATAACTAAAACTAGTAAAGATCTTATTTTTGACCCAATTAAATTATCTCACGTTAGTAGTGGATTATATGGTAATACTCATGGGTGAGGTAATCCGTATTGATTTTCCATTAAATATATTCCATTGTCAAGCAGCCAAACTAGTTGGAAATACTAGGTCATATGGTAAAATAGTTTGATGAGTGGATTATTTCAAGGAAGTAGAAATACATTATAGCTCAACTTGTGGAGCGGATTCACATTGTATTTGAAACACTACTATCATTAGTTCAATCTACTGATTCAAATTAGAGCGATTAAATGTCACGCAATAAGTGAGGCTAATAGTCTAGCACACTAGTATATAAGTGTTTTCTAAGTTGCGGACTCCCTGATCAATGCAACAAGTGAGTGAACAGTAAAAGATCATTTCAGAAGGGAGCAGGTTGTAATTCTTAACCAAGAAGACTTCACAAATTCTAAGATCGCAACCAATCTAATGAAAACTGACAATAAACACAGAATTCCAACGAGCCTTCGTAGCGTCAAGAGTGTAAGGTTGTGGGTTTTCATTGAATCTAGTTACTCGACATGTGATACATAAGCTCAATAGTTATCATTTGTCCCGAAGAAGGATATTAGATGAAGCAGGCATAGATCGGAGAAAAGTTATAGATGATCATATTGAGACATGAAATCCATTCATGAAGTCTGTGACAGTTGGTTTTAGTTATTTATGCGGAAGTAGACTACCAGGTTGTGGTTTGCGTGACAACCGAAACGGGTAGTTGGAGACCCTAGACAATGTGGTTCAAAATCGATGTAAGAGGATATCATTGTAGTCCCAATCGTCGCACCATATTTCCTCATTTTCCGCGTCTTCCATTTCTTTCCCGCTAATAATTTCCCACAACCTGTGATCACATTTTTTCAATTCAGTCTTGATGTGCTGATGATATGAGATAAAGTAACTTGGACAGTTACACAATAATATCAGGCTCCATAATGATACTAACTGACAATGAATCGTTAGTTTGCTCCATGTCATATCTACACAGCTACTCCGCTGAAATTGACCAGACAGATAGTGTAATTTCACTAGTCAGCATACATAAACTATGTCACAAGGTAAGTATATTAAATGTCCATAAGGAGGTATTACATAGTTAATGCATCACTTCTGAACTGAACTTCAATAAAACAAAGATATGAATGAAGAAAGTGAATAATCATAAAAATAACCTTGCTGAAGGAAAGTAATTAAAATATCAAGACTTACTTGACTGGGATTTGTGAATCAACAGTGAGACCACAAGTTTTCATCGATCGAATTAATTCACGACAATCTTCTTGCATCAATTTGAAAGGAGCTGTGAAACAATTTACAGATACATAAGACGTTGATGATTAGCAGAATATTAATCTGAATAACAATAGATAACTTCATACAATAAACTTCAGTCAACTGCATCTTTTATTTACCCGCTAATTTCTTTTTAAAGAATCAGTCCATTTATAACGCATTTACCACTCACAATACATTTTTGGATATCTGACTGTTCATAAACTAGAATTATTGATTGAAAACTATAACCATCGACTTCTAAGTAGATATATCGCTACCACTGACACAGGCGATTAATGGAATCAATGGCTGAATCAGTAGATACGTAGGAGTCAACTTAGGAACTTGTTGAACCCTGATTTTAGAATAATGTGGCATAAAAATATCAAAGAAACAAATGGTGCATGAAATCAGTCTAATCACCAAAAACAACCACGAGGAAGCAGGTTGGTTCCAAGTTAGTTTCTTTTAGTAAGCATAACCATTTGTTTCACTCTATGCAAGCAGACATCATTGCAGTCGTCATAAAATTCATGATACAACATTCCCAAGCAATTTCTGATAAATAGTTCAAATGTTATTAAAAAACAACAGATAAGAAAAGAATTTCGGGAATGATGGCAATGAGTGAAATTGAAACGGATTTATAAAACTGACAGTCACAAAAACTGCATAGGAATCTAGTTTTCTATTTAGAACGCCGACAACTGTGAGTATAATCGTCCGATCACACATTTTCATCTCCAGTATTGCATCACTTGGCGATTCCAAAGATTAGCAACATCTTACTAAAACCTGTTGTACGTATCTTCAATTTACTAGATAACAAACACTGACACATAATCTCAAGCAAACAGATGGCTATGTTTTCTTATCAAATTCCGATATCGTGCATAAGCTTCAGGAGACATCCGTGTCATTCCTCATTCCAACTTTAGAGACACAACGTAGACAAGCTACGTGACAGAATACAACAAACACTCTGTACGACTTGTGCCCTTTAAAAAAATTATTTGCCTAGTATGTGGTAAAATGACTGCATGCAAATTAGCGAAAACCCTTCATCTCTAGACCATTAGTCAACATATAGCCTAACTTTGCAGGAACACAGATAACGCATGTCAGAAACAATATACAGGCAAACGACAAGTAACAACGGTGAAAATTATTAGAATGAGAAAAAGGTGCCACTAAAAGCTTACCAAGAATTTCTTCGTAGTAAATCACCTCAGTCAAACATGACTCCAACCTTCCGCGTAGCCGCTTCGTAATATCTTGTAAATCAGTCTGTATGTTAGTAAATAGATGACCTGACAGACTAGTCTTCAGCGCATCTAAATACGACGGTAAGAAAACTGATGACGACGTAGAAGACGATGGGAGTTTTGAAGACTCATTCAATAAATTAGCCCATGTATAGGTTAACATATGAAAATTTGGTAGTTGTTCACACCGATCCACCAGAGAAATATGATCATTTGCTACAGTCATGCTACTATCAACACTGTAAGTAGTATCACTTGGTGAGGATGAAAATGGTGATAATAATGCCCAAGCAGAGAGTAATAAACCAGAAATGAAACGTTGCATAGCTAAACGATCTTTCAAGTGTAACTGGCATAACAACTGCCCAAGAATATAGTTCATAACACTAATCGACGAGCTATCATTATTAACTGATGAAAAAGGTTGTGTGGATGATGATTCTGTAATTTCTGAGATACACGGCAATAAATGAACCGGAATCAATTGGTTGTACTGGCATACACGGCCACATAAATTGGCCAAAACACTACATAAAAGGAAAATTGAAGCAATGAAGAATATAATCCATTATTCAAAACGATAATTAACTGTGGATTATTATCGACTGAATAGTGAATTTAGTAGAGATGGTATGTTGATAAATACGTCACTGTTTCAAATATTTCTCAAATGAGTGTCTACAGAATGAAATACATTAGCCTTGGTAATATTTATGTGCTAGTATCCGAGGTATTGAAAGACGGTTTTCAAAGATTGTTGGCCAGGTTAACTGAAGTGCTAGCAGGCGTGCAGGAACCAGATACGATGTCTTTTGACTGGTAACAATCAGTGATTATACCAGTCTTCAAAAAAGCCAGAAAGTCTCCCGTGATAACCAGAAAGGAATCTGTTTGACGGTATCTATGTTTAAGATAACAGCCCTCTAATCATTCGACATCTAAGTAGAGCTTGGGGATAACGAATCAGAGAAAATCAAATAGATTTCATACATGGTCGTGGGTCTGTCGATCAGATTGTCACTCTCCACTAGCCTCTTAAACAAAAACACACAGATACTAGCTGTGTCTCTTGACCTAAAGGTTGCATTCGACTCCAATGAGATGCCTCATGGCAGCATCTCCAATCAAAGATGTCAAGTAATCATATCACCTTCATGAAGGCTTTGTACTCGAACACGCATAAGTATGTTGAAAGGTCAGTGAGTTGCGTACTCAGAGGATGTCCAAATTCCCTATTCTTCTTAACTATATCACAGGCTTGCTTATGGAGGCTTTTTATCTAACGTCATCTGACTTTACAGAGATTGACCATGTAACACAAGACTCCTCAAGTGACACAGTCCCCTTATCTGAAAATGCCGACAAGATAAAGAGTTTTATGAACACTTTGAGCGACAATTTGAGGATGCTTAGAGTGTGTTTCTTACCACACAAATGTAAAATGGTACTTCAGAACTGTAGTGTGTCAAAAATAGCTCAGCCATAGCCATATACATTGTCACTCGCAATCACGCAATAGGATGGGACAGAGTGGAAGGAGAGAGAGATAACTGGAGCTTCATTTCTCGGAGCGACACCTAACGCACATAATAGGAATGATGCAACACAAATCTTAGATGCGTGGAAACGATTATTGCCAATGAAACCAAACAATGAAAAATAGGAGAACGATGAAAACTGAACCAGAAAGGCATGTGGTTGATCATCTTGATTTAATTATTGGTAACGAAAGGCATATAAATAAAATGAAGCAAAAGATGAAAGCAATACTACAGGAGGAAGAAAACTTCGAAAGAAATCTGGAATTTTAAAAACAAGGAACATTTTATAAAAAGAAACCAAGTGAAAACAAACTAGATACTTGATGTGCTCTCATGGAGAGGTTGACTGTATAACATAAATATCCCAGAGAAAAAAAGGGGATAGTTAGCATTTTCAATATTAAATAATTACATCCGGATGAAAAGATTCCGGAGGCAATGATGAATTTCAGTGTTTCTAGAAACATCTGAAACCTTATGTATTTATACTCGGCATTGAAACAGAACTAAAGGCGCCTTGATGACCAAGTAGTAGAGTTAGTTTGGCTGAGTGTTAATTAATGCGGTTATGTAGTTGTAACAAGTAAGGTGAATCGTGCAGGTTCTGCGCATGTTGAATCATCGGTTAATCCGACACAAGTGAAGTAGAAATATAATTTTAATTTGAACAAAGTTTTTAAAAAAGGAGGAATAACAACCAGTGACTTTAAAAGCAACCGTAGCAACAACTGTAATTAGGCTTGTCTAGTTTTATGAAAATTTGTCTTTCCAGCTGAAAGGAAGAAACCGAATCGGTTATTTTGATCACTGCTATGATGTCATTTAAAGTCGCCCCTATATAATGGCGGACAACATATGATAAAAATTACACAAAACGAGTGACTTTGACGATGACCGTAGTAACAACTGAAATGACTAATTAGGCTTCTCTATTTTGTGAAAATCTGCCTTTCCAGCTGGAATAGAGAAACCTAATTGGTTATTTCAATCGTTGCTAGGGTAGCCTTTAAAGTTGCCTCAGATCTTGGATACTAACAAATTAGTAAGACTAAACGAAACAAAATAGGACGTCAGTTAGTTATGATATTAATATTAGTATGAAAAAACAAACTACAGAAATGGTTATCGATCGTAGTGGAACTAGAATAAACAATAAATCTAAAAGAGTCAGTAAAACTGTCGGTTGGAGGTGATTTGAACAACAACAAAATCAGTTTGACAGCTGTGATGTCGTTAACATATGCACACGTGTATTGTATCGACAAACGTAGGAATGCTTATGGTTATATTGATGTCACTTAAAACATCATACATTTATAGATTTTTAGGGAGGAAAATGTGTGATCGCTATTCATATCTTCTACATAGATATGAGGAAGACGTGTAAGTAATAGACTAGTATTATTGAGGAAAAATATTTTTGAAAGATTCTGCATGCCCATAAGCATTTAAGTGGATTCAAATAAACTTACTATACGTATTAGGAAATGAATCAGGTTGAAGTGTAAAGTCAAAATAGTGATAGACACAAACATAATGACCCACTTTGTGTAGGAAAGTAACTGATTCAGAAAAACTTTTGCATTTCTATGTAGTTTAACCAAAGCGAGGGTTATTACTAAGTCTTACGAACATGACATATTTAGTTCGAAAACATGACCTAATGTCTAGACAGATAGATAGAATCAACGTAGAACCTCGCTCACAAGTGCATCACTCCAACTTGCCACACTTCATAGTAATATACAAAGAACAGATGGGATAGAAAAAACGTGATATAGAAGTAGACAATATTGTGTCATATAATAAGTAGAAGTAGTATTCATCATGGACTGATATCAGTTGGGGAACCATTGAAAATCTGGTAGCACTGAACAGCTGTTTCGTCCTGGTATGGGACTCCTCAACAGTAAGCACCCACGACCGGGCTAGGGGTCGAACTCCGACCTACAGGTTCAGTGTTCCCAGATTTTCAACGGTTCCCCAACTGACATCAGTCCATGATGAATACTACTTCTAAATTAAAATCCCCATGCATCTCAATAAAATAAGTAGTTTAAGATAGAGGTTAGTGAAAATATCCAAGCTTTAGAAGACGTCAAAGACTGAATACATGTCTGCCGTTGTGACCAATTTTCAGCCATGTCATGAAGAGTTCTCATCTAGGAATTCCTTTTATCTCAGGAACCCTAGGCAGCTACTTTAAATCTCACCACAAGACCCAGACCAACAGTAAGAGACTTCATCGAATAGCCTGTGTAAGCTGAAGCCTCTTCCACTAGCAAGGGACATCGAGGTAGGTGGTGACTCGGCGTGCGCAACACATGTCCAAGTCACATCAATCGATGAAGGTTCGCAACCTCCTCAATCTACTTCGCTGTCTTACCTAATACCCTTTGCCTGACCTCAATATTTCTTATATGGTGATTCCGTCAAACGCAAGTAATGCTACGAAGATATCTATGATCAAAACCCGGTAACCGCTTCATGTCTTCTGATTGTCCGACATCAAAAAATGAATAACTTATTCGAAATATTGCTAAATGATAAGAATCAACAGCAATTTAAGCTCAATGAATATAGATGTTTAATTGAAAGCCAAACCTGAAGTGATTCATAGGTATAAAAATTTAGAAGAAACCACCCTGTTTACTGCCATAAATGGAATACAAAGCACTATCTACTGAAAAAAGCTGACATACTGGAGTTAAACTTTAACAGATGAAAAAAAGACTAGTGACTCAATCAATGTCCATACATGTCACGTTCAGTTAAAGTACCAAAAGTGACTCAATACAGCTGTCAACCGCATAAAATTTAATTTTATTCAATAACACTTATATATATTTTAAAACTATACGCATATCACATGGTTCACTGCCTTAATTAAGTATTCAAATGTCAGAAGTTGAGAGTTGGGTTCAAAACCCATTCAACCTACCTCTGTCGGTGCAACTGGGTAGTATTGCAAGCCCTTATACAATATGTTTGGCTAGTAGTCTAGTTAGTGCATACAACCAGTCTTCCGCTGAGTTGTACTAGATTAGATTGCATAATTCGATTAAAGCATTAATACTTAAATACCTGCAGTTTTGTTAGAGTCAGTGGTGAGTTATCTATCTAGTGAGTGGCGTACTTTGAGGTATCCAACAAGGATGTCTACTCTCTCCATTTTTATACAAACATTATGGTAAATATGTTTATTACAGTGTCCCCCTTTATTTAATATATAGCGCATAAAGATACAGTATTATTCATTCAAGCTATTATCATATAAATAATACAGAATCATTGTGCGCTATATATCAAATAAATCTAATATGAAATTACATCCTACCACAGCTCCCAAGCTTTACACTCATATTAAGGAGTATCCCCCTCCTCAGTTGACTTTACAGTGATTAATGTTATCTTAGAATACTACTCTTAGTTGACTAGGAGTACGCAGAAAAGATGCCGATAAGATGTAGGTTATTCTGGGCGTTTTGAGTGACCCTGAGAATGTTTGAGATGTGTTTCTCACCACTTAAATTTAAACTGTTTCTCCTGTGTTGATACCTCATCTGACGATAAGGAACAAAGTGATTGGGCACATTAACCTTTAACACACTTGGGAAGTCGAATCAGTCTTGACAAGTTGATGATCAATGAAATCTCGGTTCGGATACAAAAGACTTGATTGACTGACCTCTGGCGGATGATACCGATGCCTACCAGGGTAGCATAGTGTACAACAGTTCGCTCTTTCCTAATATATGACTGTGAAACATGATCACCATTACCTTACGAGCGTTGCCCATGTGTTGTGGAACCACTACGTTGATAATGTAGAAGTTAGACATACAGTCTTAGGTGAGTCAGTTAGTGCGGTTGTAAAGCTTTATCGATGCCAACGCTTCGTCTGTTTCAATATTTTATACCAGCGGGGATAGGATTACGCTGGGAGGTTTGGTTAGAACAAGATGCAGCACCATTCGACGAGATCTGTCATCATCAATCTAATGCACGTACGAAATGTACGATTCCATGTCATAATCATCGAGACGAATGAGATTAATGATTGAAATTTGTGTGTCATATTTCAGAATCGATTTCAGTGGTTCAGATGTATTCACAACTTGTTTCCGTTAAACTTGTTTATGTCTTCCGCTTATAGCGGTTTAAAGATGATGATATCACCGTTTTTTACTTCATTTCTATTTCGATGTGATGACGTACATTGTGGAAACTTTGATCATCACACAGTAATGCCAGGTTACATGTTGTCAATGCATTCACCTTTCATAATCTTCGTGATTTCAGACATTTCGTTAACCTTTATCTACTTATTATCTCATCTCCCTGAGCTATTATAAAGTGAGGCACCTTGAACTGATATACTTCTGCGCTAGGCATATGACAATAATCTTCCTACCTAGGAATAAAATATGGAAGTCTTAGGAAACCACCAAACAATTTCAACTACAAAAGTAAATATATACAACTAGTCGCGTACACATATACGCACAGTCAAATCAAATCGAAATGCACTCAACAACCTTGTGCAAAGTCATGCAGTAGGCAATGAACATTACCTAGTGTCTGAGGATTAATGATACTACCTGGCTGCCCAAAATTCAGTAGGTGGAGTGGGATTCGAACCTGTGACCCATTAGTTAGAAATCATTTCCCTAAATCAATGAACCTCAGCCCCACCACGCACCGTCAGACTCACATTGAGGTTAAGTTTTATCATATTCGAGATAGCTGCTATACACATATAGATTATGAGGAAATAGTAACCATCCAAAACCTGAAAAACACTGGTTATCTAATATTAACTGAAAGTTGATTAACAACAGGTAATCTAGTTATGTGTGTTGCGGGTAAAAAGCCATCCTGGAGAGTCAACTATGCTATGCTAATCAATTCTAAACTATCATTACTTCACAGCAGGACTACGTTTTAAAAATCATTAATCAGTGAACAAAAAGCTATATGTATCACATTGAATAAAATGCTATTCTAAGTGCTACGAAGCACCAAACTTCGGTAAAATGGCACATCATGTCATGTACCTCTAAGCATTTAAAATCGAACATAACAAATCGTGAAGCTCAACAACTCAGTTAGACATCAAACATAATTCATACAACTTGGTTAAAATCAAACACCACACAATAAAATGTTAGCCAGTTACCATTGAAAAGGTGTGTAGGTCAGGGTACACTTTGTACATACTACTAGACTTAGCAATGGAATCAGCTGGTAACAACATTATGCAATCTGATCGGTAGTCTTCGATAATTATCAAGAAGTGTGCCATGTAATAGGGCTACGTGACTAACGGCAGCCTTATACGTGATCATTAGCAACAAGTATAGCACCTCTGATCTCTGGTAAACGTCGGTTGAAGCAAAATTTAATTTCATAGCATCTCTATAGAATTCTTATCAATCTCAATAGCCAAATGTTTAACATTCAGTTCGCAGAATCTAGGTTATGAGGTAGTGACTAGACCTTTGCTGTGTCAACTTGCTTCTCTGTTTGAGATGCATAAAAGGGCCAAGAGTTGTACTGTTTGAAAAAAAACTATCCTCTCAACATTTGAAGTAAAATTTCCTTCTAATATATTTGTAAAGAAAGCCTACAAACTTACCGAACAGCTGAGATTCTAGTTTCTAAAACATAAGCTTCCATTTCTGAACGACTAGCAGTTAAACATTGAAAACCACCAATACAATAGGTTTGATTTGAAATGAATACATTCCGTTGTTCATTTGAATTACCATTAGTGTTTGCAGACGATAGAACCTTGAATCAAGTAAATATGAACAACTTAATGAATAAAAAAAAGCAAACATTATGCATTTGACGCACCTATTACATCAAGAGGATCCATTGAGGATAATCAACTCAAAGAAGAGTTCATCTTTTCAATATGATGAGTTCATATAATATGCCTTTTAGAGATATGATGATTCAGTGGTTCGCTCCTTGTCACGTTACGTATGCAATAGATGGTGATATGGAAAATTTTTTACATCATGACTAAAATCTGTAGGGTGAACCAGTTGTGTAAGAAATTCCTATAAAGTCAATACACACATCTATGCCTACTAGTAAACTTCTCTGACATGAACGGAAGTCACTTCATAACTGTGAAGGATGCGTTTCAATAGAAGCTGAATACATGTAACTAAAAACTTTTCTTACATGTATAAACATATTACTTGAAAATATTGCGATCGCTTAATTACTTAAAAATTATGTGAATATAACTGAAAAGTATCATGACCGATCTTTGCGCATGTAGATTTTATAAAATCATCTTGATGTAAGATTCAGACTTTTATGGTACCTATATGCTAAACCACAGTTACTAATTCTCCCAGTGATATAGTATTATTTACTTGATGACGTTCCAAGCATAAATTATCGTTGCTCATAATCATATCAATGTAATCACACTACTCTCAACATCTGATTTTTATAGTCCTATCACCTCATATTATTTGTTCTTATTGTTAGTAAAGTGTCCCATATCTCTGATATAGCTGTTCCATCATTCCTATTACATGTGTCGGGTGTAGATTCACTAATCAATCTCTCTCTCCAACTAATTATATTAGACTTAAGCATAGTGGTTTCATCCCACCCATTCGATTGTGCGGTTGTGTGTATTAATACCATCCATTGTAATAGCTAGTGTTTTTCTAGATTATTGATCTTATTCGGTTTATCATTCCATATTTAGCTCCAAATTCCTATGTTCCGATAATTGACTAACCACGATCAGCTAGTTTGACCGATGTACTTCACCCGACTCAGTCATTACATGGAATTTCATAGATTAGATTATTTTGCTAAATTGGTTCTATCGGATCCTTAAGTCAATCGACAAAGCTTATCTCTGAGTGAGTTTGTAGGTTTAAATGCCACCGTAATTCCAGATTTGTTGAGAATCCTACTTTTAACGTTTCTGATGTACCTTCCTTATAGGGTAACACAATAGAGGCTGTGAGCTCTTTTCTATTCGTGTTACTGTTATCATTCCATTTCTTATGTGTTCGTACGAATTTCGTAATAAACAGCATTAATAGTTAGTGACTACCCTATGTAGTTTATTAAGAAATTACACTTATATTACTGAAATATGCAAGCGAAATGTGAATATAATGAAAGGATGAAAGAATGTACTTCACTAAATTAGCCTATTGATATTCCGATTAACTTTTTACTTGGAATCAAAATCTCTTCACTTAACATAGACACATTGAAGAGTGCAATAGTGTAGAAAAATTTGGGGGAAATTAAAACCATTAATTTCATAAAAGCAGAAATGAAATAAATTATATACATTTACATCCCTTGATAAATTTGGATAAAGCAAGAAGGACGAAATTCGCGTAATAAAATGATGATATGATCATTTTATTTCACGAATACTCTTCAGCTGCTGCATACCGTCTACACAAGTACAATAGTTATTAGCAGCACATAAGATAATTCAAAATTCTCAAGTTGTATGACAAAATGATTGATAAACTATATAGCATGTAAGTGAATAAATTGTACAGAGGTAAAAAATGTAAGAAAGTAAAGATAATAAGAAAAAGTTTTAATAACTAGAGTTATTGTGATTAAAATGAAATAGGATCAAATTGAATTCACCAAAGGAGTGAGCAAACCTTGCCTGGTTAACTAGTTCACTAGTTACTAGCCGGTCCTAAGTCCGGATAAAGAGGGAAGTTTAGGCATAGGGCCAGCAACCCTACACCGTAAAACCAATCCAACCGCCAAAGAAACTTCAAACCACAAAGAAAATATAGAAAATGAAAATAAACTTATTCCTCGCTGGAATCTGAGAGACGAAATGACGCCAGTTGGTGAAAGCCTTCTGGAAACCAACCGACTTATGTGTCTTCTCTCGACGAAAGTGAAAGTAAGATTGGGAGAACATGGAATTTCCGCACCATGTATGAACCTGACTGGCAAGGCTGCCCAGACTGCCAAAGAGATGAGTTATGGCATAGAAGTGTTTGGAATCTGCGAAAGTAAATGGAATGGAAGTGGAATCTCCAAACTGTCAACTGGAGAGTCAATAATCTACTCCGATACCGTCACACAAACGACAATCACGAGCATACTGAAGGAGTGGCTATCATGATGTCCCGAAGAGCATTAAAGGCAATCTCCTCCAGGAACAATGCGCTGGATTCAAAATCACTACCGGAACAGGCTGGTTGGCTTCACGAAAAACAAATCATGTGTGGATCAAATTACAACGCTAAGCTACGCATCAGCATACAACAGAGCATAGAATGGCAGTCAACTCAACTCTACCTCGACTTCATCAATTTTAAAAAGGCCTTCGATAGCATAGACCGAGAAGTAACTTTGCAGGCAGCTGCTTCAATACTACGGAATACCACAAAGCTTTATCAATTTCATTCAACAGCTATATGGCGACGCCACATGCCAAGTGATTCATAACGGAAAGTTCAGCGATGCCTTTGAAGTGAAGACAGGAATAAGACAAAGTTGCCGCCTACCATTACCTATGGTCTTCCTGATTGTGGTCAACTGGATCATGCAACAAACTGTAAGGAGCGAGAAAAGGAGCATACTCTGGCTGGACCGATGGAAAGAGCCTTGAAGATTTGGATTTCGCCAACGATGATTTGTGTCTAATATCGCACAAACTCGAAGATCTACAGGCAAAAACCAAAAAGTTGACAGAAGAGGCAGGGCGGCGAAGACGGAACTTCCTTCACGTGAACGTAGAGAAGACAGAGATGGAGGTGATGAAGATACCCAACCAACAACAACAAGCACCAATCACCATTAACAGGAGAAATCTAAAGGAAGTTGTCTCTTTCACCTACCTACCTACCTATCTAGACAGCATCGTTTCAACTACAGGTGGCACAGGCACAGATGAAGATATCAAAGCCAGGATCTCAAAAGCAAGACAGGCTTACATTAATCTGAAATCAGTGTGGAGATCTACCGCACTCAGCATAAAGCGTGAACAAGATCCGGATTTTCAACACCAACGTCAAGTCAATGCTTTTATGTGATGGTTCAGAGACTTGGTACGACACGAAAGGTATTTCCAATAAACTACAAACATTCATCAATACTTGCCTGCACTCGTTGCTGAAGCTCAGATGGTCAGAAAGAATAAGCAACAAGAAACTCTGGGAACCAACCAGCCAAGAACCTATCGCCCAACAAATATGCAGAAGGAAGTGGAGATGGATTGGGAAAACACTGAGAAGGCAAATTGGGGACATCACGCGCCAGGCCCTCGAGTGAAATTCAAATGGTCTGAGACGTGTGGACTTTCAGATTAAAGTTCACAATGAGATAACCAAAACCGATAATTCGTAAGTACGGGTGAAATGGCCAACAATCGATGGCAAGGTTGCAGATGTATGATAGTAATTCTGCTGTAGAAACAGTAGTAACGACAGTTGGTAATCTACATCCAATAGTCACCAAACGTCATTGAATTTCCTCAACTTCCTTGGAACTGACTGATGCGAGCAGACTCATTCCAGATGGCTCTGACTATAGAGAGGAGAGAAAGCAGTTGAAACGTATATTAACCAAGAGTGTGTGCAACGATCGTGAGCAGCGGTACGTGGTGAGAGAGATGGAGAATGCATCAGCAGTAGGTAATACCTGGCAGCTATCTAAACTTACTAAGGGTACTAGCAAGAAGAAAAGGATAGTCAGTGAAACCATCATCTAAAAGGGTGGCACGCTGATAACCTCCCACGACAGGCAAAGGCTATTTCTTACCTGAAACAGTGCAAAGCATCAGGACCTGACAGTTTGCAACTGACGTAAATTACTGAGTGCAGAAGTGGAACGCAGGTACTAGGCGGTGTATAATAATCAGGCGTGGTCCTGTCATATTGGTGTATTTCATTGATCACACAAGTCCAAAAGGAAGGAGAGGTCTTTTTGTGACATAAGGAGATTAGTTTGACTGATACTGTGTCCAAGATCTTAGGGTTGATAGTCATCCTACGCCTAACTGGAGCTGGAGAACAGTGAACTCGAGAAAACTAGGCGGATTTCAGATATGGACAACGACGCATCGATCATATTTTTACCCTGTGACAGGTTCTGGAACACAAACATGCCTACCGGCGACCGAAACTTGCCATATTTCTAGACCTGAAGGTGGCATTTGACTCAGTTGACCATGAATTGTTGTGGCAGTATCTGACCGTGAAGGGACTACCGAGAATGTATGTAACGCTTATCAAAGCTCTCTAATCGAGCTCATGCAGCTGTGTCAGGGCTTATGGAGAGTTGTCATCAGAATTTACAACTAGTGATGTATACCATGGATGCTTACTGTCACTGTACTTGTTCAACTTCGTTGTAGACGTACTAATGGACGTAACGTTAGATACTTCTGACTTCACAGGGATTGACCTACTCTCTGGATTTCATCTGATTAACTTGGAGTACACAGACGATATAGTCCTGCTGGTTGAAGATGTGGACAAAATGCAGGATTTTATGTACACGTTGAATAGAAATCTGAATATGTTTAGTTGGCAAGCGTTTTGAACCTGTCAAATGTAAGATGATGCTTTGGGACTGGTCTGCTGCAAGTACTCTCAGTTTAATTATAGGTAGTGAAACAGGTGGAATGCGTCGACAAAGTCACTTACCTAGGGAGTTGCACCAGCCCGAACAGGCTAGTTGCTGACAAAATCTCACCTCGGATACAAAAGACCCGATTGGCGTTTGCCAAATTGGAGATTGGAGAGATGTCCGACTATCTACCAAAGGAAAAGTATATTCCGCTGCTGCATTCCGTTCTGTCCTGTTGGACAGCTGTAAGACATGGTCATTGAAAGTAGAAGACATGAAGCGGTTGCTGGGTTTTAATCATAGGTACCTTCGTGGCACTGACAGTGTTTGGAGAAATCCCTGTGTGAGCAATGTTGAGGTCAGGAGACTGGTACTATGCAAAATAAGCAAATCAGTCTACAAAGTTGTGAACTTTCATCGACTGACATCTACTGCGCATGCCAATCCACCCCTTATTTCAACGTGCCACACTAGGGGGAGTTGGACTAGGTTGGAAGGCAGTCACCAGAGCAAGACGTGGCACCAATCGATGAAGTCTCTCACTGTTGGTGTGAGCCATTTCGAGGAGTGTATATTGCCTGGTTAGGGACCCGGAGAGAAAATGAATCAGTGGTTGAAAACTTGGTTTACTAAGCTACCCAATATACTCACAGTGAACAGACAGATTTCATGTGTAGTCACCACCAAACACTAGAAAACATTATTTATCGAAAAGGATGCGACCAAGATAATTCATAGGTACACTACAGAGAAAACACTTTGTAGTTTGGAGATGCTCGTACTTACTGAGAGGTAAATATCAGCAATGAAGCATATATAGGCACAAAAACTGATGAGTCTGATGTGACAAAAAGTATGCATCCTAATTCCAGTCAATTACTAACAGAAATATAAATGTGTCAAAGCATTCAAGTTATGTAAAATGAAGCAACATGAATCTTTGCATGAAGCTATTAGTGAAGTGGGTTTTGTGAGAGAAAACCACAAAAACAGTAGAACACAGATCACATTACTTACTTCTTGGTTATTCAAACCATTATTAGATGTATTCAATTCTGAGGATACCTGCACACTTGAATCAAATTGTTGTAAACAAGGTACTAAAAATTTATTCGGATAAGGAATCCCAGTTGGTTGCATTACTTGGCACAACCATACATCTAAACGTCGAATACTCGCTTGTACAAGACAATCCATTTGTGCAGAGTTAATAATTTCAATTATAAGCTATAAACAAACAGAAAATGCAGAAAGATTCTTATGATATCATTGTAGTTTTAATAAAATCTTGAATTCAAAGGGATTAAGCGAATGTGATATCTTATGAACATGAGAACAGGTGTGGTTCACTAGTTCAGATGCTAAGGGTTCGAACTCCAGTTTATCTATTGAAATGCGGCTTCTGTGATAATATCATTTTTGCCAACGTATTAAGGCTTGATTCATAGCTCATTGTATGAATGTTAGTGTAATTGCTGAGATAAATAAAAGTGTTTGGGTGGGAAATCCCCTCTAAAACGGATATTTTACGCTATGTCTGATATTTCACACAATGAATGGAATTCCTGCAATACGTTGTAAAAAGGAATCATTCGATGTAGAAAAAAGATGGAAAAGCCGTTGGAATAATATAATCATTTTTCACAAGATAGATTACCAAATACTTACGACTGAACTTACAGCTAGAAAACTAATTGACTACTAATTGTATTACATGAAAATCATTTGTGTAAGGGTATTTACTTTAAAAATCTTTAACTACTGTTTATATCTATACACTACTGCATTCATTGTCTTATTGGCTGGTGAATTTGTTGATCTTTGCTTCCTGGTATTAATTTGAATTACTTACGGCAGGAATAAGCATCCTAATGATGTAATCTAATAGTATTACAATGGCATAGTGGAGTTCATCAGAAAAGTAAAACTAAGGTATAGAAAAAGGGATTTGGGTTCATATCAGATGTACAATTGCAAAACTTACCATGTTCTTTTTGTTGATAATGATACAAAATATTCTACTCCTTTTCTAGCTACCTCCTGAGTTCGAAACTTCAACAACTTTCTACTATAGGAACTACATTTTAAACCTGTTAAACTCACTGATAAGACATTTTTTCACTCAGTAAAAACAATGTGAAGAACATAAGGTAATGGTATAGTGCTGTTTTATTTTAATTTTTTTTTAGTTCCTCTTCTATAATACCAAACAAATTTAGTAACAAAAGAGATTAAGATTATACTGTACTTAAAAACGTTTAGATAAAGAAAACGTTATACACATTATGTACGTCACTAAACGAATTTGATGGTTATGGAGCCAAACATGGCCAGGTTTTTAGAATATGGACTCGTATAGAATTATGGTTATCATAATCGGTAAGGTAATATGTAGGCCAACTCGTGAATAGTTAAATTTAGAATGAGGGCAGGTCATACTTCCATCAAATAAATAAGATACCCATATCATAGTTAATGAAGTTCTAAATAGCGATTATGGTTACAATATAGGCAATGCAACTAATATACAGTACTAACCTTGAATCACCAAGCCACGACATATCAGAACAATAAGTAAACACCAGGTGCAAGCGCCTGACTTTACAAGCATGATGAGGAAAATCGAAAATCTAAATGTTCTCACCAACGAAGTGCACATCCGTGCAGTAGGCAGCGACCTACACCCATTGTATGAGGGCTAACGATACCACCTGGCTGTCTAAACCTCCATACGTGGAGCGAGGCCCAAATCCGTGACTCGATGATATGGATGAACATATATGAGAACCATTTACAATCCCTAACGGCCCTATTGACGACTGAATGATTTTCTGACTGCTATGTATGGTGTCAACAGAGTGTCCATTGAAAACCACCGAGATATTTCCACAGACTTTAGTCTGACACAGAATTATCATAAACTAATGGAGCATACAAATAAACAACATTAGCAATAAACTCAACGAAGCACTATCCTTTTCTACGACAAGAATATTCACATGTGATTAAAGTATTGACAGAAGTGAGGACAATACAAACTCAAATGCAAAATTGTAGACACACTGTACTCTTGTGTATTAGAACTCTGGTAAAAATCTTTCATAGATTGTCCTCAACTTCTAAGACAACACAATACTGGTAAATCATGAAACCTTTACATGAGTATGTAGTATTAGATACTAGAAGTCAGTCGACAGAACACCCTACCTAACCTGGGTTCCGCGTTTATCACTAGTCAGTAGCAAGATGCTCCGTCGGAGATTCAAAGATGCATCAATCATTCAATAATGAAGCCAGAAGCATGATTACTAGAAGTTATTCCAAACTACAGTATGATAAAAATGCATAGTGATTATGTTAGCCATTGAGTATAAAAACTAATATAATACACATATATGAATGTCAAGTTACACTTACATTAGTAACAAGGGCACGTATTGTTGCACAAGGTTCTAATAATATACGTTGGAATAAATTATCCAATATTATGTATAGTGTATCTACTGATAAGCTGGCAGCCTAAAACATTTTACAAAAACAATAAATGATTAAACATGACAAATAAAAACATATGATAAAAGTGAAGGATGCAAACATCAAGATGCAACTTAGGGTCTACATGCAATTTCATGTGTCAGAAAGTTATCTATAGCTCGTGCAAACTAACAGACGATACCATTCCATTTCAGAAATAGATGTAGTTGACTACGGTGACCACTTTGTATATCAAGAGAAATGTATCATTCGTAAAGAAATGATATGATAGATAGTTAACGGAGTCTTGACGTGAAAACAAATGACTCGTTTCGCACTCCCTAGCTTAAGCTACCTAAAGTACCGTTGGAATATTGGACTGCAAATAGGGTGGAGTGTACTGCACAACCGACCGTTTGCATCCTATCCACAGTAAAGCTGTGGCTCATTGGTTTAGGAAGATAACTTTCAACTGACGGGTCACGAGTTCGAACCCCCGCTCAGGTAGTATCATCAGCCCTCACACGACACGCATGACTTATTACTTACTGCATGAATATGCACAAGGTTGCTGAGTGCACTCCGATTCGGTTCTACATACTTAGTGTTTCCCTTGCCGTCTTTAAGAACCAACGTCCCAATTTTGCGCAAACTTAGATAACACGTTTTTCTGAGAGTTTTGATATAACTACTTTTATCTTTCAGAGACTAAAGTAAGTGAATTATGTTTGAAACTGTGACAGCTAGATAAAGAATAGCACGTCAAAATCTCTAACTCCCACAGTTCACATAGAAAAGTAAGTTATGAAGAGACAAACACCTATCAGCAATCTGTAAGATTATCTACTCAATCTGTGACTTTACAAGCCATCATAACAGCTTCTGAGATAACCGATATTTTATTTTTTTAAAAACTACCATCCCAGCCAAAATACTGCAACCTGATTGGTTATTTCAGTAGTTGCTAGGATAGCCTTCAAAATCCCATAGACAATTTACGAAAATGTTAGATTGATCCAATTTTTCGACTAGTCCAATTAGTGCGAAGAATGATGAAACTCATGGGACAATTCGTGATTAAAACTGTTTGAAGATATAATTTAGTTTTATCACAATTATCTACGTCTTGTAACAGTATTCTGAAGTCAATAAGCAAGCGAAAACAATGTCATAGCACAGGTCAGTATGTGAAGGGAAAGTTTTTTTGAAGACAACAGTTTTGTTATCAAACTTTAAAGAAATTTTGTAGAGAGATTTGGGGAAATCAGTTCAAAGTGAAGTCATAAGAACAAGCAATATTGATTGTCACGGACCGAATTGGACACATTACACAATCACGCGCAAAGCATGACGCAGTGGACATATATATTCTGAAGTTCAAATAATAGCTTGAATCATTTCTAGGGCATAGCCTTTCCGTTGCGACTGCTGATTTATATTCAATTGGTAAAACAAACTGCTGCATACCCAGTGTAACACAAAAACTATAAAACTAAGGACTTTGCTCAGATAGTGAACCATCGGTAAATCGCAGCACATGACCACTGAATTGTTGTGTGGACAGGCAGAGAAGTAGGCAAGAAGTAAATAGCAGGCTGCTTTTTTAACAGTTTAAGGCTGTCATATCGCCTCTAATGAACACTGTTACACAGCAAAAATGTGGAAATAAAATTAAATACCATTAGGTTCGCTGAATTTTTCTACACGAAACAGGTGTTTCCAGGAATAAATAACTGAAAACAGAAAACTGCACAGTAAAAACTATTAGGGGTTGATTTCTGAACTGTCATTTACGCAGTTAACACTACAATTACTAACAGTTCATAGATGATACATGTCGAGTACATATAATGAGCAGTGGGATTGCTTCCTTAGACCAAATTGTAAATATTCAAACTAGGAGAATGTGAAGCTTTTTTAAGATAAAAAAAACTTTGCCATTCCTTCTCAAACATTATTCATATCACAACAGAAATTCATGGAAATCAACCAGTAGGGACTGAAAAGTAAGCTGAGATACTAAATTGATTAAAAGAGAATATGAAACATTTGAAGTCAGTGCTTCTAAACGTATGTTAACAAACAAGTAAATATAAAATTATCATTAAAAAAGGAAGGCAGAGACACAAACCTGATGTTCACACGATTCAATCACACACTGTAGGGTGTTTAAAGCACTCTGACGAATAGACGAAGATACATGGTGTAACAATTTTGCGATTATCACTATCTTTGTACTTGTATCAATTTGATAAATGCTGAAAGAAAGAAACAATGTGAATATAATAACAATGATAAAATAAACCTATTATAAATAATTAAGTAAAGCCAAAATAAGTGAAATGAATATCCAGCCAGTAAACACAATGATTGTTAAACAAGAAATGCGTATACTGTAGAATATTCTTGGAAAAGAACATGGCTGTTCTTCCATTGACTTCGTTATGTATGATAATCAGAGCAAATTGAAATATGGGAAAAATATGGAAACACTATCATCCATTACTCTAAATTAGTAGTAGATTTGGTTAGGGTTGACAACAATCATTTTACTCCTACTCATCATCATCATCATCAATATCAACATAGGACCAGGCATTACTGCCTAACGGTCCCACTTGCTACACTTCATATCAGTACATCAAGTAAAAAGGTAGTGAGGTGAAAATGAAGATAAAAGAACTCAGTCAAAAGAAATATAAAGTACGAGGAGAAAGAATGACAAAATGGTGAGAATCGGTAGTGTTAAGATGAGGATAATGTGTGTACACATCTGCGCCACTGACATCGATTCTCAGCCATATTCCCTAGGGTCTCCAGCCACTGGTTTCTCTTGTCCCGCGGACCCCAATCACCTAGTCTGCATCGTCCCATCTAGCTCAAACCAAGTCAGAGACTTCGTGCACTGGTGCCATGTTTTAGTTTGGCCACCTTAGGCCTTTTACCAGCCTGGACCTACTTCGGCCACATTGTGTGACGAGGCAATCGGTAACTAGGCATACGTAACACTACTTGAATCTACCAATGAGATAAAAGTTAAGTAATTTAATTCAACTCAACCCGTTACATATGTTGATGCATTAGGCTATGCAGTAATCACTGGATGAGAGCCTATGACACTACTCGGTTGTTCGGACTGAAATAGGTGAAATAGGATTTAAATCAATGACTAATTACTTGAAAGTCAAACGCTTAAGCCAATGGTTCAAATTTCCACAATAAATACATAAAACATAGTTCACAAAAAGATATCAGGTTTCCTGATGTGTAGAATTCAGGTTAATTGGAGAATAAACGCATTCATTTCATTGGAAATTAGTGACTATATTTATCTCCCTTGATACAATCACTTTCGGCATACGTAACAAGATTTTATTTGTTCGCTTTAAAACTATATAACGGAAATCGTTAAAAATTCTACTTAGTTTGTATGCTATTTGAGTAGAGAGGTATGATCATAGCAGGTAATATCGATTATGGAGTGAAATTAGAAATAACAAATTAGGGCGATCTCTGATATTTTTCGTATTACAAGACGGTGTATAAGACCTACATTTGTGTAACCTTATGCTGAGTGTATATGAAGCCTGAAACATAAGAACGATCCTGTAAGTAAAATACTACATAAAACCAAAAATACTTGAAGCCTGAAACAGGAATACATCGATCTACATTGAAGTGCTGTCAGATGGTAAAAAATATAGCTATTCGATACTATACTTATCAATACATCAAGCTGAAAGTACATAAATGGCACACATACATCTGTATATTAATTTAATCGGTACATGAACTCAATTTCAAGGTGAATGCATTATGATTAGAGATTTCCAAAATTAATTTCAGTGAAATCGTGAGAGTAATGATAGAAACATACAACAAAAGGAGGATTATGCATCAAAAGGAATTTCAATATTATACCTAACATCCTCGTTTGATTTGAATGCGCTGTCATACCGTCTCATAAGGTGTTTTCCCTCACATTCAGCCTTAGTCAATGCACAAATCAAACTGAGCACTGGTCCTGTGGACGGTGACAGATCCGATGGTGTTTTACGAATCAATGACCAAACATGATTTACAAACAAATTATACTCATATTGACTAAGCGATTCAATCCAAACTGTATCAATAATTGGCAATAAAGCTGAACCAGCCGCGGCACGTATATCTTCATCATCTACAACAACACTTGCACTCGATGATAGATTATGTTGACTAGACGTCTCATGATCAGTTGAAATTGGTATACCAAATAATCGACTGATTAAACATGGTGCAACATGTGGTAATAATACATCCTTCAGATCCTGTCGAAAAAAAATCCGGTTTGAATTATCAATACAGTGTCTGTCCTCTTTCAATATTGTAATAAATTTGTATGCCATGAATATTCTCAATTAAATAAGAACGACACAATGGTCTTGTGTAGTAGGAGTGTCACTCATCAAGGGCGGTGTATAAGAAATGTAACCATCTTTAGTTGTCAGATGAAACTCATTGAAAACTCTACAGTACACATAGGCTACATGATCATAAAGGAATTATTGGTGCATGAATTTGCATCAGTCAGATAATACAACGAGAACACAATTCCTTATGTCGTTTAGCTGAGTTGTCCATTAGACGGTTTAATTAAAGTCCTTTAAGACAATTTCCACTTTCAGTTTGTGACAAATTGATATACAATTTCCAGATAGGCTAAAACAAATAACAACAAATTTACCTGTACATCACGATTTGAAATTTTGTAGCACACCTCCAGTTGTTTCGTACAAATTAATAATAATAATAGCCAATGTATTTGTACAGTCACTCTTCCAGGTAAGTAAATGCAAGATCAATACATAACTTAGTTCAGTAACCACAACAGCAACTTGATTGGTAGGTTCTGATCAAAATTATGGACTACCGTAGTATGGAAACTATTATCAATATAAACCATTGAGTTTTACTACATTTTTTAAGGTCTAAATTAATAATTATTAACTTTTTGGTCTGACTGTTAGTCTGAGGCGTGTAGGGAGGCGTAGACTACTTGTTTGGGATCCCCGAGATGATAGGAACTAGTGGTTGGGGACTCTTGGTGAAAAGGTTGAAAACCGGTCATAATGGCGAAAATATATTCATTCTTTAATGTCTTCTCAAGCTTAAAAGTTTTGACTAACTTCATTTTCAAATCCCCTCTCTCCTCATATACCTATCTACTCTGATATCAGTCTTTCCGATCAACTTGTTCTTTGTATACCACTGTTAAGTGTGGCAACTTGAACCAACGCACTTGTGTGCAATGTTCTATGTTGATCATGTCTGTCCGTCTATCAATCACATCTTACTTCATAAGCAGCAGGAAATTGTTTACTCAAATATCAATGGAGTGCATGAACAGTTATTGCATAAATATACTACAGTACACTGTTCAGGAAAAAATTGAAAAATACATTGATAAGAATAGAGTACTAACCTTTCTTGAAGCCAGTAAATACTTGATACCTAGTAGTCCACCATGAGCTATCATCCAACTATTCTTGGAAGTGTTTGTATTCTCTTTCTGACAAGGTATATTATTGCATAACTGAGCTACTGTATCATCATTTAATGACACAAGGTATATCAAGTGTTTTGCTATCAACAGCACTTGTTCAGCTGTCAAGTGTAATGATAATACACCCAACAACTGAGCAGCGGTTTCACGTACTGGGGCTACAACCTGTAAAAAATTTATACAAAAGTGGATTTTATGATAAGCATTTAGGAAGAGCGTTTTCATAACTAATTGGTTTTACTTGATGAATGGTTGAGAACCATTGTATGCTGGGCAGCTTTCACAGTCTTAGGTACAACTTTAAAGGCGTACACCATAGATCCCATGAGTACTCCAACCAAAAACACTCAGGTGTTTCTAAAGGTTTTATAAATAACTGACTGGTAAAGAATGGTGACTTTTTATGCAGTAGTAGTACCAATATTTACACAAGACCTTATGAGAAGTATGTCTCAGATCTTTCTTCAATGCTGTATACAGACTAGGAATTATAATTAAATATTTTTAAGGCACGCTGTACTCTGAACTGTGGCTGACCGGTAGAAAATCAAGAACTTAAGTCAGTGGAACATAATCGTACTGAACTGACAACTTTCCTTCAAGGATGCACATACCTGAAAAATGAATGAAGTTTTAAGAAAGCTTAAATCGGAGCTAGTCAAGTAAACTATCAGTTAAATTCATCTACCGACTTAGTATTCAGCAGTACTAAAGGCACCGAGTGTAGTAATGGTTCATTGGTATAGGTGCTTAACTTCAATTAGTGGGTCACAGATTCTAAACCCGCACCGCCCGCCGTGGTCTGAGCAACCAAGTAATATCATTAGCCCTTACATAAAAAGTATGGTTGATTGCCCAGGGCACATACCTGTACGTGATTGTTCAACTACATTCAATTCAGTTTAATCGTTGCGTATTGTAAGAATGAAATCAGGTTATCAACGGATTTCAGTAACTTGAAAATGTATGCACAAGAAGTTGGAATAAATTTAGTTAATAAGAAAACGTGTATTAGCTTTGATCACAATAATCTCTAATTCCATATTAGACTTGTCAGTTTGATTTATTATCACTGTGACTATCTGAGATAGGCGTAGTTTGGTAGACTACTATTTATACTGGGTGATGATTGAAGGTGGAATGAAAATTTGGACCGACACGTTCTAACAGGTATCTAGACTTCCAGTCATCTCATCCAATGTCAGCTAAAGCAGGTTTAATCAAATGTCTGAATGACAGAGCTAGAAAACTGACTAGTCAGTGCGAGGACCTAAACAAGGAACTGAAGTACATAAAAGAAGCTTTAATAGTTAATAATTACTCTCTATAGTTTATTAAGAAATTCGTACGAACACAAAAGAAATGGAATGATAACAGTAACACGAATAGAAAAGAGCTCACAGCCTCCATTGTGTTACCCTATAAGGAAGGTACATCAGAAACGTTAAAAGTAGGATTCTCAACAAATCTGGAATTACGGTGGCATTTAAACCTACAAACTCACTCAGAGTTAAGCTTTGTCGACTGACTTAAGGATCCGATAGAACCAATTCAACAAAATAATCTAATCTATCAAATTCCACGTAATGACTGTGAGTCGGGTGAAGTACATCGGTCAAACTAGCTGATCGTGGTTAGTTAAATTATCGGAACATAGGAATTTGGAGCTAAATATGGAATGATAGACCTGAATAAGATCAATAATCTAGAAAAACACTAGGCTATTACAATGGATGGTATTAATACACACAACCGCACAATCGAATGGGTGGGATGAAACCACTATGCTTAAGTCTAATATAATTAGTTGGAGAGAGAGATTGATTAGTGAATCTACACCCGACACATGTAATAGGAATGATGGAACAGCTATATCAGAGATATGGAACACTACTAACAATAAGAACAAATAATATGTGATAGGACTATAAAAATCAGATGTTGAGAGTAGTGTGATTACATTGATATGATTATGAGCAACGATAATTTATGCTTGGAACGTCATCAAGTAAATAATACTGTAGCTCTGTGGGTTATACATCAAATAAACAAATCTAGTATGGAATTAAATTCTACCCTAGTGCCCAAGTTTTACACTGATATTAACACATTAATCCTTGCACATACCGAAATTCCAAGTTAATCACTAAGCTCTGTGAATGGATTCAGTTCAAAAACATACCACTATATAATTTTGGTGGTATAATTACCATTTGGTGTCAGCTACTTTGACAGTGGACTGATGAATAAGGATAAACAATGTGACAATCCAATTCAATGATTTGGCACAAGTTTATGGATTGGTCTTATACGCACTTAATACGTGAAGGTCCATGATACTATGCAGTCAGCAAGACAAAAAATGGCGGAGCAGGATTTAAACCAGAGACCCATTGTGTGAAGTTCTAGAGATAAAGCTAGTGTAGCCACGCCTCTATACTGTGATACATGACATAATTGCTTGCCATAAAATTTGCACGATTAAAAATGCATGAATGAAAAAGGATCCCAAAATCGATACAGAGAAATGGATTTTCACAATGACAAAAAAAGAAATCGTAGCACTCACTTCATCTGAAATAAAATCAGACAACTGGTCTAAGGCAAGCGTACAAAGTACTCGAACTACAATATCTTCTAAATACTGACGATGACTACTTTGCATCTATAGGAAAGCATTGTAATAAAAAAAGAGATCAGTGCAAATTATGAGAAGTGTGAATCATGTAGTGGTGATAAATAAATAACGCAAATCGACCCAGTGCATGTGTTCATGTACTACACGATGGGTGACACCTTCCATGTAAGGGCTGTGGCTCATTTGTTAAGGAAGATGACTTTAAACCAATGGATCACGAGTTCCAACAGCACTTTATCTACCGAGGTTTGGATACCCCTCAATCAATCGGTGTTGCTCACTACCTATTGCACGAATGTACACAAGGTTGCCAAGTGCATTTTCCTACCTGGTTGCCCAGGCCGAAGTAGATGCACCGACGTTTGAAACCAGGACTCCTTGTTTAAAAGTTGGACGCTTGAGCCAACTGACCACAGTCCCACCAATCGTTTATATCATTTAGAACACTAAAACAATTAGTTCACCGATGGTCTTTCTGATTGTGTCTTTCTGGATCACGCAACAAACTGTGAAGAGTGAGAAGAGAGGCATACGCTGGACCGATGAAAAAAGCCTAGAAGATCTGGATTTCGCCAACGATGATTTGTCTCTAATGTCGCACAAACTCAAAGATCTACAGGCAAAAACCAAAAAGTTGGAAGAAGGGGTCGGTCAGCAAACGAATATGAGACTTCCTTCACGTGAACGTAGAGAAGACAGAGATGGGGGTGATTAAGATACCCAACCAACAACAACAAGCATCAATCACCATCAACGGGAGAAATCTAAAGGAAGTTGTCTCTTTCACCTACCTACCTACCTACCTAGACAGCATCGTTCCAACTACAGGCGGCACAGGCACAGATGAGGACGTCAAAGCAGCCAGGATCGGAAAGACAGCAAGACAGGCCTTCATCATTCTGAAATCGGTGTGGAGATCCACTCCACTCCACTGCTCTGCACTGCACTCAGTATAAAGCGTGAACAACATCCGGATTTTCAACAATAATTCAGTCAAGTAAGTCAGTGCTTCTATGAGATGGTTGAGAAACTTGGCGTGTTACGAAAATCATTTCCAACAAACTGCAGACATTCATCAACAGCTGCCGCCTACATTCATTCGATACTGACACTGAAAATCAGATGGCCAGAACAATAAGAATAGGCAACAAGGAACTCTCCCTGCCTGGCTGGCTGGCTGGCTGGCTGGCTGGCTGGCTGGCTGGCTGGCTGGCTGGCTGGCTGGCTGGCTGGCTGGCTGGCTGGCTGGCTGGCTGGCTGGCTGGCTGGCTGGCTGGCTGGCTGGCTGGCTGGCTGGCTGGCTGGCTGGCTGGCTGGCTGGCTGGCTGGCAACCAACCAACCAACCAACCAAGAACCTATCACCCAACGAAGATGCAGAAGGAAGTGGAGATGGATTGAGTTGGACATACACTGAGAAGACGGTCTGTGAACATCACGCGTCAGGCCAGTTCGCCGAGCGGAACGCATATGGAAAATGACGAGTTGGGCGATCGAGGTGAGGGCGAGATTGAGGAGATTGTGTGAGGAAGAAAAGAAAGGTGTTGGAAAGTCACGGGGCCAGGTGGAAAAGATTGAAGAGAACAGAGTGAAATGGCAACGTGCTACTAGGAACCTGTAGGACAAATAATAAAATAATAATAAAATCAAGTAGTTCTGCGAAAGCATGAGAATACTCACAAACTGAAAATAAAGGAATTTATCGACGCAAATCAGCAAACGTTAGATGTACAACTGAAAGAAGCTTCATTTGACTTGCACACCGATTTCTTCAGTGCTACTAATACATGAACGCCATCTTCCTTCTTAACAAATTTCAATTTTATCTCTAAATTTAATCAAGGTGAAGACATCATGAAGTCAATAAACAGAACTGATACTTTTCTAATAGCAGTACTGTAAACAACGCCATTTAATCATGGCATTGCTATCAAGTTTGATGTCCGATTGTGTCAGTCAAACCTGACAAGATGCAAGTAAATGTTAAGGATTTACACTTCAGACTGTAAGATACCACACAGATCGCAACAAAGATTCAAATAATATCTCACACGTAATACATCCATTCGATAAACAAACATCTATGCACTAACCTGTCTTTGAGTTTGACCAATATATTTCCCTGCCTGTCTTGTATGTCTTGGCTCGGACAGCAGCTCTCGTAGACCAGCAGCTGCTCCATGACGTGTCTCCCAACGTAATGCCCATAAATCACCCAAAAGTGTAGTACACAATTTATCCAGCGGCCAGTGTGCAAATAACCGCTACATCCACCAGAAGCAGTGGACTGAATATCTATCTGAGACACTTCTGATGGAATTTCAGTTTGCGATTCAAGTTTAGTACGTTTAGCATCACAATGAGGTGGTGATTGGCAAGGACTAGATCTGAAAGATATTATAAAATAAGTTGGTAGTGTAAAGGCCATAAATATTATCGTTACAAAATTTATTCCTATCTACTGAGCCGCTGAGCATCCGATAAACTGTGCTGATTGCAACTTAAAGGGTCTAAGAGACAAAGTACTGACTGTATGAATATGCCATTTTTAATATATATCCTAAGCATGATACTAAAAAAAAGATAACAAGCTTATTCATGATAAGGTCAAACGAAGCACTATCGAAACCTGACACGACATAACTAACTCCAGCTGATCAACTTCAAAAATAACAGTTGTGTGATGCAAGAAATGTGGCGAGAAGAGCCAAACAGAAACAATAAAGATAATATGTAAATAAAATCTATAGAAATAAATTGAATGCTTAATATGTGACGAAATGAAAGCGTCTGGACCACCAACGTTCACTCTATGGCTAACGTCTCCTACTCCAAGCTATCTACGCGTAGTTCAAATCAACAGTTAATGATTTTATAGTACAATACATATTTTGTCACGATTATGTTAAAGTTTATTTCAGCGTGTAAAGCCTTTACAAAACACGGAACACATCTCAATCATCCAGTAAAACGTCACTATGATCAAGTATTGATCAAATAAGTGAAAGTGACATGATATACACATTAGATGTTATGTAAAAACAGTATTTACTTTTTTTCATTTATGAGATGTAGCTCATTCGCTTAAGCCTCTACAAGCAATAGGTATAGGGCTAAAAATTGCCCTGCTTACTTCACAGTTATTAACAGAGCCTAACATCTATGTGCCTCAGCCTGATATATATATATATATATATATATATATATATATATATATATCAGGCTGAGGCACATAGATGTTAGGCTCTGTTAATAACTGTGAAGTAAGCAGGGCAATTTTTAGCCCTATACCTATCGCTTGTATATATATATATATATATATATATATATATATATATATATATATATATATATATATATATATATATATACCATTTGGTCTGGGTAGTGAGTCATGTAAGTAAATCCCGAACGTAAACATGAGAAAGTGTCCTATTCTCAGTTTCATTCAATATCTGTTATGTCAGAGGCATGTGTATAGATTTTACTTAACAGTATTCGCTTTAACGTGATACTCGTTAAAGGAGTTAGATACGCTGCAGAGGTGCAGACAGACAGATAAAATCAATGTAGAACCTCGCACACAAATATATCTGTTCAAGTTGCCGAGGTGGAACAAAATAGATGATAGCTGAATGAAAATTAGGCAACACTCATAAATGGATGATATTCAGATCATGCAGCACCAACATTTTATCATTAGAATTCCTGAGATGTATCATTAACACTATAGAGTAGGTGGTGAATAGCAAGAGGAGATCGGAGAAATACTAACTACGGCACTGGTTGAAGTATATATGAATTTAAGAAGAGAAACTAGTGCAGGAATACATTACGTCAAAGGGTTTTCTGACTTTTGTTTGCAAACATGAACCCCAAATAAAACATAGTACGAACCAACAGAAGCTGGAAAATGAGAGTTATTGAATTCCAATTCAGTGGCTGAATGGTAACGTGCTCATTGTGAGAACTGATCATCTTGGGTTCGACCTCCATGTGGTCACGGGTGCGCATTGATGAGGAGCTAAAACTAAATAGCTGTTCAGCGCACTCAGGCTTTTAATAGCTTTCTGACTGATGTCGGTATTTGATGGGAACTCCTTTGAAATAAAACATCAGTTTGAATAAGAGATATATGAATAATCAAGACTGAAAGCAAAGTTATTTATTCCCTTCCCCATAAAAGTAACCGAGAGATCACCGCTCCCAAATTAACGTGCAAACTAGTCGATTCGAAATGGAAACTGGGAATATTGTCTTACGACTATGATATAACGGAAGGCTAACCCCAGGATCTTATTGACATACTTAGAGAAAACGACAACTTTTCACTATGTGAAAAGTATGGAAGTGTCAACGCCCTGTCTGAAACTGTTTCTGGCATTCACAAAGAAGATCACAGTTGCGTGATCACGAAGTCATGGAACAAGCAAGTAGCTGTTCAACAACTGTCAACATGTAGTGAAAACCATTATTGTAATTTAAAGTTAGATGGATTATTTCTTCAAGACTGGATTCAAAATAATACTCGGAAGCAAACACTGGTCTCAATAATCAATATCAAAAAATCCATATACCTTTTCCTCTGCGGATCAGAAGCAGTAGCTGCGGAAACGTAAGTACTTCGAACACAAGTCTGTAGAAATTAAAAGTGAAAAATGAGGTATATTAAAAATCTCCTTATAAATAGTAAAAAAAACATGGTGCTTAAAATATAAAACCGAAAAATAAATGTAATGTAATACACTATTGAACTTTATTTCTTTGGAGAGCTAAAGAATCTGGAGTCTAGTTTCCATGGTAAACTGATATAGGTTGCACAGTCAACGAAGTTAGGCGTGATGAGAAACTCTTTCACCATAGTTTAGGGTTTAACAACAGAAAGGACGTTCCATTCCTTAAGGAGTCCGAATCCAAAATCGCTAAGTGTTTCATGAAGAGTAACATAAGGTTCTGTTTTCAAGGTGGTATTGATCTTGGGATAAAATCAGTTAAAGAACTATCGAAAACATGGGGGCACTGGAGAGCTGTTCCATTCTATTCAGAGACTCTTTAGCAGCAAGTACCCACAACTCCACCAAAGATCGAACCCAATGCCATCGATGAGTATTTATCCTCACATGCAACTTGGTTGACCCTACAGGCTACGGTTTTATCCATAAATTCATTTCGAAGAATGCCAGTAGCGAACACTAGACAGTTATTCAGTTTGGACGTTTTTAGGGATTGACTGATGATGTTAATTACCTTGAAATCAATCCCTACAAACGTTTGAATTGGATTACGATTGTTTTGGAACGAAATGACCACTGTTAGGGGATATTAAACATCAGACTATGATCATGTAAATTAAACCTAACATATAAGATAAGAAACGAGGTGAATTTAATTCTATCCTCGATAGCAGTACAGTAATCTTAAACTAGGACTAAGCATTAAGTTCATTGCTTTTTCGTTTCTACTAGTTGGTTAAACTGATGCAAAGTTGTGATTTGAAAGACTTTCTAACATTTTAATGCACAAAAATGCATTACCAGTAGTTTAAACATCAAATTAATGCATATTGAAAATTTTCAATCAAGAATACGAATACATGGCAACAAAAATGAACAATCTAGTTTATTTACGCTTATTTTCCCACATTATTCGTGAACTAAAACACTGCATATAGATTTTAATGTATACATACATTGAGTAATATAGACGGTAAAAGTGTATCTTATTTTATAGTCCGAAAAAAATGAATACAGATCGATATGAGATACAGATTTACACAGAAAATTATTAGTTACAACTCCCACAAGGGTTGCGATACTAATTGGCTAATAAAACCTTGGTAGGTAAAACGGTTTCTAAATGTATGAACCTCTTTAACTAAAATCACAGTACAATAAATTATGGCAATAGAGAGCTACTGTTATCACTCAACGACATCAAACAAGGAAAATGAAACAGAATTGAATATCCAGACGATATCTAAATTCTTAGACTACTTTTTACTAAACTTTATAGTTGGCTTTCAAGCTTCCCTCCAAAATGATAGCGACTGCTTCTGAATTTCTTATCACACAGCATGAGTATCTACTGTATTGGATTAGTGTAACCACCCCTCACTCCTTCAACTCTTCCCTTTTTATTTTTAACAAGGGTAACAACACAATATCATTATATTTGCTGTTCCAAACCAGCACCAGCAGTAAGCCTTAAAACCGCTAAACATGATTTAAATAGTTGAAAACTGATCGGTAGAATTCAATCTATATTACTGAAGTATTACTCTACGAGAAAAGAAATACCTCTACATCCAACTGGACAAATCCAGGTTGTGCTTCATCAGCCAAATCATCAGGTGTTATCCACTTATTAATCGATACGTCTGCGTGAGTTTCCAGAACTTGGGTCAACAAACTATCGCTCTCCAAACCCAAACGACTATTAATTTCTTGGCGTTGCACTTGATTAAATATAGAAAATAAAATGTGAATAGTATAGTCATTACATCAAGATCAAACAAAACAAAATCTCTCAGCAACTATGTGCATTTTTATGCATCAGGTAACGAAACACACCTGTTGTGTGGCTCACTTAAACTTTGGTAGGTGGATAAGGCTTCGAACTCGTGACCCAATGGTTGTAAGTAACGTGCCACTACATATCAAACAGGATGTTGTCGAAAACAAAATAGATAAATATTATCGAAACTCGATGGTCGCTAAGTGCCGACTAAGATGACTACTGATGAGTAAATTAATTAAATTATTATAAACAAAACCATAAAATCTTTGACGTTATAGGTTATTGGTTGAACCGAGTTCATCGGCTACTGTTGGCATATGGGCTCCTGTGCGAATGTCATTAATCATCACCAATATCAAATTTTAAAATACCGGAAATATCGAGGTATCCACACACAGGAGCCTATATGCCAATAGTGGCCGATCAATTCGGTCTAAACGACGGAGATGCACAAGCTATAACGTCGAAGACTATAATACTATACCCGTTGTAGTAGTAGTGGTTATCGTGACTCAGTAGCCCAGTGTATAACGCTCTGACATTTGAAGGGAAGGTCCCGGGTTCGAATCTTAGTGAGAACAACATCACTTGGTGGGAGGCAGGTACGTACAGCTAATAATTCCCAAATAGGATTGGACGCACGTCCTTGATTCCCAGCTAGCCACTATCCATCATTAATATCAAAATCATAAAATGTTGGATACATTTCTAATGCTGATTCAAAATAAAAACCAGTTGACTTTCAGTAGCAAGTAATGTTGTTTACGTCTGACTAAGAGATCAAAAGAGAATAGGATCAGGGAACCTGTACGCCCATAAAACTCTGAATGTCCACGATACTTATGCAAGAATTGGCGACTTTTTCTCAAAATAGGAACACAGAGCTGTGGGTTTTTGGTTTACAATAATTTTTCTTAATATAATGATATGGCATTAGGGAAATCATATATAACAAGCGAGTTTTCGTTTGAATCAAATAGAATCCTAACGAAAATCTGAGACGATTCAAATTACCACACTCATCAACAGTGATAATAAGCAGATTAAGAAAAAAAACACTGAATCGACTAAACTCATCTGCTAAAGACACTTTCAAGTCAAATTACTATCGGTCTCTGACTAACAAAGAATATACTTTGATAAAGTCCAATGCATTCTGTTAGTCATTGCATGTCCACCTTGAGATATTGCTCGATACTGTCGTTCTATCGATAAAGCTAAAAGCTGTACAGAACTACCTTAGTTAGTATGGCTATTCCATCGAACCACTTAGTTGCCTATCCAAAATTCTACGCTTCATCTGACGATTAGTAATAGCTTTGATATTAGGGTGTAACTTATGTTCTAACGACTTAAGCCAGCTAAAACTACTTCTTGCTCATATCTGCAGTAACAGTAAATCAAACTTCACAAGAGTAATCTTGCCTAGAAAAATTTTGTATGTTCTCAATTACTTTTCACGTTAAAAACTTTAGTCATTAGCAATTATAGTACGGGTTGGTGGAGAAACTTGCTACTCTTGTTTCACAGCTCTATTATTTCGTTTTGACTTTTTTCTTGCTATAGAACCTTGTGTTGATGCACAACTAGGTCAGAATTTGAGTTTCCTGGTGACTCTTAAACTCTATCACCATTTGCAGTTGTTATACAGGTCCTTGTCTGTGTCCCTTTAAAAGATCAACATAGAACCTGGCACAGGCCTACATCGGTTACCACACTTCATAGCAGCATGCCGAGAAGTGTGTGGAAAAAGTGATATTAAGGTTGCTAAATGTGTATGAGGCCGAATAAATTGATGAAGGTTAACAAAACGCCCAACACTTTGAAGCTGAAAAACAGGGCATACATTTGCATCGTTGTAACCGATTTTCGGCTACGTCATGGAGAGTCACCAACCTCTGATTCTTCTCGTCCCGAGGACTTAAGCAAGACAATTTACAATTCGCTACACAGCTCGAAACAAGTTAGCAACTTTATCGACCGATGTCAAGTCTGACCACCCTTAGCCTTCAATTTTAATCTTTTTATTAGAAATCACAGTGCAACCACATTATTTACCGGATAACGTTCCTAACATTACTGTCCATATTCTGTCTTTAAATGGTATCCGGTCATGAAGTGCGCTTTCTGCTCTACAACTTAATGGATGTCTTCACAAGTAAATTCACGCTGGCTAGCCATAGAATCACTGAACACTAGTAAAATGACTTTTTTTCAGATTCATCACACTGATCACTTGAGATGAAGGGAACAACTGCCCTTGAGTCATGTATGTGTATTACAGAAACGAAGCATAGATTCATAGCTCGACATTCCAGTTTCGGCAAGCGACACCTGTTTTCCGAATGGGCATAACGTTTGGAAGTAGAAAGCTCGAATGCGATACTAGCAGCGCAACTTTAGGACACCAGAAATGATGTTTTTTTAGTGCGGATCGTTAGCAATGGTTGCAGTGTGGGAAGTTGAAGAAGTTGAAATAAGCTTACTGTCGATATTAAGAATTCAGGGCAACAGGAGAGATAATGGTGAGGAAGGTAGTTGATGATCATTTGCGTTTTGCTTGCTACTGGGAAGCGAACGGATAATGAGTATTTCCCGACTTCACATATCGTGGAAGTTGTAACTGCAACGTACCTGAGTGAGTAAACGGATTTGTTTTGCGTGATCCCAGAGCCCGTAGGATATCTGCTTGAGGTTGGTCACATATGGTGTTTCCAGGGTTGTTGGATTGAGACTGCCTAATGCTAACGCCAAGCAAAGAAAGCTCATACTGTTGACACCATAATACCACAGGTAAGATAGGAGTGTGCTATTTTGGGGTCAACGTTTCCTAACCCCGTGTTCCCAGAAAGACGTAAAAAATTAACTAGAACTTTTGGTGGTATCTAATGCCGCAGAATAAGACAAACACATTCGCCAGAGATATGTCACTGAATAGTAAACATCTTAACCTGCTAGCGTTATAGAAAGCAGTATCTGCTGTATGTCTCGAAATGAATGTGTGGTAGCCACGCTAACTTATCATTAACAGTAACAATCAAATTTATGTTGGATGGTGCATTATACGGCGGTTTTTTAGATATCTACCTAAAACCGTTTAGACACGAAGACACAAGAAAAGCTTCTGTGGAACGTTCACAGTCCTGAATTTTCAATGTACGCAAAATACTATCCACTAACAAACGCGCTTATAATTTAGTCAGCCATACCTTTTTTGATACCTACTTAAGAACTATGACTAATTAGTTACTCCTTGTACTTTGACTGAACTATACAAGTTTGTCGTTGCAAGGTTACCAGTCTGTTGACGTGACTACATATCTATTGCCACCTTGATATCACAATTTTACATATTAGTACGTTTCCTGACAGGATCTAAGTTCAAACCTACAGCCATATAACCAATTCAATAGATACAAGAATTTTCTCTTAATCTGTTTATCAAACACAGTTGACATAAATAAGGATTTTATGGAAAATTTCTGGTTTAGATAGGAACGAAAAGTGATTATTTGCAGACTACAATTACTTTAAACGATTTTGAAGACTCTGTGTGGTGATCAACAGGATTAGTAAGAAGAGAGCATGTATGACCCACGAACATTCAGTAATCGCATATACCGAATACATAGAGCTTTGGCACATTGGTCTAGACACTCAATTCCCAACCAATGGGTCAGCGGTTCAAACTCGGCTTCAACCACCGAGCAGCCAGGTAGTATCCCATTGTTGTCGACATATCGAACATATTTAGTTGTTGGAAAACAGCCGTTCTGGTACAAAATTATAGAGGCGATTTGACCTAAATGGTTAACGCTTACTCAAGTGTACACCAGGTACATAAAAGTCAATCAGTCACTTGCATTGAAGCAAGAGATTTAAAAGCAGCACTGTGGCTTTGTGGGACGAAGGATGGTTTTGTTGGGTTAGTACATGTTGATCCCTTACGACTAACTGGAAGGAGTCCAAAACATCGTGCAACTCAGTGGATTAAGACGACATCAGCTCACAGCCCAAAACAGTTTCGATCATGCTACAGCTATATAATATTTCTAATTTGTTATGGAGAAGTAAAACAAGGTATTGGAAACTTCTTTGAATTAATCCTTGAAACTTCTTTAATAACTTATATTTCTGTCTGTTTTTTCTAGCTTTCTTTTCTTCGACACACCTTTTATCTTTCCAATGTTACATTAATTTGCACACCACATTTAGTGATGCTCATGATGCATTAAGTTAGTTCTAAATAAAATAACGATCTCAGAATTAATAACTAAATGAATGAATTTGAACCTGTAATAATCACTTTTACTTTCACTCGAAAATTCAATCACTGCCTAACACCACTTATTTAAAATATTGTTACCATGCAGTACATACATTTAAGGACTATCGAATTTTCTAAACCCATTGAAAAAACATGTTAAACATTAATCTCTAACTATCAACTACATAACACAAAGGTTTTACGAATACCTGATGGTAAGGTTTGGGGGGAGTACGTTTCTGTTTGATGCTCCCATGAATCACATTCCACTGTGTTTTCATCATTCTTTTTACACCGTTCAATATAAGATCTTTTATTGGTCTTATCCAACTCTCGAGCATCCATACTGTACAACCGAGCACCTTGAGCGAGAACACGATCTAGGCGAAGTTCGTTTAGACTCAGGAAACCATCGGTTGAAATTGCCTGATCATCTTTGTCATTTGAACGAGCTAAAATCGGATCCCATTCCGGTAAGTGATGAACAATAGCACGAATAGCATCTGAGGCAGCAACACGAGAAACCCAATTTTTGTGTCGCAACAAGGGAACAAGCTTGGAGTTTAATTTTAGAAGTAGATTGAAAAATTAATATCAAAACAAAATAGAAATAAAACGCAAGATTATAAATCTCATGAATTCCAAGCTTATGATGAATGGCACGCAGGTAGATGGATTTTTACTACAATTACAAGTATATACAAGCACGTACAAGCAACGTGTCTTTAGCGAAACAGTACTGTAATATACCATGTGCTTTAAATCAAATAGATAAATGTACGTGGCGTAATACTTCAAAGTTTGCTGACGTCAGTGGGGAAGCAAGCAATTAGTTCAAGACCTGAGCTGAAATATTTTTGCATTGAAAAACTAATCAGTCTATGTGACTGAATAAAACCTTACTTTCACTCCTTCTATCACCATCATTAGTATTCCACAACATAAAAGACAACCAAAATACTCAAACAGCTGATTTAACAGACCAATGGAAGACATAAATAAAAAACAAAACGCACCAATCTGCAGGTTTTGTTAGTCACATGATAGTGATATAGACAACCGATGCTTCTCTTTCTTGTTTGATTACGAATTCCTCTGTGGTATATCCGGAAAACTCCAAAAAACCAGAATTGTGAAACTGTCTGGATCTGACCAACCAACTAGGTGACTCGGTGTTAGGTTAATTCACACTATGATATAACTGTATTTATCCTTTATTTCTTATTTAACTAAGTAAACCCAGTACGAAAACTGGATTCCTAGAAACAAGATCTGTTTGAGTTCTCGTGACACTTCAAAAAAAGGTGGACCAAAGTGATGATTCTCACTTTCTGAGGAGAGTGATGCAACCTTATCTCATCTCCAAGTGGAACGAAAACTGAAGCCGTTGAATAGTTCGGTCTTAAGTTGACTGAAGCTAACGCACGAATATATGGCGATGAAATGGATATAGTAATCTTTCCAACTTGATCAAGCACGAACGGGATCAACCGAACTATCACTAACGAACGATTAATGGTCACTGGTCATTTTACTTTTTGAATGGTCAGTCCCCTATAAACTCTATGCTGTATGGATTTAGGTATTCAGAAATAGCTTTTATAACATGCTTATTCTTTTGGTTTTTTCAGAACACAAAACAACAGTATTATGACACTACCTTGAATAAAAGTGGTTTCTGAGGCTAGGTGTATTCGTGCGCTACTGCAAAGAAGATATGGAGGGCAGTGTGAGGTTTTAACATCCTAAAATTGACTGAAAATTCTTATAACAAGTTTTCGTAAACTGGTAGCAGTTTCAACAGGGGTTTATGGATTGATTTATTGACATTAGATTCCTATTTGGTCCAAATGAGTAAAATCGTCTGCAAGCCATAGTCCAACTCAACGATATACTGCACATCATGTGAAACTGTCAAAAAATATGAAGATAATTGACCCCAGGAAACCATTTGTTTAAGAAAGATTACCAATTTACTTGCAGTCAACATTTTACACTTTTCAGTACATAGAGAGCAATGCTACAGAATGTGCATATGAAATAATTATTAAAGAGACTGCGAAATATTCCAGTAGACTACGATTTGCGAACCACTTACAAATTCAATAACCGAAAAAAACCTGTGAGTGATTACAGTCTTGCCACAGAATCACAAGCGGTGACTAAGTTTTAGGTATGCCCACTTTCTGTCACAAATAACTTATGTCCTCAACATACAAATCAGTGAGTCCAAAGGACGCCTTTGTTGTGACCAGGACCCATGACTAGGTGGCGTCTTTCCGGGCCAAGTAAGTGGCAAAATAAAGGGTGTGACTTTAAAAATAAGATACTAAATTTCCATTTAGTTAGGAATTACAATATGTATTCTCAATGAGAACTAATGTACTGCGCATAACGTTGCACAACATTTAAAACCCATAGGAAAACTGAAGAAAAACAACACTAATGTAAAACTCAGAGTGCAACTTACACGTGTAAACACATAGTCAATATTTGATGGGGCATTCTTTGCAACCTCTCCAAGTTGCTCAGCAGCCGCAGCCCTTAAAGATGCATTTGGACAGTTTTCTAGGAGCACAAAAAGACGATCGAGCCTTGGAAAAAGATTATACAAATGAAACCTATGACAAACTGACAACTTGAAATACAAGATATTGGCAATAAAATATTACCGTAAGCCATTTATTGTGGTCGCGAACTTAAAGATATCCGGGTCTAACTTCTCAACTGTCTATTGATGCGTTCGAACACTAAATAAAAAACAGCCAGTGTTTCGTATGAGAAGCAAAGGTCATGATGAAAAGCAGTAACCATGAAGCTTGCAACAAAGAATTTAAAATTTAGCTGACGTCTTTAACTTTTAAGCTCATACGTCGTAGTTGGAAATGTGATCAGTGATGCTGCTCACAATTAACATTAGTTGGCCAAATAACCCATGAAGGTTGAGTGAGTATCTGTAGCCCCCAAACACCTCCATGCGTGCACAGAAATTGTTCCAATATACCCGATAGCTAAACATATGAGAATTGGTCGCGCTGAGCGTCCAAAACGTACGTGATGCACCAAATGCTTCAAAAATAAAGTGATCTGTGATTACAACTGATGCGCCCGAGAGGCTTCCTAAATAAAAGATTCTGACTTCATAATTAAGATGACCAAAGAGGGTGAGATGGCCATCGCAACTAAATACTGCACCAGTTGAAACCAGAGTAGATTTCATCCTCAAGAGAACAAGAGTAAAACAGGATGACAATATCACCACTAGGCTGGTGTATAATGATGAATGTATCTGGCAAGATATCAGAAGTAATATATCACTCCTTACATACCACTTCAGAGAGAACACACGGTAATACTACTATCTTTTCCCGCGGACAGAAGAAACATACCTACTGAAAGGGGGCTGAGACATCACCTAGCTACTCAGAATTAGGTGGGCGAAGCGAGGCTCAAGTCTGTCACCAGATTGTTGGGGGGTGAGCACTCATTCCAAAAACCACAGCTCTACTATTTGTGACAAGTGTAGGCCACAAAATCCACCAATTTTCTGAGCAGTAAACTAAAGATCGGTGGCAGAGCTAACCCAATATTGTCGGCACAAGTGAAAATCTTTAGGTCATCTCACTGACCCTCAGCGGTCTGACCAAAGAGAAAATCAGCCTACGAGCCTCTTTGACACGTCTAACAGTAATGAGCACGAGCCAATTTGTTTCCTGAGTAAGCCAGTAAACAGTCACGTACTAGGCAGGCTTTTGTGGGTCTAATGTAGTGCTGAATTATAATGGTCGTCATGAGAAGTAATAACTCCACTTCAGCTATGGCCGAGGCTCACTAAGAAAAACAAATTAAAATCAAGTACGTAGTTCAAATTAGCCTTTTACTGCTCTCATAAGCCCTATCTTACCATCTAATTTTAATGTGAGGTCATATCATCGGCTCAGACAACAGGTAATAAGTCTCGGGTTTAAAAAGACTCCACTCACTTTGGCCTTAACATTTACCTGGTATTATAAGCCAAAGCCTATGAAGTGCACAGACATCAGGTTGAAGTCACGCTGTCTAGTTAGCTCAATATGTATTCCCAGTTCTTTCATCCCACCTTTCTCATTTACTCTTTCCTTCCAATCCTCTACCCACACTGATTTTCGCTTCAAGGAGTGTTTCGTTCATGCTTTTCTCCCAGGTACTTCATTTTTCTTTCCTCGCATCTTGTTAGTAGAGACGTCGCAGAAAGACAATCGACTCATCTGTGACTTATCCAAAAATAATACTGAGAAAAAGCTGCACAATATTTTACATCTGCTAGGAGTAAAAGCAACGAACAAGAAAGAACACCTAGAACAGAGCCCATTGGTCTAGAACTACAGTCACAAAAATTCAATGTCAGACAGTTGAATTGACTTTGAAGTAGTATTGTGTTATATGCCCAAATTCTGTTTCGTAGAGCATGAAATAGTTCTTTGTTGTATATATCTCAACATCAGAAGAAGCGAGTCACAACGCATTCTATAGGATGAAGTGTAGGCGTTAGTCACCACAACTCTCGACTCCACAGAAGACTGAAAGCCTCTGAAGCTAAGTTACCCATCCATATGAACAGTAAAATTTTCTAATTTATGAGTGCATAGGATACTACTTGGGCACTTTCTTTTTTCAAACAAAACCCACTCATTTCGAATACAAAACGGACGTCCATATAAATCCCAAGTTGAAATTCAAACGCATAAATAAATGCACAAAAACATCATTGCAGTAGTACCGGCTGGTCATTGAGATCCAGAAGATATCGCTTAAAGTATTTCCACAAAGCCTGCCGACAAAAATCACGTCGGACAAAGAACCGCGAACAGTCCGCCATTGGGCTGAATATATTTATACTGAGCACCATTTCGATATGTTGCGCATTTTATTAGGACATCGGTTATGCTATTGGTTGTTGGCTGCTGGTGTCCTTGGATTGAATGCTCTAGCATATTGAAACAATACCGATGATGGGACACAGCCTTTGAAGTGGAATTTATCAGGACATCTCAGTTTCAATTTTATTAAAATTAATTTTAGTGTCTGTGATTCTAATAATCCTTTGTCTAAACCTAAAACCTAGGGTTTCAGAAATAGCAAGCTGACTGTTCCATAAGCTATGCGTTTGTACTGCTGCGAACTTTCCTTGATACATAAGAGTCATCATCTTCTTTTCCTGATCACAGATGACCTGAAATAGCAGGACTTCTGCTTACTTACCACCATTTTCCCGTGATGTTGTCGAAACATGCCATCCAGAGGAGTGCAGGGGATACCTCGAATGCAATTTTTCTGTGCCACGGGACTCCAAGTAGCAGTGCCTAACTTACTCAGGCAGTACTTTTACCCAAGTCTAACATTCCCTTCATTAGCTCCACCTCATACATGATCCAACAGAGCAGCATTATTGTTTCTGTGGAAAAGTAGTGTTAGCTAGCTCTTCACCAGATGCAAGCACCTATACTGCCCATGCACTGCTGTGATCTGGCTCAAACTCAATCCATCCGTTCCTCTAGACGGGAACCCTATGATATCGACCGACTGCTTCGTTGTGAAACGACAGTGGTGGCATGGTAGTGCTAGAGGAGCAGCCTCTCAAGCTCAGACTTTTGGTGCTGAGTACTAGTACTGTTGGAACACTGCACTATTAACTCAGACGCCCATTTATGATGATCACTGCAGCAATCGTGGATTCCTTTATGTTCGTATTCTACTCACTCCACTAACTCAACGGATTTTCAGGCCTGCTAGCTTATCCCTTCCACTTTATAAGACTTATCACATAGGCTGCCACTAATGCATGGTTTTCTTCTAACCACGTTGTTACGCCATGAGTTTTGGGATGTTTCATCTGTGTATGCACGGAGCCGAACTCTGTAAAAAAGATGTAATCTGTCAACAACCAGCTCGGGAGTCATTCTCTCTGTGAGAGCGAGACCTGTGATACATTCTGCCTCGTAGCTAGTTTTTTACCGTGCCCGTTCATTATTGACAGGATTTGTCACAAATTAATCAGCCAAATCGGCAGCTTTTGTCCGAATGCCCTCGTCACGATGGATTCACATTTGTCGTATATGAGCTGCACAAAAACCATACCAAGATATTTCATCGACACATTTGGCAGCACTTTGCTGCTAAATGTTGTCATGATCCCCTCTTTGCGTCTCATCTTTAATTATGAAATTGTCCACTCCAACTATATTTTTCCTGATAGTAAGGGTTACCTGAAGATTTTGTAGATATAGAAGGGCTAAAACCGCGGTGTCTGAGGATGCGTGATCAGACATGCCGATCTGAAAGTAACTGAACACTTCGCCTGCTGACTGCATACCGCAAGCCCTTGTTTACGCTCCATTCTACCGTGATGCTGTAGACAGTTGCTGCTGCGTTCAAGACAGCTTGACATCTTTCGATGGCTGGAGACGCCACAAGATTTGGGATCTGGTACTCATGAACCCCCAGAAGTAGCTGATCTGAGAAACAACAAATAAGCACCCAGTGTTCCGAAGTCTATCAGGGATGGTGTGCAGGAGGGCCAAGCCTCGACCGTGAGAGATCCCCCAGTTGACAGTTTGCATGCCTACATTGCTTTAGGTTTGAATGGAAAACGATGATATTATGCCACAGTTCAACGCTGGAAAACCTCGCCTGGTTAACTAGTTCACTAGTTACTAGCCGGTCCTAAGCCCGGGTAAAGAGGGAAGGTTGGGCATAGGGCTAGCAACCCTACCCCGTAAAACAAATCTAACCGCTAAAGAAACTTCAAAGCACAAACAAAATATAAAAAATGAAAACAAACTTATTCCCCGCTGGAATCGGAGAGGCGAAATGACGCCAGTTGGTGAAAGACTGCCCTCGGGAAGCCAATTGGCCGATGTGTCTTCTCTCGATGAAAGCGAAAGTAAACGTGGGGACATGGAATGTCCGCACGATGTTTGAACCCAGTAAGGCAGTCCAGATTGCAAAGGAGATGAGAAGGTATCACATCGAAGTGCTTGGGATTTGCGAAAGCAGATGGAATGGGAGCGGACTCTCCAAACTGTCAACTGGAGAATCAATAATCTACTCCGGTCACCCAGACGCCAACCACGAGCACACTGAGGGAGTGGCTATCATGATGTCCTCCAGAGCATCGAAGGCTCTCATGCAGTGGGAACCAATCTCCTCCAGGATCATGACAGCAAGATTCAACTCAAAAGGAAGGAAGGAAGGAAGGTCACAATCATACAATGTTATGCACCTACAAATAATGCAGAGCAAGAGAAAAAGGAGGATTTCTACAGACAACTTCAATCAACACTGGACAAGACGTCAGTTGGCGATATCAAAATTCTAATGGGCGACATGAATGCCAAACTGGGAGGTGACAACACGGGAAGAGAACTAACCATGGGTCGAGAGGCGCTAGGTGAAATGAATGAGAATGGAGAATTGTTTGCAGAATTCTGTGCATTCAACGATTTGGTGATTGGAGGCAGTGTGTTCAGGCACAAGGATATCCACAAAGCGACATGGATTTCACCAGATGGACACACTAAAAATCAAATCGACTTTATCTCAATCTCAAGAAAATGGAGACGCAGTCTACTTTACACAAGGTCAAGAAGAGGAGCAGATGTAGGTTCAGACCACTACCTAGTGCAAGGAACCTTCCAAATCAAGTTGAAAGCCTTCAAGGAAGCTGGTAATAGACCTCAATTCAAGTACAACACTCGGAAACTGAAGGATGAAACTACAAAGGAGATCTTCAAGGCAGCCATCAAGACAAAATGGGAGACATCGAGCAACATCCCTGAAGAAACCTGTGTGGAAGAGCACTGGAAGTCTTTGAAAGCTATGTGGAAAGAAACCTGCACAACGGTATTAGGAAGGAAGAAGAAAGAAGACGAGGAATGGATCTCGACGGATACGTGGAAGCTGATAGAGCAGGGAGAGGAGGATGGTGAAGCAAAAGATAAACCAGTGCAAGGATGCTCAACGAAAAGAGGAACTGAGCACAATGTATAAAACACTGGACAAAGAAGTGAAGAAGAGTGCACGGAAAGACAAAAGACACTTCTACGAAACACTGGCAAGTGAAGCAGAACAGGCTGCAGGTAAGAGAGACCTGACGACGTTGTATCAAATAACCAGGTTGCTATCAGGGAAGAGACCAACACAGATGAAACCAATAAAAGATGGTGACGGAAATTTAATTACAAAAGAAGAGAAACAGAGGAAACGATGGGCCGACCACTTCAAGAAGCTCTTGAATCGACCACCACCTGCACTTCGTCCAGAAATACCACCTGCAGCCGCTGAATTACAAGTGAACATAAATCCCCCAACGAAAATGGAAGTCCTGAACGCCATAAAGCTACTGAAATGCGGGAAAGCAGCAGGACCAGATGGAATACCGCCAGAAGCACTGAGAACAGATGCAGAGACAACAGCGGCCATGCTCACACCACACCACTATTGCAGAAGGTGTGGAAGGAAGAGAAGGTGCCTGACGATTGGAAGAAGGGTTACCTTGTCAAACTGCCGAAGAAAGGAGACCTCAGTGCTTGCAAGAACTGGCGCGGAATCACCCTCCTGTCCAGCCGAAGTAAAATATTAAGCCGCATCATCCTGGAGAGGCTTAAAGATGCACTGGATTCAAAACTACGACCGGAACAGGCAGGCTAGCTTCAGGAAGTACAAATCATGTGCAGACCAAATTGCAACGCTTCGTATCATCATAGAACAGAGCATAGAATGGCAATCAGCTCTCTACCTCAACTTCATCGACTTTGAGAAGGCCTTTGACAGCGTCGACCGAGAAGTAATTTGGAAACTGCTTCATTACTACGGTGTACCGCAAACCTTTATCCGCCTCATTCAACAACTATATGAAGATGCCACATGCAAAGTAATCCACAATGGGAAGCTCAGTGATGCCTTTGAAGTGAAGACAGGAGTGAAACAAGGTTGCCTACTATCCCCCATGATATTCTTGATTGTGGTGGACTGGATGATGCAGCAAACAGTGGGGAGCGAGAAGAGGGGGATACGCTGGACGGCGGAAAATAACCTAGAAGACTTGGATTTCGCCGATGACTTTTGCCTAATGTCACATAAACTTGAAGATCTGCAGGCAAAAACTAACAAGTTGATAGAAGAGGAAGCTAAGACGGGACTTCAAGTGAATATAGAGAAGACAGAGGTGATGAAGATACCGCATCAACAACTCCAACAACAACAACAACAAACTCCAGTCACCACCGACGGGAGAAACCTAAATGAAGTAAACTCCTTCACCTATCTAGGCAGCACTGTTTCAACTACAGGCGGGACAGACAAGGATGTCAAAGCCAGGAATCGGAAAAGCAAGACAGGCGTTCACTAGCCTGAAATCGGTGTGGAGATCTTCTGCACTCAGCATGTGGAACAAGATACGGATTTTCAACACCAACGTCAAGTCAGTGCTCCTGTATGGTTCAGAGACTTGGCGCGTCACGAAAGGCATTTCCAATAAACTACAGACATTCATCAACAACTGCTTACGCTCGCTACTGAAGATCAGATGGCCAGAAAGAATAAGCACCAAGGAACTCTGGGAACGAACCAACCAAGAACCTATCACGCAACAAATATGCAGGAAGAAGTGGAGATGGATTGGCCATGCACTGAGAAGGCTGACTGAGGACATCACACGTCAGGCCCTCGAGTGGAATCCCCATGGGAAGCGACGAGTTGGACGTCCGAGGGTGACATGGAGAAGGTCGTGC